TTTTCATAGGATTGCCATGGATTGTCCATGAAATAAATCAATATAAACCATCCAACTATTGGGGATTCCCCCATGGACCCCCCCCATTAGCCGGAAACCGTCACTAGGAGCCAGTGCGCGGTTGCGGACCTTGGGAGGAACACTTCACACAGGGACGCAGGCGGAGAAAGGGGACGTGACCGGTATCCAAGCCAAGAGTCGGGATGTAGCTCAGAACTCAGACCCATAAACTTATCATGTTTTGTTTCAATGGTTTGGATGGTTTGGATTCCAATCCAGTGATTGGAAACAATTGGGAAGTATTGTGCCCACCAAAACTTAAGGGATTCAAACAGAAAGGGCGAAGTGTTCCTTTTTTATCTCTTTCACCAAGGCAAGGTAGGTAAAGGGGATGCCGAACTTTGAAGCCCCCTAAATCCTCTGGTTTGTCATAGTTTATGACTTGTTCTCCTTGGAATAAGCTGGGGCTAAAACGGCAGGGACAACCTCAGGCTATACTGGAGCTGTGGATGTGACTGAAATGTGCTACCATCTCGGCAGTACGAGGAACAAAGTGTAAACTGAAAGCTGTTGGGAAGCCCTGACAGACTAAGACATGGGTATATTACGATTTGTTGGTGATATAATTATATATTTGTCCCACTAGAATGACATGTTGGGGGTGTACTCTATGTTTCTTAACAGAGTGTACCCCCAAATGCATTGGTAAATTATCATGTTTCCTTTAAGATTGATTTTTTGAGGCAGATCCCCATTTTCAGACAAACCCACACAGCCCGACGTATGTGACACATCGTGGCAGCTGGGGCCATTCTTCGTTGCAGGTACTTCTACAACAACGTTGGGGAACCTGGTTGTCGCCCTCACGCTATCCATCAATATTTCCGCTGTAGCACCCTCCAATAAATAAGATAGAAACGCTGGAAACTGGAAATGATGGGCACGCATACTCTATACCATCTCGGATTTTGTTCCAGACCTACTGTTCTTCAATCTCTAGTATCTCTATAGTTAAACCTCGGTTCAATAGATTAGCTGTTCTTTGCCGTATACGATGCAGCTGACCCAGCTAAGACTTACTGTCAGATATATAAACCATGCTACCTGAAACATTTTGGAGCCTAAATGGTCGATGTGACTGGCGCGAAGGAAGGGCTCCACATTTTTAGCAGTCCGAGTGCGGGAAGTCCAAACACGTGCAAACATCATACACAATATTAATCAATATTATACATGTATATGCATATATGAAAAATGCATATATATATATACAGAAGTTGTGTGTGCGTGAATAATATGATTAACGCACGCGAGTGATGACATGTCCTTCGACCTTGTTTTTTTTTTTCATGCGGATTTTTAACTTTTGCATGTTTCCAAAGGTGCTTAAATGATATAAACCATCCCCAATGTTACCATAAATAGGTGGTAAGGTTCATCCCGATTCATCGTAGCTTTATGGCCTTGGATCCCACATGAGTGCAGGACACCCAACGTACGCAGTGGCACGTCCCTGCAGAGTGGTGTGATGAGGCTGGATTTCACCATCACCACCATAGCGTAGCAATATGTTTCACCATGATATATCATATGTCATTGATAGACATATGTCGTACTTATTGATATAAATGTTGATATATATATATATTTATATACCATTGATTCACATTCTACATATTATACCATACCATTACCATACTATTGATTCATACATAGACGGCATATAATGAGATGTATCAAGCAGAATAATATACCGTACCACCAGCAGCTCGACCTTGGCTGTTTGAAGACTCCCTTCATCAAAAGAACAGCTATTGTCAGGGTCTATGCTAATTGGTATGTTATACAATTGCATTTATGAACCATTTGATGGTATGATGGGGATTGATATATATATATATACATATATCTATATATATAACTATACTATAATATGTATATATATATATATGCATATAACTATATACATATATGCAAATATATATGTATATGATATATATATATGTATGTATGTATGTATGTATGTATCCAACGTGATCCGGTTTTTGGGTGTGTTTGCAAATTGAGTATACCCCGCTGAGTGGCTCATTGAACAGGGAAACTGATAATTCAGCAGTGGACAGTCAGGGTACCCAAGTTTCAGTACAGCCGATATCCCTGGGCCCTATGGGAAGCTAAAGAATTTCGTTGACCCAAGCCACCATTGGATATTTGAGCGCAGGATACAGCGAGTCAGCTGAACATTATATAGCTATCGAAAATGGCTTGGTTGAATGATTATGATTGGGAATACTGCTGGGGTCATTGGGAATTATAACTAGCCCATAGTAGGGAAACCCAGCCACCAAGAAACGGGCTGCTGTTTTTTTGGGGCTCACAAGGTGGTGTTCTTGCGACAACTGGAGATTGATTTGACGAATTTGGATACTGCAACAACATGCGTCATGATTTGGAATTAGCTCACGAAAACGAACCTCTATGGACTGCTGTTGGGGGCAATTGGCGCTAGCGATATGCGAGTGTGTTGTCTCTCCAATTTTGGCTATCATGCTGAACTGCCATTTTGAGGTGATATTTGCAGGTTCTGTGGCTGTATCCCCTTTGTTAGCCCTTGCTTGCTTTAGACCACTAGTTGATGTCCTGTTTGTGCATATGCATATTCAGTTGTATATGTTTGTATGTGTATATACATATGTATATATATATATGTATGTGTGTATGTATGCAATATATATATATATTTGCAAGTTTATTAATTTATTTGATAATTCATTTAGCAAGCCATTTAGCAAGCTTATGCACACACCTCTACATATGTGAATGTTGAGTACATTGCATGCACCGGAAATCATCCTCATGAGGATTCCAGGTTTCAATGGTTGGCAAGTGACAGCCAGTTGGCAAGCGGATGCAAGCGGTTCATAATCATGGTTGCTTCACCTAACTAAGATATAATAGGATTTACATACATGCATGCATGCATTGTACATACATGCATGCATACATACATGCATGCATACATACATACGTGCATGCATGCATGCATACATACATGCCTGCATGCATGCATGCATGCATACTTGCATGCATACATACATGCATACATAAATACATGCATACATCGATGCATGCATACTTGCATGCATACATACATGCATGCATGCATGCATGCATACATACATGCATAGATAGTTAGATACATACATTGACATACATAGATACATACGTACATGGATGATTGCATGCATGCATGCTTACATATATACACACATATATATATAATATATACATATACCGTATGTATTTGTTTATTCCCGGACATATACCTGTCCGTCTCATAGTCGAAATTCCCATCCCTTGGCGCAGGCTGCCAAAGAACTAGTGCAGAGGCAAAAAAAATCCAAGAAACCTCTTGCGTGTCAGCTGGAGATGGGGACTGCAGATTTTGTAAATTTTGAGCCATTACTGTAGATTAGACCCATACCCAACTAGGGAATACTAGGGATGTTTTCAACATTTTTTGGGCTGGAATTTCTTGACCCAGTGATAGTTTGATACGAAATATCATCAGATCACCACAACTTTGGTGTTTGTTAGTAACCAATTTGTTTTAACATGATACCCACGTGGGCGTCCCCGCCCTTGTGGAGGTCATCTGGATCCTTTGGAGAAATCCAAAAAAGGGGCCTATGGAGGGACGGTAATCAAACGTGGCTGGGAAATCCGGGAACTACATGGACATTTCAATGGATAAATACGGATAAATCATCGAACTAATTTCAGGATTTTCCCTTAAAATCATTAAACACATATGGTGGAAAATCCTGAAATTAGTTCGATGATTTATCCAGAAATATATTCATTGAAATGTCAAGATTTTCCATTGCCATGAACAGGAACTAAAGATTCTATATAATCCAAACGGTTTGGAGTTGGTCCGTGTTGATGTGGGCGATCGTAGGGTCGACACAAGCTACACACTGTGGTAACCTCAGTTTTTTTCGTCTGACTTATGATCCCAATTCAATCACCAACTTGAATCAAATGTGTGACAAAATAAGAAGGCCAATTGATTATATAAGCACCATGTAAGTGACAAAATGGACAATCATCTAGAAACAAATATGCTGTAATGTCGGTTTACGGCCTTTTTCCATCTCAGTCTAGACGCCTTTGATGCCTTTGATGTTTGTGACGCAGATCTGGTCGTTTTCTTATGGCTTTCGGCGAGGCTCTGTCCAACTTGGGGTCACCTTCAGAGAAACCACAAGACGGTGCCCCTGTTATATCTGTTATGTTGGTTTACAACCCCCATGAACATCCCATGAACTAGATTCTGTTTTCCCAAAATCCATCGAATTCACCTAGTGGACCCAAGCAACTAATTCTTGGGAGGCACATTGCAGCATGGTTCTTTCAATGAGCTGCAGGATTTTAGCACCGTTTGCATGCGAAATAGTTGAGTCCCAAGATCCGTATTCAACTGACCAGAAAGAACACAAGGCGGGGCCACCAAACAGTAGACAATGTTGTTTATTTAACATGTTAAATACATGTTATACCTGGGGTTTATGTCATGTTATGTTTGTTTACTGTAGGTATGATTAGATATATGTGGGTTTTGCAACTAGAGTGGCCACATCCATGGCCATCAGAAAGATGACAAGTCCATGGACCAGAACCCACCAGCAGAACGCGTAATCCATGTTGACCCCACCATTTAGAGACAATTAGATTATTTCAGCGGCATTTCAGTGACTACATGTACTATATAATCTGTTACATTTGTTTATATAATGTATCTAGCATATGATTTGAATGAACACACTATGATAGATTATTATCTATCATTATCTATCAATATCAATATCTATCATATATATATAGAGTCAAAAGAGTCAGCTCCACAGTCGCTATAGTCGCTAGCTGCGCTGCACCGTGAAGCTGTGGTGCAATTTCTGCCGATTTTCGCTGCGCTCTGCGCGCCCTGTAGCTGAAGCATGAGCAGTAGCAGGCTGGGGCATGTCACCATTTTTGGGCGGCCCCAGGCCCCAGGGAGAAAAGCAAATCAAAAGCATGGAGTCCAAGACGTATCACACATACACATTATTATTATTAATTATTATATATATATATTATTATCTATGATTTTATTTAAGTATCGATCAAATGAAAAGCAACACAAACTCCAACACAAATGAATTTGAACAGTTTTTCATCGCAGCTCAGGTTCCAGATCCCGTTGCTGAGTGTGACGAATGTGAAGCCACGTTTGTTGGTGATTGGCGGACAGTTTCTCGGAACTCGTCCCTTCAGAAATTCACGGTGATAAAAATGGGGAAGTTCATGAACTTAACCAACAAATGGTGGTGAATATTAGTTGATATATATATATATTATATATATGCATGTATATTAATATGGAAAAGACCCATCAGAAAAAGCAGGAAATTCTACAGTTGTGCACAGTTGGAGGCTGTTGATATGTTTTGATTTGACGATGCTTCTGGGCCCAGAGTTCCCCAGGTTTTCGGGCACCTTCGTTTGCCGAGAGTTGAGGTGCAAGTCTTTGGTCACCGGGCAGGGGTATACTTGGGTTATTAGGACTTTACTGGACATAACATGCATATATATATATGTATATGTATTATATATATATATGGAAAGAGAGGGAGAGTTAGTAATCAATATGATATATATATATATATATTGACATTGAGATAGGGATGCAACCGGGATATCATGACTACAATGGCTATACATATATATATATATATATGTATACACTCATTCTAGAATGGGGATATAATGGGGATACGGTTGGGTGGATATATAGACAACCGTTCACTAGATTTGTGATGGCTCACGCCGACATTTGACTCAAGATCTGGGACGCGAAACTCATCCGAATGATGTCCCCAACTATGTGGTGTTTTGTCCAAGTTTTGGGCCAGCAACAAACCACCAGATGTTGGAGGTTTCGCAACTTGCAGGCGGGACTTTGAGATTACCTTAGTAGATGCTAAGGACTGCCGCCGAAACCAGGCTGGGAGGTCATTCTTCAAACAGCTTTGAAGTTTAATCGGAATCGCCCTTGTTTAACCGTTGTAACATCAATGTTGTGTTGCTTTATGTTTGGTTTCACCGGTTTCATCAGTTTCACCAGCTTCACCCACCCCCCAAAAAACATAGGTTTTCCAACCAACAAAAACATAGGTTTTCCCATGTTTTCCCATGTTTCTTTTACATCCAACGAAAGTTGAGATTCCCTCCACCAAGCCAGGAGTTTATGGAGTTCACGCCTGGCATCTTACGAGCCTTTGTGCGTCTTGGCTTGCGGGGAAATGTAGGAAAATCTGTCCATGATAGACTAGAAATGTAGGTTTTGAATGGGAACATCCACTATAAATGAAGATGTTCAATTGCTCAAATTGCCATGTTTGATTACCAGAGGAAAATGGAATCATCGGATGGGGATTTTGTTGAAAACCTCAGGGACAGCTCGCCTTCTGTTGATCTCTTTGGAGATGGCGATGGAGAGAGAGAGAGAGAGAGATATATATAATTCATTAAAATTCTATAAATCACCGTAGCGCAAATTATCACCATATATATATATATAAGTGCTAGGAATTTAGTGTTTGTTCATCTTTTTTTTGGCTATAACCATTGTTGGGTGATTTTAAAATGATTTTGGTGGGTGTACGGTAAACCACCAGAAGTTGGGATATGGGGGCCCCATAACTATAGTTATGCAACCACTCAGTAACTGGTTAGTGTTACATGTGTCATGCGGTACCCCCTTATAATTATAAAGGGATAATAGACTTCATTAAGGGACATATATATATATATAGGTTAGTTGCGAAGTACGAAATGGGTTCCCGTCTTGCGTTTAAACTGTGCGCAAATTAGGACAAGTCCATTTCCCATTGCTCAGTTGCGATTTCTATCCCATAGATGTGCCCATGCCGGGGCAGGCCATGCTCAGGCGCCCTTCTCATTTTGACTCCTTGAGTTTTACTCTTCAGCCGGTCATGGAGAAGATGGCGGTGAAGTTTGTGGCAGGCGTGGCAAATGTCGACCGTGTGTAAATATAGAAAAGACCATGGCAAAACCGGAGAAATATGTTTCAATACATAGATGGCGCAAAGAAAAGATGGCTCAGGCAAGATCAATTGCCAATGCTGCTAATGCATGCTAATGCAATTTTTTGAAACTGTCCTATGGGTGTGATTATTGAGACTGGGTCAAGATGAAGACTTGCAAGACATACTCCTTTGTTGGGTGCATGTTGGGTGATGGTGGTGCTCAAGTTTCAGCCCCTATGCATGTCAATGACCATACCTGGCATACCTTAAATGAAATTACTGTACTGTATATTAGGTCATATGCCATGTAGATATATCTGGATGGGTCTCCCTTGCACATAGCCGTACATGGTCTTCGCGCAGGTTCGGGACCTTTAAATTAGTTGCCTGGAAATTGTCATAGACCATTTGGTGCGCTATTTGATCATATGTGTTCGTCTGAAAATAGTATACAGTACCTCTAAATCAACTCGCCCGCAACGGCCTATACAATGTGTCCAATTGAAATTGCCATTTTGGGGGGTCAATCCTAAATTTTCAGACGCACGCACATGTGCCTCATATGCCCCTTGAAGGGCTGATTGGCCCACCACATTTTAGTTTTCACAGGAGAAGTGAAGAAGCTAAGCTTCGACACTTGGCTCATGCGGGGCAATAGATTGCGACTGTCAGTGTGAGATCTCCCAAGCTATCTCCTTGTGTTGGCTTCTTGTCCATTAGAGCCCGCATTGGTTGATGATATCCCCTGGATTTGGCCATTTGGCCGAGAAAATCTCATGTCTATCCGTGTCGTTTGTGCTGCTTTCGCTCTATTTTTGCCGTGTACCCGGCCATGTAAACGTTTACATAACTATGAAAAATCACCATGTTCAATGGGTAAATCCACTGTAATCCACTATAAATATCAACTTTCTCAATAGCAAACTGTTAGTCATTACCAGTGGGTAGATCTGCCAATCTTCCGATCATCAGGAGGATGGTGAAGTGCTGGCTGCTGTGAAAGTTTTAGATCCTGGTCCCTTGGATGGCCGGTGGTCGGTTTGGTGCTGATGAAATCCACATGCTCATTGAAGAAATTAGGTCATACAGGATGGTGTCCCCCAGTTATGTTTGTTGATTTATAAGCCCATCTCGATATCATTGTAAGATATTATAAGTTTTAAGTATAAGTATCATACACTTCATTGATTTGTTCTTCGACCTTCCCATGTTGAGGGTTGTCCTTCTTGCCGTTCACCTTTGCGGATTTCCTATACACATTGTTTGGTTCCAAGTAACCTCCCAAGGCTGGGTGCGCCACCATAAAAAAAAGGGGAATTGAAACAGCTAAGACTGAGGAGCGATGCAGAGGGCGCTGTTGACGAGTTCATTCTAAAACTTGATGTAATAGGAACTCACGGAAGTTTTTTTGTTTTTGTTTTTTTTCGCCGATTTTGAGATGCAGTTTCATCACTGTGCTCACGGAAGTGTTTTGTCCAATTCTTTGCGCCTGCATTTTGATTCGAGATGATGTTCCATGTATGGAACATTTATTGACATGTACCCCCAAAAAAAACAAACAGTAGGTAAGTACATGTAAACATCAACATAAATACATCATAGGTGGAGCATATCAACAGGTCGTCACATTGCAGGCCATTTACTCGATACAGATGGCTTCCGGTTTGGGAATAATGGATCTCATTATGGTATATAATCATAACCCAACAATGATTGACTTGTGTTATGTGCATGTGTTTTCATCATGAGTGAGTTCTGGCTGGTCAAATCATGTTAAATCCAAGTTGTTGTTGGTAAAATTCACAATTTGGTCTACGCCTACGTAATATGCCACAATTTCCATAGACTTCCTATTCGCCCCAAGGTCAGGGTACAGAAGTTGATTCGGAGGGCATGGCGCTGCTGAAGCTCGATGCAACTACATGATGCTAAATGTATATACCATGGGCAGCTTAAATGATGTTAGTACCACAATGTACAATGATTTTATCAAGTACGATTTCACCTGTATTCACCTGTTGTTTTTTGTTTGGGAACTGCAGCAGTAGCAAGTAGGAACACATCATGTGTTTTTGTATTTCTGGTGCTGGCAGCGCTCAGAACATCTCATTACAAATGTTTGTTCTATCCCGTATTGCGAACACAATGGTTTCTGGGGGGTGGTTGATATGAATGGGGGAAGGATTTGTACATATGTAATATTATATATAATAATATCATATTGTTGGTTCATTGGCTATATCCAATTTAAGCCCATTTAAACCCCATATGTTGATGGTTAAATCCCATTAACATGATTAACTCCCATTGAATCAGCGTTTGTTAGTTGACTCCCATGTTCCAATTGATTTAGTTCATCCACCATCTGGGGAAGCTACAGAGTCTTCGAAGTCACGCTTCCGCTTCCGAGGGCATTCGAGTACTGCGTGATTTGCTCCGGCTGTACCTTCGGCATTCGAACAACTACCCTCGGTCATCGATGGCATGGGAAATCCTCGGTACCCAATGGTGGATTTGATCGGAAAATCATCGAAGGACTGGGGTAGGATCCTAATGGCATTCCATTGCCATGTTAGATTACCAGAGGGACTCACAGAAACGTCCCATTTCACGGGACACCCATCCGATCATCCATGTTTTTGGTACAGGTGCATTTAACATCATTTACCATTCTTTAAGACACACACACATATATATGTATATATATACATTTATGCCTCCCATAAAACATATAAAACAAGCAACTGTAGGTAAAATAGATTAGGGTTGGATAGAATTAGTGTGTAAACAAATGTTGATACATGTAAATAGATGTAAACCTATGTCAATATACCATTAAACCAATCGTTGATCCCCATTGATCCCTGTGAACATCGCAGACTTTTGGCCCAAAGATATGGCTTTCCCAAAGCAAAAAGATCAAGTTGTTGAACCGGTTTGATCCCAGAGATGATGCACAGAACTAGGCATAGTAGTATAGTAGACATATATATTTTCCTTTCACAATCAGAATCAAAGATCTTGGCCAACCATGGTACAATGGCCATGGCTGGAGCACATCAAGGATCCGGTGGTCGCTGATGGAGGTGCCAAAAAGCGCCGCTTACCCCGCTCAGAGTGCCTGGACTGTGCCAAAATTTGGGGAACCCATGATCCCATAATGTTTCTTCCTGATTAGTGTGCGGTCCCCCACCTTCTCAAACAATAGCTATACCCTCTTTAAACTTGGGCGCCAAGAAAAATCTTCCCAGGAAAAAAACAAATCCGCACTGAAGTAAGGATTTCAATTGGCTACAATTGAAATCTAATTAAAACTGTTTTTTTGCCGATGAACTTGTAGTACTTGTAGGACTTGTAGGACTTGTATTACTTGTAGTACTTGTAGTGCTTGTAGTACTTGTAGTACTTGTAGCAGCATGTTGATTGCGTTACCTTTTCCACCTTAAGCTTTTTCCTTAATGAACCATGAAATAAGAGAAAGAGAAAGAAAAAGAAAAGATAAAGGGAACGAGAGAAAGAGAAAGAGAGAGAGAGAGAGGGAGAGGAAGAAGAGGAAGAGAAAGAGAAAGAGAAAGGATAAGAGAAAGAGAAAGGATAAGAGAAAGAGAAAATAAAGAGAAAGGAAAAGAGAAAGAGAAAGAACAGGTTGCTTTTGCAGAAGGCTTTTCTTTCTTCTCTTGGCTCCAGGATCAGCTCTGGAAAAGTTTGCTGCAATTGTGAACCCTGCGAACAAACCTACTAAAGTGAATTGGACCATCTCATGGCCCAGTGCCTTGGAAATCTGTGGAAAAAACTGTTCTTTAATAAGGGTTTAATAAGCGGTCTGATTCTTTTGGGACAGGGAGAAAAGCAAGATTTTTTCAGAAAAACATGTTCATATTTTTGGACAAGACAAGTTGTGCCCCCAAGATTTCTTGCCACAATAGTGAACCTTCCAATTAATACATGGGTTCAGAATAATTCGGAAATTCTTGCCACAATAGCGAACCTAGCCACTAATCAGGATACAACATTAAAAATTGTTAAGGATAAATTATGATCAACTTTAAAACCGGCCTCAAAAAAACCCTTGGTTCCGGCCTCAAAATTTGACCCATAGACTTAAGTCTTTATGTAGGTTCTTTTTCCTGTAACGAGATGGGTCGTTAATCACACAATAATTCCCACAATCGGTAAACCGCCAAGGTCCATTAGTGCGCGCCTTGTTACACGTGAAATGGGCATCGTTGCTGCAGAAAGCCGGGAAGTATGACCGGGCAGAGGAGCACTGGGCCGGGGGACAGCTGAGAGCTGATGAAACAAGAGAACCTTTGGAAACCAAACGTGGTGTGCTGGAAAATCAACCATTTACTTTAATGCTTTTCCCATTAAGACACATTAGAACCTCATTTACAGGGGATTTCCGAGCTATATAGCCATTTTTGATTACCAGAGGCTACAACATACAGTTTTTCCTCGAAGAAGTGTAGGAAAAAACTCATGAATCAGTTGATGAGTTTTGGGGTGTGGAAGTCCGGATTCGTTCATTTTGAGGCTCTAAAAAGTAGGGGGCGCTGGTAGTTAGTGACAGTTAGTGCGATGGGATATGTTTCTTTCACATAGATCTCCTTCAAAATATCTCTTGGAAATTTTGGAAAATGCTGATGTCATTTTTCAAGCTTCGGTATCTCCAGCAATGTTTCAATGGGTCGCTGCTACAAGGACCCCTGACATGCATAATAACCATCTTAATATGTTCCCATATATATTCCCCATATTTTCCCCAAATTTGCCCCATGGTTTTCACATCTGAATCCACCACATCCGCCAAGGAGCACTTCGGCCAGTCCCTGGCGCTGCTACCCTCGGCCCGCGCGCACTTCGGGCGCGGCACCTGCCTGGCGGCGCTGCGACGGCGCGAGGAGGCCTTGGAGGAGCTGTCGGAGGCGGTGGCGATGTGTCCCACGATGGTGGGGGCCATCATCAACCTGGCAGGCCTGGTGGGTCTCACTCGAGGGGAGGGACTCCCATCCCAGCAATGTCAACCCCGGATTAATAAACCCCTGGGCTGTTTAATTGGGGGGTACCATTTCAGTAGCCATTTAGTACTATTTGGATCTATTTGGGGGAACCACCACAGTTAATCAACCAGGGTTTATTAATCCGGGGTTGACCCGGGGTTGACATTAGAGATGATTGTATCTAAATTGAAGGGACTTATGGACAGATTTAATAAGATCATTTAGAGATGATGATGTCTAGTTGGGGGATGGGGGCATGGGGGATGGGGGATGGAGGCCAGGCCTGGGCTGGATGACTCGGGCTCCCAGTGTCATTTGGAGATGAGTATATATCTAGTTAGATGGATGTGTATGATTTATATATGCATGTGTGGGAGGCGATTATATCTATAATGATGATGATATCTAGATGATTTACAGATAATTAAATTATCCTCGTCTTGCAGGTGAATTTGAGGGCTTGAAACCGGGATTTTGCTGATGTTAAACTGTCTTGGGGGATGGATTTTTGGGTGGACATACTTGAAATCTGACAGGTCTTTAGAGTTTTCGTTGTTGAGTACCATACCTGTTTGGTGGCCTGCACTGATTGTTACAAAGTGATGATAATGCCCAACCAGCCCGGAGGACAATTGCAGCCACCAGGTCAACATAGGTCAACAGAATTTTGCCACGTCACGGCGGTGATGTTTTTTGATGTTTAAATCGGCTAGCAATTTGAAACTTATTCCCGTTGGCTGGTGAAATCCCTCATTGTGCTTCTTGAACCCCGTGAAACCCCGAAAAAACACTTCTCAACTTATAATAAACAAAACTATATTCCATATCTCTAACTTACAAAACTTACAATTACACTGACTATGTGACTATATACTGTATATTGTTTATATTGGTATAATTTTGTATACATTTGTTTTCCCCACCACAACCAACGGTTACACAACACGTTGGTAGCTCCGGTGAGGCGTCCAGCTGGGCCTTGGTCGTTTCGACGAGGCGGAGCGCAACTGTCGTGAGGCCTTGCGCTTGGAACCGGAGAGCCGGGAGGCGGTGATGACGCCCGGCGCTTTCGGTGCTCGCAGTGCAAGAAGCCTATCAGGTCAAAAAATGGATAAAAATGCTACACTATCCATTTATGATATTTATGATCGTAGTGGGGATATGTTTCGGTAACTAAAAAAAACATTATAGTTTGTTTGTGCCAAAAAGATTAATATAGACAATGCTACTCAAGTAGTCTGGTCGGTGGTTTGGAACATTTTTTATGTTTCCATATATTGGGAATAGTGATCCCAACTGACTAATATTTTTCAGAGGGGTTGAAGCCAACAAGCAGTAGTGGTCAATTCCTGTTCTTACGGTTTGATGGCTTGTCATAAGCATCTATGAAAATACATGGTGATCTCATGATTTACCGGAAATTGAATATCTAACATAGCTATGGAAAAACGTTGAAAAATAAAGCCATTTATAGATGATTTACATAATTTTACATCTATCAAAACTGATGATCGTCCAAAGTAAAGTGTTAACTTATGTTAACTTACCCTCGGATCATCAACTATGGCAATGATCAAGCTCCCATTACTGTAGCGCTCATTTCCATGAATTTCCCAAACATATGAACCTCACCATTGAAAGGATCAGATTTTGGATCAGATTTTTCCATGGATTTTTCCACCAAACTGGTGGGCTGCTGGGTCCCAAATGGCTCCTGTGGCCGCCCAGGAACCTGGCGAACGCCATGCGCAACCTGGGCCGCCGCCGAGAGGCCGTGGAACTCGTCTGGCGCCACATCGGCGAAGCCGTGGACGGCGTGGATGTGGCGCAGCTGGCGCAGGTGGCGCAGGAGACGGTGAAGACGGAGAAGCTGGTGATTGCACCTGAATTTTGAAGGAGTTGGGTGATATGTTTGGATGAATCTTTGAATAATATCATATGATATCATCATATTAATTGAATTATCCATATATTAATTGAATTATAATCGTATTAATTGAATTATCCATATATTAATTGAATTATCATCGTATTAATTGAATTATCCATATATTAATTGAATTATCCATTAAGGAGCTACTGATGGCTGATATATTTGTGGCTGATATTTTGGAGCTGTGTATGGGATATACTGGTAATTAATGGAAAAGTAATATGAATCAATGGGATAAGATGCACCTTTGGTTTTAGATGAGGGGGTGGGGATCTTTGATTGGTTTCTACAGGATGTCTATGGGATTTCTATGGGGTAACTATTGGTGATTGCACCTTGTGATTTGATGGGATTTGAATGGATTTGAAGGGGATTCAATGGTGATTTGATGGGGATTGAATGTGGGTATTGAATGTGGATTTCATGGTGATTTAATGGGGATGAAAAATTGGATATACTACCGGACATGAATGGAATAGTCGTTTATACCACTTTGTTTACCAATGGAATAACGCCCCAAAAGAGATGGATTTGTTAGAATTTGAACACTATGGGGCCATGGGGTTTACTCTCCGGTGTCAAACGTGACTAGCTGGGAAATTCCCTAACCAAGTTGGAGGTTTATAGCTGGGAAAATCATCGAACTCAGTAACTAGATGGGTGATTTTCCGGAAAAAACACGTTTGATTACTGCTTTTTAATGGAGATTTACTATGACCATGTTCAACTTATCAGATGGGGTCTTGTTTATCCCAAAACAGCTCCAACGGGGTATTTGTCCCAGGTTTAACTACTCCGATGGGTCTTGACATTGTGGGTTTGAACATGTTTGAACAAATGCTGCTGGGATGGGGGTTATCATGGATTATCCCTGACAATTACCTGAAATCACGGGAAAACTGGGGAGCTATAGCAGCTATAGGATGCTATAGGCATGCCTGAAATGGGGCCATCGCTACAGCGCGGACTATGTGAACCGCCTGATGGCCTCCGCCCGTCGTCACTTGCCATCCGCGCACCTCGCTGAAGCGCAGTTCGTCTGCTTCACCGAGGATCCCAACGGCATCGATGAGTTTATAGAGACCAGGAGACGGGTGGTTGAGCCATGTGTTCTTTTTCCCATTTTTTTCCCATTTTGATCATTGATCAGAATTTCTTTGGAACAACTTGACCTCAAAGTCATTTTAACATATTTTAACTATAAATCTTATAACATCTTATTACCTTATAACACTTTCATAACAGATGCTTTTCTCCACTTTGATCTTGTTTTTTGGTGGTATGGATCCTGGGATGAGGAGCCTACCGGACGGCTTCCACTTGTGGTGGGGGAAAGCCTTCCTCTTCAGCGCCGAGGCCACTCCGAAAAACACAAACGGAGATGGCGATGGAGAGAGAGAAACCAAAACAACTGGGATTCCAGTTTAACACATGTCCAAATATCATATATTACAGTAATAGTAATAATTGATATATCTAATTATATATATATACAGTATTATATATAATATATATACAGTATTATGTGTGTATATATATACCCAGTATTATGTATATATATACCCAGTATTATGTATATATATATATATAAATTATAAGTATTTATCGCATACTATGTTACTAAACTTTATACTGTGCATCAATTCGCCAATCCACTGGATATCCAAACCAGGCCGGTTTGGACGGCCATCGCGTTCTCTTCTTAGACTTGGATCAAGTGATCGTTGGCAGTTTGGAGCCGCTGCTGGCGTACCGAGGGCCCTTTGCAGTGCTGCACACGGTGCCCCGAAGCATTTTTTGGGGGTCTTAGCAGCAAAAATGGTGATAGTTCTAGGGATTTAACCATGAAGATAGGGACTGAACCATCAAACATGTGGATTTTTAACATTGAAAATTGGGATGTAACTTGATGTAACCAACAAAATATCCAGAAAAAAATGGATCTAACCAGCACAAGTACTGATTCAACATGATTGACGCGCTGGATCCTGGAAATGGAATTCGAGGATTCAGCATGATTTAGCAATCCTTTTGGTGTTTCTGATGTGTTCCTGACTTTTGTTCAAAGTGGGAGGTGGTATGGCAATTTCCTGTTGTCTTCGATATTTGGGATTGGTATGTCAATGAGCCAGCAGCGGTTTGGTCTTCTGTGGCTTGGAATCGTGCGGGTACCACGTCTTTTGTTTCCCAGATGGCTACTGAAAGTTGAAAACTACTGGGATCATGTTTGTTACTTTTCATGATAATCTCCCTCTCCCTGAAATCCAGTGAGCAGGCGTTTCTTGTGTTGGAACACGTCCATCCGTCCATTCGGATGGTGAAGAGCTGGTTTCCTAATGATTTTAAGGTCCTAATGCTTGACTGGTTGGTGGTTTGGAACATGTTTTATTTTCCCATTCAGTTGGGAATGTCGTGATCCCAACTGACGAAATCATATTTTTTCAGAAGGGGTTCAAACCACCAACCAGTTGATATATTCTAGGTTATTCTAAGTGTAAATTTGGACTCTGGACGAAAAAAAACATCCATCAAGATCCATGAAGCTGAGTGGTTTATCATGATCCTTCTATACATGGCAAACTCAGTATTTTTGGATCTAAATATTTATCTAAATCAAACCGGGGATGGCCTTTTTTTTAAACGGCTTTGGGACATTTCCGACTTGGAGATTGCCTTGGATCAATCCATGAATGAATCTCAAAACAGCTGATGATGTATATATAGACTTGAAACTGCAATTTTTAGGGTGCACGAGTACGCTCACCATTTGTGATGGTTTTAAATTCCATGTTTTTCAGCTTCAACTTCATGATAGTAAAAGTCACCACATGCTCAGAATTTGAAGAAGTTCAATAAGATTTTTACTTGCAATTTTCAAAGGTACACTCACCATTTGTGATAGTTCAATCCCACTTTTTGCAGCTGAAACTTTATATATGACTCTGAAATAATTGAATTTTCATCATGCTTGATTTTCATTTTGTTTCTTTGAAAAGGATCACCATCAAGTTGATCATTTTATCTGGATTTCCCCCGTTTTTTCCGCCGAGCTGCTCGAGCGGCTCGCGCAGGATGACATCGCCTGTGAGTTGGCCCCCGGGGGCTACAACTCCTCGGTGCTCTCCTGGCGCGGCGCGGAGGTTTTGCGGCCGCTCTTCGAGGCCTTGACGCCTGCGGTGCTTCGAGACATGGCGGCACCGGTGGATCTGGACCCTGGCAGCCCTTGGAGCTATGAAAACTACCCCGGTTGACTGCTAACGGATTATATATACCATCTACTTATATAACATAGCCATGGAAAATCACCATTTTTAATAGGTAAACCATCTATAAATGGGCCATTTTCCATGGCTATGTTAAATAACCAGAGGGTAGCTGGTTTAATATGATCTAATGAATCTAATGGGATAGAATTGTTCATGGCTCATTTAAACAAAATTAAAGCCGTGTCTATTCTGTATATTGGAAAAAACATATGAGTTATAATACATTATCAGCCACCTTTATCCATTTATCATCTATTTGTTCTCGTATCAAAAAGATAGTAGTTTACCCCAGTCTTAATTGAATTTTACTTGTCGGTTTCTTTTGGGGTTGCTACAAAAGGATAAAGATCGATATATATATATATACTGTATATATGTGTGTTTTTTCAAAGCCATCTGTAAACTGAACTGTGTGTTTCTGTTTCCGCCGATAGAGCTTGGATGGTTTCATTATACCAATAGCCTCAGCGGACCCCAAAACAATTGGTCTTTACACATAACTGTGCGATTTGTTCACGTATTTATGGGCCAAATGGGGATTAAGATGATTAAGCTTTGTATGAGTGAGATTTAAGCAATGAATATGTCATGGACATTGTTTTTGTTTTTCTTTGAATTGGTTTGATGTATGTTGATGGGTTTTCATGGGCCGCTCTCCACCAGTAGATTGGCCATGCCCTGACTTACCAGGCTGTCTATCGACTGTCAGTCTCTGAGTTTGGCTTATTTTCACATCAGCAGTGACCAAGAAACATTGTCTGGGAGGTTGGTTGTGCCACCTTTCAGCCTTCGTATTCCTTTTGTATGTAATAATTCTAGTTTTATAATATGTCATGCAACCTTTAGAAGTTGCATAAGATTCGCCCTTTCATCCTTTGGGAATTGCGCCAGTCGTTCTTTGCGCCGGTCGGATCACATGACTTCACATATATGTTGTGTTTGGTTTATTCCGGTGACGAACATGCATGCCCCAATAGATCACGTTTGCCTGTTTGCACCTTCCTCTCAGTTCTCCTTAGTTCTCCCTTTCTTGGAATGTTAGCAAAGCAATAGTAAAGCATCCCCAATTTTACCATTTTCATGGGTGGTATATATAAACCATCAATCCATATGGCTGGTTTATTACATCTTACCGCCCCAACATTCTTTTATTTTCAGGATATGTCCATCGTTTCGACCATTGGTTGGAGATGATGTTGGGCACTACCGCAGACGTTTGGCAGCAGCTGGCACCGGGCGCCGTGGTCGACTACACCACCGTCTTCCGTGGCGGCCGCTGTCTGGGCTGCGACGACGACGGCGACGACGGCGCCTTCGCTGCCGGGGAGGACAACGGAACGGCCACGGCAACAGAGGTCGCGCTGCCGGCGGCGGCGGCGGTGGTGACGTTTCCCAGGAGTCCCAAACCGCATGAGGTGCTGGAGAAACACCAGTGGATCAGGGAACATTGGAGATGTTGATGACTTCAAGATGCTGAAAAAAAGTATGTTGTAAAGTGTTTTGGGGGAGAGATTCTAGAATATAGTTGGGGTGAAGTATTGGCAAACGGATTAGCCCAACATACTCAAAGTGTGGATGTTAAACGATGAAGATTATGAAGCCTAGCAAGTCTCAGAGCTCTTTTCAGAGATGTTGAAGCCCTTGACACCAACCGCGCACAGAGAGTTTTAAGATCAAACACTCAAAGCAGTGAGCGCTGTAAGTCCTGACAGCCTGGGAGAACAAAAGTTGATATGTGAAGTTGACGCTCAGCGGACGTGCTAAGGTCTAGCTGGGGGTGTTTCCGAATACGTTCAGATCCCTCGTAACTGTGACCCAGTGACAGAATTTGGCATGTTTTATCGTCCTCACAGTGACCTCGCATGAAATGATGGTTTGTGGAGGGAACCACTCCCAAGGTGGCTTTGTTTCCTACCCGCAATTGGAATGAATTCGCCCAGTTGATTTTCCCTGTTTCTAGTAATGCAATTCTTCATATCAAGATCTGCGTCCATGTTTTGCCCCTGAGGCAACTTTGGTCCTTTTTCCAAGCCGCTCAGCTCAAAAAGCCGGAGCATCCGCCCCACCGGGGGTATCCCCATCCCATGTGCTGACACATTCCCTGGAGAATTCCCAGGGATAGATGCTTTTTTTTTTGTTGCCCCATGGGTTTTTGCATAGGTTTTCCCCATGTTTGGCCGTAGATAACCATAGGTGGAACAACGTGGAACATCATTTCGGAAAGAGCCATGGATTTCCGGCCGGCTATGTCTATGTTATAACTTACCGAAGGGGATCCCTAGTACAGAACTAACAGAACTGACTCATGATTTATCCGAGTGAACAAATCCCGTTAAATGAAACATTGAAGCCAATTAAATCCCATTCAATCATATTAAATCCAATGTAAATCCCACCAAGTTTGTTCATGCTTAAACTCCATGCATTTCCCCATTCCCATGGGCCATCGGCTTGGGAAGCCGCAGGTGGGGTGAGTCCTTGTGGTTTCCGACCATCCACGAGGCTGCCAGGAAGGACGCGCCTGCGGCCAGTGTGATTTTCACTGCTGTACTGGTTGGTGGTTTGGAACATGACTGGATTATGACTTTCCATATATTGGGAATGTCATCATCCCAACTGACGAACTCATATTTTTCAGAGGGGTAGGTATACCACCAACCAGGATATCTATAGATACTTATCCATTGAAATGTTAATCCAATCTACTGACTTTTGTTTTTTGTTCTTGCTTTGATCCGTTTACAATTTTAACGTATTGATTCCATCGTGGTAGAACTAATCGTTGGATGTGTCCTGTTTATGCAGTGGTTACGCAAATAGCCCATGCCCCCAAGGTTTCTTCTCTCTGTAACTGGGAAAATCACATCTGATGGAAGGAAATACTATAGAGAGAGAGAGAGAGCGGCGCTGCAAACAGGAAAATATGGTAAGTATACTTAGTACCCCAATAATAAACCCTTTATATCTTCAGAAATCGTTGGGTAATGTTGGCTCAGCATGAAAAAGTGGGTTTTGTCACATGGTTTAACATGGTTTAACATGGTTTAACATGGTTTAACCACACTAGTCCCATCCACCGTTCATTTTAAACACCCAAAAACCATGGTTTACCTCGGGAGATGGGACTGGGACATGGGACATGGGGACGACTGGCGACGCTGGTGGCCTTGGTGGCGACCAAGGAGAGCGAGTGGCCTGACATCGACGAGCGATATCTCGAAGGTGGGGATCAAAGATGGATTGCTGAGAGAAAATGATATCCTCTGGTGAACTAACATAGCAATGAAAAATGGCCATTTATAGTGGATTTTCCCATTAAAAATGGTGATTTTCCATTGCTATGTTAGTTCACCAGAGGGTATGGTGATCGATCTAAAGGTCCTTGTAAGGAGTTAAAAAAATCCCGGATAAATGAATTTTGATCAACCAACATATAGTACTGTAATATTCAATATATAGATAATATAGATATTTCATAATTTTGTAGTGATAATAATAATGATAATATGACAACTCTGTACATTTCTATAGTTCTTATTTTTTTTCCTGTCCTAAGTCTGAAGTCTCACTTTAATGTAACAATTCTGATTCTCCTTCCATTCGAATTTGAATCCATTCCAATTGAATTTGCTTCTATTCTATTCTATTCTATTCTATTTATTCTATTCTATTTATTCTATTCTCTGCTATTCTATTCTTTTCTCATCTAGTCTATTCTATTCGATTCGTTCAACTATTCAATGTTTATTCGCACGGGCCAGAAGTGACTGCAAGTCACCAATGCCCAGTGTCGGGATGCCCAGTCCATGGAGTTGGCCGGTTGCATCCCTCCAACCGCAGAAAAAGTGTGTCACTGGTATCCCAAAATGAGTCACTGATCCCAGTTTTGATTGCGTATAATTTCATATCCCAATGTCACTTCATTTAAATCAAACTTATAATTAACTTATAACGCTGATATCCAAAAATTCCTCAGAGCAAGCAGTTTCACCCTTGGAGTGTTTCACATACGCACTCCTCCCGATTTCCGACGATATGTCCACATGGGTCTCCACTTCATGTTTGTCTTGCCGGAGGCCGAAGACGACATATCCTGGAGGCGGGTTGAGGGTTTCGAGGCCCTGCTGTTTTGGAATGTTTTGGATTCATGATCAGTAAACATCATGAGCTATATCAACTAGTTGCTAATAAGCAGCCAGCGAACATGTTCGTATAACAAGTTGTTCTATCACGAGTTCCGGGTTCTGTTTTCTCAGAATGAAGGGAAGGTCAGTTCATTTGGATCAGTTCATACGGACCTCACGTCGCAACATCACTGTAATGATGCTTAGTAGGGTGTGTGACTAATATACCTTTACTGACCTTCACAAAGATAGAGCAGTTATTTATATATCTAGTTTATTCTGATTTAGTATCCATATGCCGATATTATCTTTGGTTGCTATACTCATCATAAGAATCATAAGTGATTTGCAACATTAATGTTATCCTATAATTAAAATCATCTAAACTCCATAATCCTTAGATATTTCCACACTTATTTATACAATTTCTACGTATTTTCTTCGTATTTTCTCCGTTTCTTCGAGGTGTTGCTGTTGAACGATCCGATCTCCTCCCAGGAACACGAGAAGCTGGCGGCACTGAATGCCAGGCTTGGGGCCACCAGGACGCCATGAAACATGGTGAGTGCTGGAAATACATTAAAGACTTATAGTACAAGTGTGTATGTAAAAATATATGTATATATACAAAGTACACACACACGCACATATATATATATATATATATTATGTATATGTTGTATACATATGTGCGCATTTAATCATATGTACGCGTTGTTTGGTCTACATGTAGAATAATACGCCAGGTATATATATATATATACATATGTCTGTGTGTGTGCTGTGTGGTTCAAGCTTGTGATTTGTCCACCCATCATGATCCGTGAGGTTGGGAATAGCTGCGGGAAACCACCATGTTGCGCCCTTTAAAACTGGGACATTGCACGGGATAAGTCCCGGATTGACAAACGTTTCTTTCTTCACCGAAGTGTAGTCCTTTACCATTCCAGCTTGCTAGTTAAGATACCGTATTCCATTTCTTTTGCCTACATATTTGTCCAGTTCCACAAATAAACGATGGTTTCCCAGTTCCAAGCATTTCTTATGTAGGGATTGTGAGCCCTACCATATGGATTGGCAACTCTGGCGGATTCCCAGAATTAGATGCGAAAATTTCAGGACACCCGGACACCCCTATATGAAAACCCTGGTTTCTGGTTCAGCTTCTCCCTTTCACCAATCCAATGAATATTTCTGCTCGGAGCTGAGGTTCCACACACACAGCATATATGTAACATATATCCCTAATTATCAATTCACCCCATTATGCACTCATGTTTGGTTGGTTAAATCCCTCATCAACATTTTTAATATATATATAATTATATATATATATAGTTTAGATGGTCAGTGGAGGCATCTCCATTGTTTGTTACTACGTGTATAGTTGGCTACTATTAGTTTGTTACTATATCCATATATCCATAGTTATGATTGTAGTGTATGTTGGCTAGAGCTGATATATCCATACTGTATATCCAATCCATTTTTCTCACTATAAACAGCTACAAACTTGCTGATATATTAATTGTTCTGACTATAAACATCTATAAACCTGGTGATATATCCTTTTTTCTTACTAAAAACATCTATAAACCATTATAAACCTGGTGATATATCCATTTTTCTTAGTATAAACACCATTGTTTGTTGGTGAGACCCTAGAAAGAAACCTTGCAGGCGCGCCGCTGTGCTGGTGGTGGGCGCCGGTTTCATCGGCGTCGAATGGGTCACGGAACTGCAGACGCTCGGTCGAAAGGATCCCAAAGGGATCCCCGGTACCGGGACGCTGGGAAATCCACCGGGAAAACCATGCAGAAAATGGACAAATGTAGCAGAAAACTATATAAAACTATCATATATTCATATATATATATATACATATAAAGATGATATGTCCATCATATTATTCCCATCATACATCATACATATGTATATATATATTATATATATATACTGGTTGGTTTGGAACATGACTGGATTTTGACTTTCCTAATATATTGGGAATGTCATCATCCCAACTCACGAACTCATATTTTTCAGAGGGGTAGGTATACCACCAACCAGCTATGGTTTTTATGAAGAATCCATAGAACCTCCATGGAACATGGTAAACTGTTTAGCGGAGAAAATGATGGAAAAATTGGCATGGATGGAAAAACTGGTTGCATCACCAGATGCAAAACTGGATTGGCACCTCCCGGCACCAGAAATTGGTGTACTACCGGTGCAACCATCATTCTCATAGCTTCAAATCACGCCGCAGGATTTATTGTAAAGTCTGCTGATTTTTGATCAGTGTTCCATGTTTGTCCAAGTAAATCATCCGGAAATTGAGTCAAGTGTGCCCTTGAGCCATACTGTACGTGCATGGGCATTCACTTGGAATGGGCAACGCCCAGGCACTTTTTTCCTCAGCTTCAGCTGACTATCGTCGCTTGGGAATTGTTGTTTCAGCAGGAGATGTTTGATCTTTGGGGTGTCAAATGCAGTACATTGTACTGTATCTATCATCCCTTTTCCAATGTTTTTTTTTATGAATGATACTAGCTTTAGTCTCCAATGTAGTTGACTTTCTGTGGGATCACGTGGATCATGTGGGATCATAAAATATGTTAAATTGTTATCACATAAATTCACCCCGGCAAGATCATTTGTTATCACTCTTAATGCACATAATTAGGTGATCTTGGCTAACTAACCGTGATGTGAAGGGTGATGTGATCTTACATGATGCACAATCACTAAGATTCAACACTTAATGCACATACTTGGGTGATCCTCCGACCGAGGAGTCTAGACACTGGACTGTTTCCAGCCTCGCTGCAGGTAGATGTTTTGCCCAGATGCTTGGGACCACTGCCGGAGCGTGCTGCCAAGTACTGCGAGAGATACATGAAACCTGGCAGAATTGGCAGAATTGCTGTTGGTCGAGTGAGTCGAGATGCTGTAAATTTGTTTGGTAAATATGTTGGATATTGATGGATGATGTTGGATATTTTGATGGATTTTCTTGGTTTCTTTTGTAGGATTATGTTGATTCAGCTTCAGCAATGGATAGTGGTGCCATCCACAGTCAGGGGCGATTTCAGTGGAGTGAGATGGAAAACCAATGAGATGACTGAGGTAAATCTCAGTTTAGTGATTTTGTTCTCAGATACTGTATATATAATATACCCTCTGGTTATTTAACATAGCGAACTGGAACATGGCCCATAGAAATAGATGGTTTACCTAGCTGTAAAATGGTGGATCTGTCCATGGCAAACTGTTAAATAACCAGATGGCACACACACACACATATATATATATCTATCTATCTATCTATCCATCCATCCATCCATCCATCCATCCATCCATCTATCCATCTATCCATCTATCCATCCATCCATCTATCCATCTATCTCCCTATCTATCTATCTATCTATCCATCCATCCATCCATCCATCTATCCATCTATCCATCTATCCATCTATCCATCTATCCATCTATCAATCTATCCATCTATCCATCTAATCTATCTATCTATCTAGTCTAATCTATCTATCTATCTCTCTATCTACCTATCTACCTATCTACCTATCTACCTATCTACCTATCTACCTATCTACCTATCTACCTATTTATCTATCTATCTATCTATCTATCTATCTATCTCCCTATCTCCCTATCTATCTGTCTGTCTATCTATCTATCTATCTATAGATAGCAGAAATCGTGCTAGATAGTGCTGGATATGTGATGAGTCAGAATCAATCAGATGCCAAGATCCCCGCGAGTTTCTTTTCATGTGCCATAATTGGGAAGAACAACTGCAGGGTCTAAATACCCTCTGGTAAATTAACATAGCTATTGAAAATGGCCATAGAAATAGTGGATTGATTTACCCATTATGTTAGTCCATGTGGACGCAAAATTGTTTTGGAACAGGTTTAAACTTCAAGCCAATTAATCGGCCATTTCCAGTGGGCAGCTCACAGGCTCACATCACCAGTTGCTGACTTCGTGGATCATCCAGGCATAGTTGCTCCGGATGGCTCCTCACCAGCCATTTTCGAAGATTGTTTTTGACACGAAACCGCTTTGTGCCTTTCCAGCTGAGGAACAGAGTTGGCATCAAGTATCTTGGCATCAAAATTGTTTTCGGGGCATATGTTTTTTTTTGCAAATTGGCAGTGGCTAGTTGGCCCATTGCAAGGTTGATGGCTACTTCCGCCATGGAATCTGCATTTTCTTTTGGCTGCTTAATTGACCGGTGATACACCCATCAATACCCATCAATCAACCAGTAGAATCAATCCGCAATGGGTGTGAGAAATTGCTTGAACTGAACAATTCCGATATCTGACGCTTTCCTGAAATCCTGAAAACCAGAACCTTTTAATCAGAAAACAACGATTTTTATTGCCGGTTCTTCTTTTGCTCCCCCATGAGGAATACTTCTCTTGTTGTAAGCATGCACCTGCGTGTTTCAAGCTGTCCATGGGTGTATGGGTCACAGCTTCCCGAGTTTTCAGGACCACACAGGTATATTGGCCCCCAAAAAAATGCCCTTTCTTGTTTCACAAGAAAAACAGTGTTACGGATTGTTTCTGGTTCCATCATGTTCCATCCCTCATTTTGCACCCCATAAGTGGCCCCAAATCTGTGCATTGCGACATGACCAGACCATGGTTTCCGGTGCTGTCAGGGGGAAGGGATTGCTGGATCCTTGTGGGTTTTCATGTTGACCCTATGACAAGCCAAAGGCAGGTCTATGACATCAAGTATGACCCCGTGCCTTGGCGATTTGATGATGCGACTGGTGATTGGTGACTGGTGAATAGGCCATAGAAATATAGTACATGTTTATTTTTGACTGCAATGTGCCATAGAGTACTAAAGCAAATGTGTATGAATGTATGCATAATTATGTATATAACTATATATATATATGTGTACATTAGTATGTATATATATAATATGCGTGTGTATCATGTGTTTAAACAATATATACTTGGTATATATATATATATATACATACAGTATACATGTGTACGTGTATGTATGTATAAATATATGTGTGTTTATTTACATATACACATATATATCTTATGTGTGTGCTATATACTTGTTGGTATTCAAAGATATGCCCAATTTTAAGCCTTGATCCTCATTTGTGCCCCTCGCAGCTCTGGCGCTGACCTTGAATATAGAAACTGTAGTTTTGATCATGTATCAAATGTATCATCGATAGGCATACTGATTCCTCTAGATCAATTCTTTACTGTAGTTACTCTCTTTGGCAGCCCTCAGGAACCAAGTGGAATAAGGGCTAGCCGATTGCTGCGCGTAGCTGTGCGGCCAAGGTCAGCCAGACCTTCTGGGATCAAGTAGGTTTACCTGCCAAGGCTGAGAAAACGTTTGTTTCTGGGCGTCGCCGCGTCGCCGCTGCGTTCTGGGGAATGGGTTGTAGATGGGGAAGCACAGGGTCAAAGGACAGGTAGATAAAAACTTCAAGATAGTTCAAGTTTGTGTAAAGTTTACAGGGGTGAATGCACATGTTCAGATTTGAATGCATCCAACTTCACATTTGGTCATGTGTATGATTAAAAATCATTGAACATCATGAAGGTCTTGGCACACCGCTGCCCGTCGCTGCCCCACACTGCAGTGCCGAGGTTTGTATCGGCGTGAAGGCGTCCAACTACTTCATGCCGCCCGAGACCTTGAGCTGCTCGGCGGCTTGCAGCGGCGGCGATGGCTGAATGTACTGGTAGATTTACAACACTAATGAGAGATGACTTATGACTTATTTAGTACTTAGATTTACTTAGTAATGAAAAGTAATGTTCGATTCATTTATAAATCTTAGTGAAAAGTAAGGATACACTCATTTTTTTGAAACTATGTCAATCCGATTGATCAAGTTTGTTGATGACATGGCCCATGTGTTCCTGTGAAGTTCAATCCCGTCACACCATTGATCAGAGGCTGGAAAGTTTCCAGATTTGTGAGCTGGTTGCCGCAAATCCTCCAGACACATGTTTCGGTGATATTTAATATATTTAAGATATTTCAATTGATGACTTGCAGTTCATCATTTTCAGTGTGCCATCCTCTTGTTTTTTTTCCAACATGGGAACATGTTTTCTGGTTTTGCTCCGTGTTTTGAATGCTATTCCCATCTTTAGTGACTTCGAAAAGATAGAAACGTAAAATCTAACTAGAATAGTCATGATTTATAATGACTTACCCACCATTCCCACCATTTCCCACCTATTCCTTTCGTTTTTTCCCAATGGGGCTGGAAGCAGCCGATCCCGGCTAGGCGTACGCGGCCCAGGCTGCTGACTGCTGACCTGGTGGTTGTGGCTGGGAATTTCTGGGATTTGGGGTCAACAAGCAGAAATTACTATGGTTGATAGATAATAGATGGTTTTATCAATAGAAATTACATGAAATTACTGTTGTTATTTTGGGATGGTTGTGAAAGATGATTCATATTGGTTGGTATCAATTAATTGGATGAAAAAGATGGTTAATATATGGTTAATATGATTGATAATAAACCAAATGGATTCTGAAATATACTACACTACTATAGTGGCTAGTAGCACAGCAAATGTAGATGGTCAATATTAGTACTGTTCAATAGTACGGTTATTCATAGTATTGTGTTAGCAATATTTGCTTGATACCAGCCATTGCTAGTAGTACAAGCCATCGGTTTCTTCTTGGATCAGTGGACTTTGGAAGCGTTTTAGAAGGAGAAAGATACCGAACCCCATGCCTTCCTGTAGATGTTTTCTGAAGCCACCCCAGTGATGGACATGTGTATGCTGAGTTTGCAATGTATCATGCACACACACACATGTATATATATATATATGTAGTATTATGTATTATGATACGACATATGCATACATACATACTTTTGTAGTATATATATATTATAATATATCATATATCTCTGTGTGTGATTGTGTGTGTGCGCGTCTGTGCCAAGGTTAAAAGTTGGGGAACATGTCCATTGCTAGGACTCTTGGACCTAGCGCCAGGCGGTGGCGGCTGGATTCACTTCAATCAGAAGTTGCAGGCAGTGGATGGCAGCGATAGGGTCATGTTTTGGCAAAGCGCAGAGGAACATGGCCCCATCATGGCCCCATATATCGCAATGTGGCATTCTTTGATATTATTTGAAGGAGTTGAGTTTCTGGATTGGAGAAACATGCACTGCATTCAACATCACACTTTGTGTTTGCATGTGATCTTGTGAAAAAACAACGCGCTTTGATGGTTTAAGTAGGCAAAAAAGGCATCTTAAGAAAAAACATGGTGGCAATCCACATCCCCCTGAAAACAAGACATGTATAGCAGCAAAACAGTAATAATTATAGTTACAATTCGCGATGATCTAGCTTCCAAAAGGACCCTGAAAAATAATACTAAAAACAGGACTTGGGGTGTTTGTTCATCTCGTGGATTTCTTCTCTGCTTTTGGACTTCTTCCCCTCATAGTTGCATCTCTGCTTGGATACTTTTGAACGAATACTTGCTTTCATGCCTAGCCGTGGTTATGATACTCATTTTCATCTAGACAAGTATGCCAATGCTCTATCTTTACACATTTTCACCTACATGTCAACCAATGTGGTGAAACCAATAATAAACCTATCATTTGGGGCTGGTTTATACCACCAATTTATGGTGCTTTTGGGGATGTTTTATTCTTGGGTTGCAAACATTACCCTCCGGTAAACTAACATCGCTATTGAAAATTGCCACTTATAGTGGATTTACCCATAAAAAATAGTGATTCTCCATGATTTTCCATAGCTATGTTAGTTTACCAGAGGGTATTTAGATCCGGCATCTGTGCCGCAGGTCACAGAGCGTCCCCGGGGTAACGACCCCATCGGAGAGCTCTGGGCCGAAGGACGAGTTTTCGCCGTGGGCGATTGCAACTATGGTTCCCCGCAACGTTGGGAATACCCTGTTGATTAATCGTTTAGCATAGCTCGGAAAGAATGGCCCAATTTATAGATGAGTTATATGAAGTTATATGAGGATTTACCTACAAAACATAGTGATTGTCCCATACATTTTGGTAATTTAACAAAATTTAATATAGCTATGAATGATCTTTAGATGGCCCATTTTCATCCATGCTATGTGAAATTGCCAGAAGCTACTGTGGTTTTATAGCTGGTGTATAGTTGTGAATCTATTGTACATACAGTTTGGGAAATATATGTATAATATTATATATATATATTTTATTGTATATGGCAAGCAATTGTTCTTATTGCTGGCTTTAGCGACTACATGCGACTATCAACCAGCCATAATCAATATGGGTGTGTGTGTGTGTAGAGATGGGTTTCAATTGTATGTTTAAAGGGGCAACATGACTGTAAACAACCGGATTAGCTTGCAGTATACTTTAGATGGGTGCCGGCAACCTTTGATGGGCACTTTTGCAACTTATTTTTGTATATGTTAGTGCAGATCTATGATATACATATATATAGTTATATGTATATTTATATATACACATAAACATCATAGATATATGCATGCTTACACATGCCACCCAGCCAAAAAGCACATTTTGTGCAGAGTACTGGTATCGATGGGTGATGATCGGGATTTCTTTACGCTACTGTGATCTCCGATGCTACCTGCTGAGGTTGCATCGGAAACCCTCCCGACTGGATCATGGCGCCAGTGCCCAAGGTGCGGGGCACCGCTTATGGACCTTCCTGCTTTGAGACTGTTGTGGCAAGCTGCTCAAGAACAAGAGCTAGAAAGCTGTGCCACCCCAGATATGTTGGTTCATTGTTGTTTATTATTCATATTTATTCATATACTATATTATTATACCTACATTATACCTACTACCATAAGCATCCATAATCCAAACCCTCGGTAAGCTGTGTTAAGCTATATAGCTATGAAGAATAACAAACTTGGCAAAGTATGGGCCATCATGATATGCAATGACCCATGCCATCCGCAGGTCTCCTTCCCTAGCGAAGAGCAAGCGGCGCACGCTTGCAGCAACTTGCGGACGATGACCAGCGGAAGCCCAAAGGACGCACGACGCGAGTGCAGCCGATGGCGGCCATGGCGAAATGCCTGGCCGCTGTTTGATATATCATAACTTCCAAAGTTTGTGAAAAACTTATGATTTCAATTCCACTTAGACCGCACTTTCAACTATATATATATATAACGTTCATAATTAACTATATATAGTTTCCAAGATAGCTCAAGAGTTCGATTATTTTTTTAGCCCCTTATTGCCCAAAACAGGGTGCTCTGTGGGTACCATTGGGTACCCAAAACCCTCAGGAGCTCAAAGATACCTACTGGCCCTGGGGTGCAGGCATGTTTGCCACCAGCCTTGGTCCTCGTAGCTTGGGATGATTTTGATGGGAATAGAATGGGAACATCGTTGCGGGAAACAAAACATGTTTTTGTTCATGAAAAGATGATGTGCCCATCAAAAGAAGATAGTGCGTCACACCAATTTTGATGATTTTGTGAAAAAATGGAAGTGGATTGGGATGGTGAAACTGTTTGTGTCTATGGTTCACAGTGATTGGCACCATTTTGGAGTAGGATTCCTCAGCAAATGAGCCACAGTTTTGGGTTGGTTTTACCTATCATTTCCTATAAATGTATACAGTAAATGTCCTGCATTTGACGTAGTTTCACCATTTGCAACATATTTTCCATTAAAGCATGGTGTAGGCCTAATTGTTGGGCACCATCTTTCTATAGGTATAATGTTTATCCCATTGGTTTTCGTAACAGTTGAATGAACAACCTACTCGTAACCAAACTACCAATCATGTCATGGCGATTTGAGGTGATGCGTGTTTCGTGGCGGGCGCCAACCATCAGAAAGGCTCTGGCTACATGGTGAATTGGTTCCTTGGCGGTGAGACTTTTGGGAAAGCGAAGTGTCGCCCTGCACCATAGTGGACCATAGCAGCATGATGATGTGCCAAGTAATCAAGAATGTGGACACCTAATGCCGACACCTTGCATCCTGCCAAGCAGTAGAAGGAAACCAGTTTTGTGTTAATTGTTGGGGCTGAAACCAGGACTGACTTTCATCCCAGGTGGCTTCCTGCAGCCTGGCAGAAAGAACTCATTGAAAGGACTGGATCAGATCCATGGAATTTCTGGATGGTTGGCCGAAGGTACAGTATTTTAATTTTTGCATTTTTTGATGCTGTTTTCTGTTGAACATGGGACTTTCTAGGCACTACAACACCTGTATTTTCCACTTTGCGGCAGGATTTGCCAACGTGGATACGTTGACCTAATGCCCTTGCGCCGTTTTGCGACGCCAGGACGAAAATCATGGAATGCCCCTTGATTGGATTGGCGCTACCAGTGTTTATGGTTGGTAAATAGGATCACTTCATTTTACGTGTTGCAGGTGATACTGTCGCATGATGCACTCATGGTTGGGCACTGTTGAGTTGTAATTGCAGATGACATTAGATAATTTTGATAAGTTGGAATTGTGAATGATGATCGTAGGTGATCGTCACAGTGTGACTTTTGAATACTTTTCTGTTTTCAGCTGAAGGTGCGTAGTGAACATGTTCGCATGGCGTAACTGCCAGCTTCAAAAAGCTCCCAAGGCCGTGATAACACCATCGGACGGGCAGCATTTTTGGCCGCAGAGCGGGGCTGTTGGTATGGGATTATCAGGCTGAAGCTAAGGCAACTCCATCCCCCGGGACATGAATCCCTACACATGGGGCACCAAAGGAACATTAAACATTTGGTGTAGTGGCGATGTTTATCTCACTGGTTCCCTTGGAAGTTTTCCGGGGTTTGCCCAGCATGTTTCAACCTTTCAGCAATCATCCCAGTTCGATTGTTCGGGCGTTTGAACCCGAGTCCTGCTTGCACTCTTGATAGAGCCCAAGCCTAAGTCAGATTCCATTTTGATTCATTTGGTAGAGCAACTGAGTCCAAAATTGGTAATTAATTTCAGGCCACATCCAAGCTAATGGTCAAGTGGATGCAGTTGGACAGGGCTTGCTTCCGAACACATGGTGACACATGCTATACATGGCTCAGCATTGGCTAAAAATCCAAGATCTTGGGCGCACCTGAGCACATCCGTATCTGCCACTATGTGCTCCAATATATTAACATCCAGATATTGATATCCCATGGTATTTCCACTATTCCATCAATATCCCACCAATATAATCAGTCAAATTTGGGTGGTACGCACACGCACACACATATACAATTATCTATATATAGTGTATATAACCCAATGATTTGCGGCTTATTTGTTTTATCCATTGATCGATGGCATCCTCCCGTGGCTTCCCAGGTTTGGCACTTCGTGCACCACCGACCCTTCCTTCAGTAGAAAAGCACCGGCCAACCTGATGGTGACATGCCTTGTGCGACTTCGAAAACATCCAACTGGTACCACATATATATATATATATTATAATATATATATAGCGAATCCATTTATGCAATGCAGTCTGTTTGTATGATATAGATCCACCTTCAAATTTCAGCTACGAAATGGGGAGGACTTGGGCTACAGTACAAATTGCCAGCCAGCATTTTTTTGTACAAACAGGAGGGGTTGTGCCCCCCATTTTGTATTTGGAATCATTTTGTAGTTGATTCCTTTCAAATCATGCATTTTCATTTTGTAGTTGTATATGTTGAGTTAGTTGAAGCATCCAACATAAAATTTCATCAGCATTTTGTAGTTGTACAAGTTGAATAGTTGAAGCATCCAACATAAAATCTCATTTGCATTTTGTAGCTGTACAGGTTGAATAGTTGAAGCATCCAACATAAAATCTCATTTGCATTCATGCTAAACATTCATTTGCATCCAACACAAACAGATCGTGAAGCTACAGAATGCCATCTAACAAACTGCACGGGGTCAACACTTGATCCAACTAAATTCAATCATTGACAACTACAAAATGTTCTCCGAATTTATGTTGGTCGGAACTTTGGATGGCAAAGACCCAACTACAAAATGTCATTGGGAAAAATCATGTTAGAAATTCCGACGTTCAGCTATTTTTTTGACTTCAGATGCATTGGATTTTGTAGTACTGGTTTTGAATTATTTTCCGAGCCAGAAAGAGTTATGTTCTTCATTTTGTAGCTGAAAAAAAGTACATGCACTTGCATTTTGTAGTTGTGCACCCTATGCATTCTGCTCTGTATCTACCAAAACCATCTGCACAACTCCTCCCCCCTTATCTGAACCCCGATTGATATAGAACTTGATAAAGTAAAACGTTGCAATATGTTACTGCAATGCCATTCGAAACTAGTTAGCTCGTTCCAGGATCCCCGTTTGAATTTCCACTACAGAAAGGGTGGACTTGTGATAAGTACAACCTGCTGTTTTGGGTCAATTGCAGGTTTTTAGATTGGGGTTGGTTGCCATTTTGTAGCAAACTGCACTTGGGCCATATCCAATTGTCATTTTGTAGTAACAGTTTTTTTTTTATTTTTGATAGTTATGTTAAAACCAAAACCCGTTTTGTAGCATTTTGGAGCTGTATGATTTGTAGTTGGTATTCCTTCTTTGTAGAAGTTGCATCTTGGATTTCAAGTTTGTAGTAAACATGCATTTATGCCGTGATGGATCGTGGCAATGTCATTTTGTAGTAACTGAGCTTGTGTAGTGAAACTTGGGTTGGTTGCTACAAGATGGTTTGACCCGACGAGGAGGTCCTTGACTGCTGTGAGCGATCTTTACTTGACTTGAGAAGAACAATCCAATACTCATTTTGTAGCACTTGGAATCTTGAACTCTTATAGGCTTCCTCAGAAACGAATAGCCATTTTGTAGCAAAAGAAAATCTTACTTTTTGCATGAGACTATGGATTTTGTAGCCTGCTAGCTTGGGAAACTTTTCAGTACGTACAAAGAGACGGACCCAACTACATTAGGTTTATTCAAACGAGGATGTTCCAGGTATTACTTTTCAACACGTTTTTTTTCATGATGGCGAAGGTCTCTATATACCACTGGCCATTTATATTTTTGCACCGCGGGATGGCATTGCACACAGACGGCCACCGGCTGGCATTGGGAGTCCACATGTCGCATGTCCCCATCATTGGCCTGTATTGTCAGGGTCATCCAGGGTCCAATCATAAAAGAGAAGACAGCCTCAAAACGCTTCAGAGTCTAAAAAGAGAGGTTCCTTTTTTGACATACCCAAATGATGTTAGAACCTCTGTTAGAACCTCTTTGCAATTTTCGGCACAGCGACGACATCGCTCGACACAGGTCGGCATGTCGTCGTGAACAGCTGCCATTCTGACCTGACAAATCCGCAACTTGTTGTCGGATAAAATGGCCACAACTCTACAGGGACAACACAGGGACAGTTGGCAAACAGCTAACGGTTGGCAAACTGAAACTACAAGTTAGCACTGGGTTTCCACAAGACGTATGGGCCCCCGTTTTGAGTGGCACAGACAGGGAAAAAAACATGTTTGATGTTATGTTACTGTACATCATATTCCATTTGCCAATGGTTTGCCGCTTGTAGTAGTGCCATGTAGTGGGCACAAGTACTGGTACTCACATCCTTGACGGGCCCCTATAACTTACAAACGGGCCAAAGAGGGGTATCAATGACACGGGATCACTGCCTCCAACTATGGTTAACTACCAGTTCAATGGGCCAGTAGAAGAATCAAAAACATGCAAGAACTGGGCGCAATCACAGGCAATCACTGTCGGATTTGCAACTGACGTGTTCGAATTACAAGCACGAATTGCTAGCACACGGTTTAATTACGAACATGAGATTGTAATTGCGAAAGTCATATCATATCATATCTTAACAGCGAAAGCCTTGAAATCACCTAACTGCGAAAAAGAAGGGTCTATTGCCATGGTCTGCAATTTAGCAGCTTCAAGTGACATGGTCTAGAGCCTCCAGTCTACCTCCAAACATCACCTCCGGTAATCAGCCTGGATCCCGGCGGCTGTACTGGGTCAAGGACTGGAATTGTCCAGTTCTTTCCAGAATGTAAGGGATGTCTAGGCTTTGCCATGCAAGAGGATCTTGCAGCGTCGTGACAAATCAAGTCATGATATCTTTGTGGATTCAAACTTGCAGACCAAAAAGCATCTTCAAAACGTTCACTTTTATATCATTGTTCTTGTTGTCAGCTATGTGTACTATGTGATACTATGTGCATATGTGCCATGTTTCAACCAAACCAGAATCAAACTATCAGCAACTACAGCTTTACCATTCTGCCGGCGCTGCCCGGCGACGCCAGCCACGCGGAGGACTACAAGATGTGTTGCTGGTGTTCTTTTCAGTTATTTGTAATCAAAAGAACGGCAAGGTTGTGATGACACCAATTTATCATATTTATCACATTTTACTACTGGAGTATTGGTTCAATTAAGTTTTCAACAAGATGTTTGTGTGTGCTTGAATTTTAGGTGGTCCAGGTCCAGGTGACATATTTCAACCAAGGGGAAAAAACAACTCTCCCATAGGTACATAATGTTTTTTCATTCTTTGAGGGTTTACGCAGTTGTGTTTTTTTTGGTTGTAGGGTAGAGATCAAGCATAATCAATCTGTAGGATCCATGACAGAAGGACTTTTGTCAAATGGTGCACTCTTGGGTCAAAAACACCAAACGAACAAAGTGAATGGTTTCCACCTCTCACTTGGAATTCTGCATGGATCACATAAATAAGATGTTTCAACAGAAAAAACATGTGATTTTTTATAAGAACAATAGGCCTTAAAATCAACTAGACCAATGCGGCCAGCGAGATGGGAGATATAATCACATATGTTGGATAGTCTAACCATAAATGTTCGATTTTCAGGTGTCGTCTCTGAATTTAGAGGGTGGTATGTTTTTGGGATTTCCTCACTGTCCTTCTTGCAGTGGAAGCAGACATGAAATTCCAATAAGATTAATACGGCACCACCTAGCTGACCCAGTGCCAAAAATGATAAACCCAGTCACCCAACAACCAAAGATCGCCCCAGCAAATTTCACAGACTGATATTTCTAGAACAATCCTCAAGGAACAACAATTCTTATCACCCGGGAACGGCCAGGGCAAGTCAAATGTGCTCTTCACTCCAGCGAGCGCATGCGGCAGATCTTGCAGATGAGGTGGGAAGTTTCATGAATGTTGGGCACCGGACAGGAGGCATTCCAAGTGGCCCCTTTCAAAACGGGAAAGCAGCAAATGCTTTGGGCTTGGAGGTATTATCACATGTAAAAAGACATCCTTAATTTTTGGATACAGCACCTATGTCCAGATTGCCTTGCGGCTCAGAGATTACTTATTTGAAAGGCTTGCCGCCCTTGGCGTGGAATGAAACGGCAGTAGTTCGCTTGACCCTGGTACCCTTGGTTTTCACATTCCAAACAATAAACGATATTTGAATAATATAACACGTGTTTGGTGACAATGTGGGACAAACGTATGACATCTTATGACCACCCACCTTGTTGGGAGCCACGTATTTGCGGTGCAGCAGTGGTTCAGATATTCAGTTGTGGCCTCTGCATGCAGCAGGATGTTTAAATTTGCATTTGCGTGATTGACACTATACCAATGATAGATATTTGATGTTATATGAGTCGCAACCACACATTCTTTATCATTTCTTTTGGGTTTCAGTATAGGGCCCTACCAAATTTAAAGAATGACAGAGCTTCCTATAGAAGTGGAGTGCCATGGAGCTATCCAGGCGTCAAGACTCGCAGTGTCGACTGACCTGAAAGTTGCAGACAGTTTTCAGGGTCTTGCTATGGGCGAAATGGCTATGGATGGCCAATCCTCATCTTTGGGTCCACCGTCATCCTTGTAGTTGGTGTTTGTGCGGTTTGACCGGCGAGCTGTGCTCTCACATGTTTGAAAAGCTTGGCGGAGAGGAATGGAGAATCAGAGCAAAAAGAGCTGTCAAGTTTATTATGCTGTGGCCAGTGATGCTTCTGGCATCTTCTGGCCAAATGCTGTGGATTCTATGGTACCATCTCTTTCCTTGTTCAGCCCGCTAAAAAATCCTTAGAGAGAGCTGTCTTCACGGCCCACGAACACACGATCGTGTTCGAAGGCAACGTGCTGCCGGCCAGAAACACAGTGTGCTCATGGCCTGGGAAGTATGAATCGGCTTGGGATTCGCTCGTGGAGGGCTCGCAGCACTTTGGTTTGCACGATCCAATTCCTGCGAAGCAGGACTTGCAGGACTTGCTGGTCCAAGTGGATCGCCAACATCGACCTTGCAGTGCAGCAACACTGCACGCTGGAGGTCTAACATTTCAACGGCAAGGTCGGGAAGGGGGAAGTCAACGCGTCTTCGCCATACTCTCGGGAGCTTCACAGCTTGTTTCTGGCTTGGCTTCCTGATGAGGAACGCCACTTCCTTGAAGAGTCCGAAGGCCTGGGCAACTCTCAGAAGGCTGAAGTGGCATGACTGGAGAGACAAGGATACCACTACGTTGAAAAAGAAGTTACCCAGCTTGGCGGTTCATCGCCCAAGGTGATGGGGCGGAAAAGGGAATAAAATGGAATAAATGTCCTTGAGACTTTGAGATTGCCTTGAGGGCTACTTGCAAATTGTGATTCCATTATTTTTGCTACTTTGATTGGTTGCCTGTTTTCCATAACGAAGACCAACTTCCATCTGAATTTCTGCATTCACGCAGGTGTTGCCCTCGAGGACATGCCAAAAACAGATGGCAGCATCGCAAGCACTGAAACACTGCCTGTGAGCCTTGCGCCATTTCCAACCCCAAATCACCATAAATTACCTATAGCTTCTCACTTCCTCCATGCAATTTCAATGCATCAGGGAGGCCTTTAGGTTGGGAAGCCTGAGCATCACGGGAGCCACCTAGTAATATAAGATTATTTAAGATGTAGCTGCCATCGGTCATCGTGAGTTTTGACATGCTTGCAGGGTCTTGCAGGCCATGTTGGATACCAGTCAAGACCAACCACCCAGCAGCTTGTTGCTGGGTTTCAGTTACTTGGAGCTATAAAATTTCATTCCGGAAACGAGACTCGGCACTCGTTGTGTTTATGTTTTCTTGCGGTACCAGGAGTGTTTCAGACGGTATTTGTATGTATTTGTGGTATTTCCATTAATTTCCACCATTTGTTGTTTACACGTAGCCCATCCTTTCTGAAATATCCAGATGATGCCAGACACCTTGTTGACAGCGACGACAGTTCTGACGAATCCGCAAAGTTGATGTGGAGAAAACTGGCAATTGTTTTGCAACTGGATAGGGGGATGTTGTAAATGTTTGGCTGACATCAGTTAAAGGGCTTAATGAAAAACATCCACATATATATATATAGACACAACTAGTCGGGCCCCAAAATCGTCAGGTTTGTTTTCAAGATGCAACCGACTTACTGGCACCACTGGCTGGTTCATTTTTCCTCCTGACAGAAATTTCCAACCATGGAAGCCAGTGATTGTGCAGCTTCCAGTGGGACGGTCTACAGAAACTACACGCCTACAATTTCCAGCTACAAAATTGTATAAAATTGTACCATATTGTACCCGTCTGGCGTGTTTTGACCAGAAAAAAAATGCCATTTGTTTTAGACATTTCGATCCCCCCTTGGGGCAACGCTTTTAGCGCGGACCAATCCAATGGCCGCAGGTAACACTAAAAAACTAAGTGGGCCATGTGACAATATTGCTGAATTGGATAAACATACCAGATATTTTTATACATGTGTACTTCTTTCCTTTTTGGTTTCAGCAGCCATGGGGATGATGCGCCTTGCAACTCAGGGACAGTGTTTGGTTGCATGAATTGCATCCTTGCGCTGGATCAAGGGCCAAAGTCTGTGCCCATGTGGAGCCATGAGATCATGAGATTATTGCGGCAGACCTACAAAGTAGCTCAAGTGGTTTGTAATGTGTTTTTTTTTTAAATGCTAGCTATAGTGGTTTATAGTGGTTTTATACAATGCTTGGTTTATCATGGTAGCTAAGGTGAACTAAGGTGGTTTAAGCATAAATTATGATGTTTTTATATGTCAACAAATAACTGGAGGTGCCAGGTTGTAGGGCATTCCTGTGTTTGGTCGCTGTAAGGAGTTGGTCCGTCCTTATCAACGCAGGAATAGAATCTCCCAACCAACAGCCATTGTTTACAGGGATTTCTGAGCTAAGCCATGCAACTTGCATTGTACGTTTGGGTAACATGCATTTGTGATAGCCGCGTTTGCATCCAACATGTTTTGAACATATTCCCTCTTCAGCCAAAGACCCAAACAATGTGTGTTCAAAAGCTGCTTGGACTGCCCTGCCATATTTTTGCCACATGCGTTCTCCCCAGCGATTAGTGATTAGTGTCGCGTCTCAAACAGACCGTAGCCAAAATACTAAGCAACGTTGTGGGTCAAGTTCGCCATCCCATGGCGTTGCCCGTTGTAGCTTCCAAAGCACCAGAACAACGGCGACATGTGACACCAGCCTTGCGAAGGACTACACAACGTTTGCTAGTTGCTTTTAGTATCTTTTTAGTTTGTACAATTCGTACCCACAAGAAATTTGATCCGATATCATGACTTCATTAAACACACGTTGCCAATGGAGTTCTATGGACTTCTATATAATTCAGTTACCTATTCAAAGAATCCAGTCAGCACTCCTTACCCAGGATCAACAACCATAGTTGCTGCTCCCACGTTTCATATTGCTGCACTGGTTTCCTGGTTCCGTTTGATACCTCTTTAGTCTGGTTCACCAACTACCAGCAATACAACATTTTGAAAAGGGGATCCCCTGCCGATTTCAGAGCCAGTGGGCCATATTGGTCACGATTATGATCATGAATTGGTGGTGAATTGCTGTACCCAACAAGGGGTTACATTGCCTTTTATCTTTTGTCGTTTGATTGTGCCCATAACTCCACAAATCAGCATTGATTTTCCGTTCAAACCTACAGCAATCCTCACCAAAATTGATAGAAAAAACATAAAACAACCGGTTCCTGTTTGACTTGTCCCTTCCAATCCGTAAAATCACAATTCAGACATTAATCCATGCTGAGTTGTGTGGAATCATAAACTCTGGAAATGTCCATATTATATCCCCATTGAACCTCCCCATTAAAAAAAAAGTATATGAAGCCACCTAACCAGGTTCCCTTTGTGGCCACATGAAACTCATTAAAAATCAATCCTCTCACAGGACAGCGTTTCAAGTGGCTTTGGCTCTCACCAGCTACTCGGCCCTCAGTTGTGCCGCAGCAGTCGGTGGACGTTGTGCCGTGGGCTATCGTTCCACCCAGCTACGCGTGCGTGGGAAGCGAGCGCCGGTGACTTCGATGATACGGGCACGGGATGCCTCGGGTGACGTGATAATTGTTGTGGTTTCATGTTTGTTTTATTTTTATAAATGTCCGTGAATAAGATTAGATGTGAATTGAATTAGGTCATTGGTTCTACTGACCTGTCAACTATAGTGATGAACTAGCTACTGAGTTAATTAGTTGGTTTGCAACTACTGATTGCCTGTAATCACTAGCTGTCATGCGTCCCCACTGCACAATCTATCTTTGGAAAGCCTCCAACCAGCACTGATCATTCAGCAAGTTCCATGCGAGCCAGGCCACTGCCAACCTTTGATCCCCCAGAATATGAAACAGATAAACAGAGATTGAGGTTCACATCTGCTTGCATTGTTTTCAACGTGTTTCTTATTTTCCTTAGCTCCTTCCCCTGCACCCATCACTCCATTTTCTTCCCCCAAGGTGAGTTTGTGGTACCCTGCCCGGGCGCCCCGGGAACACCGTGGCTCTTCCCGCGAGCCGAAGCCCTACCGGCATTTCATCAGCGTGGCGAAGATTGTGGAAGTCCTGCAGGGCACGGAACTGCCAGAGGCCTTGGGATGGCAGTACCAATTGGAGGCTGGAGAAGCGGCGCCTTGGATGGGTTGGATGGGATGGGGCTGGAGAAACCGTGCCCAAAAAAGGCTATCATGAATAGAAGCCCATCAGGATCTATTATGATAGTTTAGGTATTTTATCTCTGATTCTTGTTGGTTGGAAATGGGCTGAGGATTCAGCTGGTTTGTTTCATACCATTGTCGTTCGAGTAGTTTGTCTCATTTCTGAATTTTCGGATTTAGCAACCTGCAGGTTGCGGTGGATTGGAGAAATCATCCCAAAAGAATCACCGCGAAGCGGCACCTGGACCCATGATGGACCTTCGCAAGCGGGATGTACTTCTCAGCCGGGCTGAGGTATTTCCAGATGCCCTTCCAATCCCTGCAGAATCACAAGAAACAGAACTGCAGCAGCGGCGGGTTGAGCAAGACCTACCTGTAGCAAACTGCGCTGTGATTTTTGCGCACGGGTATTTGGGCAGCCGATTTGAAGCTCAGCCGGGTTGCTTCTGACACGTATGACACGTGTTTATGTTGAATTTGACTCCGGGAATCACTGTCTGTTGAACCAGAAACATCCCGAAATACAGACAACATCACCAACACCCATGAAATTGAGATGGAACACCCAGAACCACAATTTGCAAGATCATGTTCCTATATTTTTTGTTGTATCAGTGCATCCATTGGTTGATGATAACATCATACTGGTAATACTCACTTTTAGACTATAAATCGCCAATTTGGTGGTTTAATCCCTCATTCTTGTCGGGTTGTGTTGCTTACACACAAGTTTAGTTGTTTCAAGCCCAATTCTGAACAGTTCGGCTAAAAGCCACAGGTTTGATCATTCTTGCTGTAAATTCCAAATTTGCGTTGACAAAAATCATTTTTTGTTGATATTTGTGTTTTGCTGGTTCCAACCCATCCTCATTTGCCAAATTCATCCAAGATATATCAACAACCTTTGTTTGTTAACTATATACAGATGTTGCCGCTTTAAGTTCATATTATTGTTGCGACAAAAATCACATTTTTTTATTATATATATATAAGAGTTCTATATATGTATATATAATATGTATATATAATGTATATGTATAATATGTATATATATAAAATGTGTATATATATATTATATCCTCAAGATTTGTTCACAAAATCCCTGGTCATGTCACTTATATAAATGTCAGGTTTTGCTGATTAATTTACGATTCTTGCTGGTGAAATCACAATTCAAATGCAATGTTCCATGGGAACATGTTCTTTTTGTTGGTTAATTGTTAACTTTTCATCTTTGCAGGTCTCAGTCCCAACTCGTGATATATGAAATCACAATCTTCGCGGGTAGTTTTGCTGGTAAAATCCCCAGTTGTTCTTGCTAGAGTAATCATGTTGGAAAAATGTGGTCAAATCCTAATTGTTATTCCTTTAAAACATCTTGAAACTATAAATCGTATAAAATCCCAATGTTTCTTACAGTTTTCTAGTTTAATGTCTTTAAACATGGACAAATCCTTCAGTTTTCTTGGACAAAGCTCAGGACATGCTGCACCTCTGCGAGAAGTTGGCGCTGCGCGGCTTCGTTTGCGCGTCCGTGGACTTCGCCGAGGGCCTCAGTGGGGCGGTGCCGCGACAGATCGCCAGGCAGGAGATCGTGCAGGAGCCGCTGGGGGATTTTTATTATATAAACAGGTATGCATACCCAATATGATACCCATGACACATATATATATATATATATATACGGTTCATGTATTATATATTTTTATATAACATATACATACTTATATATGATCCATGTATTGTATATCTACCATTTATCGACCCATATTTGGATACATTTGGGTTGTTTTGGGGGAAAATGCGCTTACATTTTCCATACATGGAGCATTTGAGATCATAATTTTGATATAAAACGTATAAACATACCAGTTGAAATTTTTGTTACTAAATCTGAGGCCTCAGGGCCGTTACAGAATGGTTTTTGGCTACCATTTTGTGCAAAATTTTGACCCTGGGTTCTGCCATCTTGTAAGTGGACCCCCCCTGGTACCGGAATTTTGCACTGGAAGTGCGAGTTTGTTACCCTCCAGTCCCGACCATTCTGTCGGAGTCTGGAGGGCTAATCAATAACCACTACAAATTGGATGGATTCAAAGCGTAAATGGATAATACTCAACTATAGCCCCTACAAACTGGATGGAATCAAAAAATCACAGAATAATTTTCATAGCCTAGGAGATCTCAAATAAGAGTGTATATTGAATGCATCAAGTTCCAATTCAGTCTGATAAGTGCGCTTTATTGATGCCAACGTGAACAAATTTAACATCAGTCGCGGCTTGCGATTTATGTCATTGCTCATGGAAGAAGAAGAATCAAATGTAGAATTTTTGTGCATCAAGTTTGTTGCTTCGACAGCCGCATGAATGAGCCATTTTGGTATTTAATGTTTAGCTTGGCCACTCAGACAGCGTCACGCCAAAACAGACGGATGAACGCAAAAGAACGGAAAAAATGAACCGCGACTCGGGTTGGCCGGGCTGTTGCAGGTTACTTCCCAGGGATCCTAGGATAGTGCGAGTATAGCCACCCCCAGTCCCCACCATTCTGTAAAGGGCAAATCGAGCCAACGGATGCGAGCGGATGCGAGTCGAGCAAAACCGGTGACTCATTTTGTAACTAGGGGTCAGCTTGGACTGCCATTTTGTAACAAAAACCTTCCTCGGTGAACGTTGGGTTCTGCCAACTTGTAAGAAGGGCACCTTGGGGACGCCGTTCTGTAGCTACAAAATGGGGCCCCCAACCCCTCTCGGGTCCAATCTGAACGGGGATGTATAAACTTATTTTGGATGATGTGATGGTAAATGCATTTTGACTATCTTCGGGATCTTTGCGATTTCCCAGGATGTTAGTTCAATGATGTTTATTTCATGTTTTATCATATGTCCAACTTTTCTGCATCTTTTGAAAGAGTGCTAGAATGTGTTAAGCCCAATACCATAAACTACCCCCAAGTCATCACCATTTCTTATGGGTGAATATGGGTGATATGTTTACCATCCCCATCCATACCTAAAATGGCTGGCTTATGGCATTGGGTTTCCCACATTAGACTTGCTTTTTATGTCTACATTGCTCCACTGTTGAGTTTTCACATGACTGGATTGTTTTTGTGGTAAAAAATCCATGATGAAATTTCATCCACATTGGAAAATTGTTCATGCCTACCCTGCTGAGCTGAACATGATCTCATGTTTTTCATGGAATCCCATGGCCGTGATACTGTGGATGGTTGCGAAATTCTGCACCAGTTGAAATCATTGTTTATCCCCTTATTTGTAGGGTTTCGACCATCCTTTTGGTGAGTTGATAGGTGGTTTATCCATGTTTATCACCCTGTTTATAGGGTTTCAAACGTTTCAACCATCCACAGGAGCTGATCCTTCGGCTGCGCTCCGAGTTTGCTGTGCAGCACCTGGGCATCGTAGGCCACTCTGCGGGCGGCGGCACGGCCACAGCACTGCCGGGGGAGTTTCGATGCGCCTCTGGCGGATGGGATGGTGAGTGAAGCCAGAAAAACGATAAAAAAAACAGGAGGTTTAGCATAGATACCCTCTGGTAATTTAACAGTTTGCTATTGAAAAGGGCCATAGAAATAGTGGATTTATCCATTGAAAATGGTGATTTTCCATAGTTATGTAAACGTTTACTAGAGGGTAAAATATCAGAATTATTGTTTAATTCTGAGGAATTCTTGGTTTAATGGCTTCATACTTGGTATTTATAGTACAGACAACATGTTGTGGATGGAAGAAATCCTGCACCAGTTGATAGATGGTTCATCCCATTATTTATAGGCTTTCAACCATCTATGTTGCGAAATGGGGGGGAATCATGTCCAACGAGCCTACAATATTTCAGAACATTTTATCACTGTATTTTGCGTTTAACAGATAGATAGTCGCCTAAACAGAAAGCCACAGGCGGTTGAATTGGAGTCCATTCTAGCAGTTTATATCACTTTCTTGGGGTAGCCACCAATGATCCACGGGTGGCATTTGGCATTTCCAAGGATGCACTTTGGGATTATGGATGGTTATCCCTACATTTTTGCCGCTAAAATCAGCATTTCCGATGAACCACCAGAGAGAAAACATTTGAACACATTTCATCTTTGCTGTTTCTTCCTATGTAAAAACAGCATTTTTTGGACCGTTTTTGGGTGGTTTCAGTCCTCACCTTGGCTCACACCTTCCGTTGGCCCCCCGAGGTGGCCGCGTGGCCGTGGCCGGCCTGGCGCCCGGCTACGCCTTGGGCGACCCGCTGCTGGCGGTGGCCTCCGAGGGCGACGGCGTGGTGCGGCTGCCGCGGGTGCTGCAAGCGTTGCCGGGGGACGTGGTGATGCAGGCTGGAAGTTGGATGATTGTTGGATGGGTTGATGAATTTGGATGAAAAATGGTTGGAGAATTTTGCCATTTCATGGGAATCTGATGAAATTTGATGAACATTGATGAAATATGTGCTACGTCAACTTACCCTCTGGTAAACTAACATAACTATGAAAAATCATGGAAAATCACAATTTTTAATTGGTAAATTCACTATAAATGGCAATTTTCAATAGCAAACTGTTAAATTACCAGGGGGTAGATCGTTTCGTTTCGCCAAGGACCTTGGAACCTTCGACCCGTCGTCCAGCCGCCGCCTGGGGATGCTGTTGCGCCAGCCGCTGAAGGCACGCGCCGCGGGGCCGCCGTGCCACATCTCCTTCCTGTCGGAGGAGTCGAATAAGGCGAAGGGATGATGTCATGATGTGCCAAGTGGTTGGGGAAATGGTGAAACATGGACCACCTGGGACCAGATGCTAAGGACCATGAGGTCCCATCGTGTAAGGATGAGATGCTAAGTCAACACAAGTTGGCACCAGATTTTTTTGTTTTGACAGAAGGGGGGGACGTTAACACCGTGTGTTTTCGGAACCGAATTGGAAGGCTTTGCCAAGAACAAAGCGGATTGGGAAAAAACATAAGGGAAAAAAGGATGGAATGATGGAACGCGTGATAGTTGCATGTCGTTGGGGACCTGTATGTGGTTAAGAGTTAAGAGGAAACATGTTTGAATCAACCGGGATGGGAGTTCCGCCAATCAAGACAACAGGAAATATGCAAGATTGATGATGATGAAGAATCAGAATCCCTATCAGTAGCATTTGGTGGTTGTAGTGGCTGAATTGCAACCAGAAACAGGACGGAAGGATTGGACTTGAAATGCTGGGAAGTTTATTATATACATAGAGGATCCCAACACGATGCGCGCAACCAGGCACATGATCACAGATGATTTGTGTTCAAAACTATTGCAAGGCGCTTTGCGTCAGTTTATCTTCCGCGGGAAAAAGACAAAGTTAATGCACTCGTAGATGCAGGTCAAAAATTGAAGAACCCCCAAATGGGGTTGTCTGAGCTTTGGTACTGGTACCCCAAATGTGATTGATGGTTAACCATGATATACTCTTTTTAAAGTTGCCATTAGTGGGGTATGCCACAGTTCCAGAGACTCAGGAACACCATTTGGGTTACTGTATTATATATATATATATATGCACACATGTCAGAATTCTTTGTCCAGACCCCCAATTCAATCCTATGAAATCCCCACTGCAGTTAAATCCGATGAAATGCCTGCCCTTGGACAGTTGAGGCTATGATTTCGTTGCTGTCGCCGCTACTGCCAGTGGCGCAGATGTTGGATGTGCCCGTGCTGGACTTTGACGCCTACCTGAAGCTACAAGACTCGCAGGACGTGGCCAAAGAAGCTTGGCAGAATCGCATGCCCCTAATCAACAGATCTGATACGAAACCATGGTTTCTACGGGGATTATTTCAATTGTTTGTAAGATTAGGGGGAAGGGATTACTTGATATCCACATGTTCATTGTTGATTAATATGTGCACCCTTGTTGCAAAGAGGCTTCAAGCAGAGGCTCCGACCAGTTCTGACATGGGTATAGCCCATACAAAAGCCATACGAATAATTTTGACCACTTTTGGTGCTAGTATTTCAGATATGTCAGCTGTAACTTAGTGTTTTTTTGGGGGACGTAAGTCGTAAGTTTTGGCTTTCGGGCTTTCCCAGTCCCATTGTGCAGATGGCAAAAGGTGCGGGAAGATCGTTCAACTTATGGTAAAGTGTTCCCTGATTTACGGTGATCTATATAATACTCACCTATAGTGAACTCACCCCGCCGGATCCAAAATCTTGCGTTTAGTTGGGGGGGACATCCCGGGAAAGTCGCCCCAACATGCGTTTACTTGCTGTGGATCAGTTGCGTAAGATAGAAAACGATGCTTTAGAAGTAAATTTTGCTTCATTTAGCTTGTGTTTACACTGGTGAACTTGTTTTTTTGTCATGCCTGGCTCATTCATGTGACCTTCAAGCAAATCCAGTCACGTGTTTACATGTCGCCCTGCCGGGGGTGGTGCCTTTCTAGAGTAGTTGCATCGATTCATCTAATTACAGTAGATGCTGGCCTGCAGCTAGGCTGTTGTCGGGCTGATGCTAAATGGCTGCGGTGCTGAGCTGCTGCCAGACTGCTTCTAGACTCCTGCTATAGAGACTTGCTGCCGGGCTGGTGGTACTGCTGCTAAAGCTGAGGGGGTTCCAAAGCTATTTTCTGGCCTCGTTCGGGCCTCGTTTTGGCCTCGTTTTGGCCTCGTTTTTGGCCTCGCTCGGAACCCGTTGCGGAAATATTGAGTTGAGATGTAAATCAGAACCCCATAGATTTGTTACCAAAACATACCAAAACATACATGAATCATTCGTTCACATCGTGTTTTGATCCAAAAGATGACATTTCTTAGATGTACTTGTTACACTTTTAACATTCGAATTGGATGCGTTTTGTAACAAAAGAGATATCCTACCCAAACGTACATGAATCATGCGTTCACATGGTGTTTGGCTATCAAAATATATCGTTTTTTTGATAATTTTCCATAGTTTAAGACCATTGGGGTGACTTGCGTTCTGATTGTGTTTTGCACATTTGGGATGATAGTTTTTTTTTACTTTTTCATTTTCGTGCTGCGTTTACAATGGGCGAAGAAGTTGGGGTGACTTTTCCTGGCAGTTGGGGGACGTAGTTCCATGCGGGAATGACACCTGACTGCAACGTTGGGGGACCTTCGGTGGCCATGAGTAGTGGTTTAACCATTAAAAAATCAAAAAACATTTACCGCTAATTAAAAAAGAAAGAGCTAAAAAATAAAGAGCTTACAATTACACATAGTAAATATGGTCGTTGATTATATAATTATTTTGATTTGTTATAGAGGGTTTTACTGCTGGGTTCAAGGGGACAATGGACTGACCCATGACCAGAGAATCGTTATCAACCAGTCCTTTGGGGAATTCCAGATTTCCCAGGTGCTACTGCCTGTGATTGAGGAGTTCTTCAGCTATCACGCTTCCAGGGCTGAAAAGTGGGCCACGTAGCCGTTGGGAATCTAATGTAGCCATGGTAACTCAACATCAATGACTTATTTTCCATGGCTTTGTTCGATATTCTTGTCAATATTCTTGAATTACCAGTGGGTATTGGAACATAATTATTGTGGATACCGTGGGAAGCGTGGAACAAGCAGTGAAATGTTTGGTAACCCATTTATACACCACCCCTAAAATTACCATAGATGGGTGGTAAACATCATCCCCGAATGGTAGCCCTATTGTTGGGTTCACCACATTATTCAAGTATGTTCCATTTCAAATTTCTGCGGACGGCTTGGCATCATGTTTCCTTAGGTCCTTTGCTGTGCACAAATCCCATGCTTTTCGCAGGGAGCCTGCATCCCTTTCTGACCTGAAGCCATTTTGGCTACAGACAGACATTGTAAGGTGGCCAGTCAGGACCAGAGGCATCGGCCTCATGTTGGGCTTTCAAGAAGCCCGGTCAGAGCAACAAATGAGTAACAACACATGAAAACCCAGAGATTGTATGATTTCAATGGGAGATCTTCAGGATCCAATTGATGCAGGTACGTTAGTACCATTTTTCAAGCCATATTTTGTGGGGATATTCCCTTACATAGCCCGGCTCAAAATAGGCCAGTGATGATTGGAATCATTCCGCCAAGAGTTGAACGAACGTGAGCTTGGGCAGCGCGGCAGAGCACTGTGGGTATGGGTCAATAAATTCTGCAGTCAATGCGGTCGATGAATTAGCTAATTGGAATGTCACCACACATTGTCATTGGTACATCTCACAGAAACTAGTCCCAGAATTTCACCAATCTTTCAATAAACGTCCAGTTTCTCTGCCTTTAAGCGTCCTTACGGGAAATTGACCCATACCCACCCCTCGGCCCTGCCAAGCACAGGGGCCATGGCAGCCGGTGGCCTTGAGTCGGAAAACATAGCAATGGTAGTTGGATTGGAGGAGAATTGGTGTGAAAATTGTTGAAACATATATAATAGTTATAGATTATAGTATGGTATAGTTATAGTTATATCATATAGTATATATATATATATCTATACAAGTTTTTGTATGTGTTCGTAACTGTGATTGTCTAAGTATAGAGTGGATGGGATGAAATTACATCATAGGTAAATTTAAAGTTACTAATCTACAGGTGTTCATAGGTGCTCCAGTGCAATCACCGAGATGGTGCTGGAGCCAAACCGCTCTAAGGTCCGATTCGAGTTCGGAAGATTTGGACGCCCGCAGCTGGACAGCCTTAGTCGTCTTAGTCCGAAGATCGGGGAATATCCAAACCCCATCATCACTGCATCACCATCAGTTGATTATTTCATGTTATTTCATCTACAGTCATAAGGTCATAGGGTTTGCTCATGTCGCTCATGCTTTGTGGATCAAGTGATTATGGCACCCTCTGTGATAGGCCGTTTTAACATGTTGATGCTAAACCCCACGTTCGCCCACACCCAAGAACAAGAACACACCCAAACAATATCATATGCTTGACATCAGAGGATGAATGAAAACACTGGCTATACACAGGGATTTTGACTTTTGGGTTTTAGGACCTTTAGGATTTAGGGTTTTAATTTAGGGTTTAGGTTTAAATAATTAAATTAACTGGATTGTATATACGCACAAATAATAACACACACACACATCTATCTCTCTAATTTGATCTATATAATCTTATCTAAATCTTAACCTTAATCTAATCTAATCTACTCTACTCTAATCTAATCTAATCTACTCCAATCTCATCTAATCTACTCCAATCTCATCTAATCCACTCTAATCTAATCTTATCTAATCTATCTATCTATCTATCTATTTAATTTATACTAGATCTATCGTGATATATCTACCTGACCTACCATAAACATCCACACACCATCGTCTTCACCTTGAGGATGTGAAGTCACCCTGCGCATCTTGGCCACTCCACCGTGTCATCGCACCTTCGCCCTGCCGTCCAACTGCACCGTGGCGGACTTGGAGTTGGACGACGCAGGGCCGGTATGGTCGACACGGAGGGGACGCCTTCAACGGGAGGACCACAGTTGCGGTTGCGACGGTGGTAGCGATTGGAAGTGAAAGACGCGACCTAGTTTGCGGTAAATGTTGATGAACCTGAAGCCAAGCAGGAAACTGGTGAAATCTGGTGAAATCAACCAAGACCCAAGACGCATGACATGACTCACCTGCCCAGGATGCCTTGCAGAACGGTGAGGTGCTGATCCTTCCCAGCAAGGAGGACACTGATGGGATGATGCCATCTCCTTCCAGGATGTACCATGATTTACATTATCATGTTACCATCTAGTAATTTAATATAGATAATATAGCTATGGAAAATATGGCCAATTTAGTTCGATGATGTACCTATATACTGATGATGTACCTATATATTGGTGAGTTTGCATAGCAAACTGTCAAACAATTAGAGGGATCTAGAGGGTATTTTTTTTCACTTACCCTCAGTGGTACCCCAAGCAGCCAATGGGGACGACAACCCGATCACTGACCCATCAAAGTGCCGGGCCATTGCAGCGGCAGGATGCTCTGATGCTCTCCATGCTCCCAGACAGGATCCAAGTTGAATTGAATCCAGAGCCTTGCTTTGCACAGATGGGGGTTCAATGGTTGTGGCTCAACAAAGGTGGATTAGGAACGTGACTTGCAAACCATGCATATAAATGTATATCATATCATCAAATCCATTCAAACCAAAACCCAAAAACCCGTGAAAACCGTCCATTAGCCATTTGCCAGCCACGAAATGTCCATTTCATGTCCAGGAGTAAGGCGACCCACATTCACCAATTTGTAGATCACCTTCCAGCCCAAGAGTTGCTGACAATGTGGCACCCTCAATTCCAATGTATTTGCTCAAGGTATTTTCCAGAAGTATGTTTCTTATTCTCCCACCGGTCGATCCACCAATTGGATATTTGGGGATGCTAGTGGGACTATTGTTTATTTTTGTGGCTCTTGAGCAACTCCAAGTATTAACGTTAGCAACCGACCCAATTTATTGTATCCACACTATATCCAATTGCAACATCCATGAAAGACATCAGCCAACCCCCCAAACACCCGTGAGATCACGCCTTTCGCCAAGGAAACCCTGGTGGATGTGGCGTTGGATCTGGGTGTGCCACCGGTGCTTCATGAAAGGAAGGCTGGGGCCCGTGAGGTCAGCAGAAGGGAATTGAGAGCCGATGAGCTCACGCAGGAAGAGCTGCTCGGTGGTGCCATGTTTTTGCCAGGTCTGAAATGTGGGTAGGACATATGAGATTCATTAGCACGTCAGCCAAGCAAAGAACATGCTTTGTCAGTAGGTCTGGGCTGGTATGGGTTGGTCCATCCACCTCCTTGGGAGATCAGATGAGGAAAAGTAGATCACCAGGTTTTCCGGTGATGAGTTTCTCTCCGGTGCTAAATTTTGGTGATTCAACCTGGCCTTGGGCCTTGGGTCAATATTTTGCCATTCTGTTGAAGGAATATGTCGATGTATGATGTGTATGGATATGCAGTATCTAACTAGGAAGAAGCGTGACAAAATTCCTCCACTTTTTTCCCATTCAGATTCACATATAGCCAGGTAACAGCCAAAAGGATCTCACACTGATTTGAGCCATCCCATGCCCATGATTTTCCTAGAAATCTTCCAAGCTTAGCCATAGCCCCCAGTCTCCCAGGCTAGATGCCCTCAACCAGCACCAGCTGCTGGGTGGCCGCTGGACCTCCGACAATCGCTCGGGTGTGGCGGGCACCTTGCACCGCGTCTCGCGCAACGTGGACCCCACCGATGGCTCCGTGGTGCCTTGGAGAAAAGTGGTGGGGGAGGCAGCAGGACGTGGCAGGGATGGAAGAGATCCACAAGTTTGAGACAAACTTAAAATTACATCCAGGACCCAGGACCATTTGGGTGGGGTAATGTTTTGGGCAGTTACATCTAGTCAGGATCGTTTGAATATGTTTGAATCATTTTTTGGGGTGTGATTTTGGGGTAGCTGATTCATTGCATGGATGATTTGAAGTCTGCTGCAGGACCTGGTGGGTCATCGCGTGTGGCATATGTTTTTTTTTTGATGGATGCAGTTCTACTGCAGGTTGGGTAGGTGCAGGGCCCATCCTCATATACGTCCATCCAACTGGCCGACTCAGAGTGCCACAACTGATGTCTCCTAAGGTTGGCATCACCATCCGCATGGCACATGCGCAGTATGGGATGTTGGACCAGGTCGACGCGTTAAAGAGGTCCTTGCAGAACAGGAAGCTGTGCTGGTTCCGGATCTGGACCCTACCCTTGAAATTTTGCCAAGGAATTTGAGACCCGGGCCTTCAACATTCTCCGATTCTATCATTTGCTTGTTGTAATCACTGATTTTGTGTAGGCGTTCCAAATGTGCTTTTGTGGGGGTACTGGGGATGGCGGTGGGAAGAGAAAGTCCATGGTGGCTTGAGTGAGTTTCTGCACATTGCCATCCAACTTGCTTATTTATTGATGTTTTATCGAGCTACACTTTCCGCGTGTTTCCATCTTATTTTCACACTTGGAACCCCCATGCTGTTTGCAACTCCTTGGCATTTTGACAATTTTGCCCAACTACTTCCATCACAGGAAGTCGCTGCTTGTCCTTGGCCCACCGGGCAGTGGCAAGACCACGATGCTACGCGAAGTGGCGCGTCTGCACGACGAGGAGTTTCAGCATCGCGTGGTCATCGTGGACACCTCCAGTGAGATCGCTGGGTGACTGGGATGCTGAAGCTGGCTATGGGGATTTTGAAGGTGGCAAAGACATGGGAAGAAGTTTGATTTATCATCAATCATGTTTATAGTAAGGTTTGGGGATGCTTGACTTATGTTTGTCTTCATTTTGGTTGGGAGAAGAATGATGAATAAGTTAAGGGAATTTTGGAATCGGGATGTGACAGAAAGAAATGGCAAGATAAGCAACAAACAGAGATGATATCACCGACAGCAGTCAGAATGACAGCAGCAATGCAGGATCTTGCTCTCATAGCTGGAAAAAACACCTTGATTCATCAGGAAAGCTAGTGCATTGCAGATCTCAGATCCCACATACTTCAGCCATGAACCTTAGCTATTCCCGGCATTGGTTTTGGAAGGAAGCATTACAGTAAAGAATAGATGACATTGATGACATGTGGCATTTGTAGTCTATTCCCCATCAAGAAATGCGATTACCCTAAACATGTCCAAAACCAACTTGGTGAGGTGACACATGCGACACCCAGCCGTACCACCATGTACCACCACTGCTTGAGGTTCGGCAAAGTGCGTCACAAAGCCGTGGGACGCACGACGCGGAGGCGCAAAGTCGCTGACAGAGATAAGCAGTACAAGGATATGCTGGAAGCAGTGCAAAACGACACACCCCAAGTGCTGGTGATTTGGCTGAAAACCATGTGAACCCCAAGAGCCTTTAATCTGGCCAAACATAGCAAGACTGGTATGCTCTTTGATTATTTTAATGATTGGGAGATGGTAATCTTCTACTGACTCTAATGGAAGCACGCATCTCGAAACATCTCCTGAAATGAACCAACTTACAGACATGTACAGACACACTCACCCACTATCAACCTAAGGGTCATCTATTGCCCAACCTGCTTGGAGGTGCACCCCAGAATTAATTTTGTTTCTCCCCGTCCCCAGTCACCCATGAGATAGACCAGTTCCAATGGATTATCCCAATGGAGTGTTTTTGATGGGGATATATACATATAATATATATATATATATACATACCTCCAATGAATATCAATGAATAACAACTATAGTATAATTATAATAATTACAATTATCATTTGAAGAATTATATGTACTGAGGATCTATACTTCCAATTCATGATTATGATTCAATCTTCATTATTTTCATGAATATGTATATATACAATGTTTAGATATGTATATCCCATGTTTGTTGATGACTTCACAATACTTCACAATAATTAATCAGTTTCTATCCCCATATAGTATGTATACCCCATTATCACCCATGTTCAAAATATATGGGATATGTTTACCACCTGATTCCTTCGGTCCCAGTTAGTAGCCACCTGAGGTCATCGACGAAATCGGCTCTGCCTCCGAAGTCGAGGCCGCGTGTTCCATCGGCTTCCGCGGCATCGTCCTGGTGGCCACGGCCCACGCGTGCAGCTTGCAGGAAGCGATGAACAATCCCACCTTGCAAGCACTGTGCCTGGCCATCTCAGTGCATATCTTGTAGTTCAGTACTATAAATATCTTTAAAAAAATTATAACTGTTATGAATTACATCAATTGTCACATGACTATCATTATATAATTGGTATTATAATTATAATATGTTTTAAATGTGTTCACTCTTTGGTTTGGGATGAGAGCTGCGACTGATGAAACTTGCAATGGCTGTGTTGGTAAGATAAGATCAGCCAGGGAGATCAATCAGTGGTGGTGGTGGTGGTGGTGGTGGTGGATTGGTGGCACATTGAGCTGTAGTTCTTTACCTTCCAGCATTCCCGTGTTATTTCGTGAAAACAATGCCTTACTGGTAATTTAAGTTAATCCTTTACATTTCCAACACCAGGTTAACATGATGAAGTATGATGAAGTATGTATGTTGGTGCAATCTCACTTTTTGCATCTTTTTGCTATAGTCACCCACCTTTGACCCTGGAAAGGGCTTCTCCCTTGAAGGTTCGGCAGCTTCGAGAAGAGCACCATCGGCGACGAGATGGCACGGCGCACCCCGGGGGGGCGAAAGTTTGTGGAGGAACGGCGCAACGAACCCGTTTTTCAGAGTCTGGTGGAACTGGGGCAGGATGCGGGGGATCAATGGACCCTTGGATCGAGGGGTGTCCTTCCAATGCCGGTGGAGTTGGTGTGGGTGGTGTGTAGTTCAGAACAAGTCCAGACTCAATAGCTGTATGATTATATATTGTGCCACTTTGTTTAGTGTGAAGATGACACACCCAGAGTTGCAGCCAGGCAATTCCTTGGCCGAGATGCGCTTGCAACAAGTATAATAGTCAGTGATGGTTCTTTGTGCTTGGTTGTCAGTTCTCCTTTTTTGAGGTCAACCAAGTGTTTGATAGGCCCTGATAGGCATGGTTTTGTCATGTTTTGTCCCACGTAAAACGTATCAGCTGGTCGAATTGTCATGGGCAAGATGACCAAGAACAGTTCTTAACTGACTCGTTCAAACCGTGCCATTGAATTGCCACAAGGCTAATTACTTTAGTCGCGTGTCATTTTGACAGCCCTGACGCCATGAGACAAGGACCATCTATACCGATTTGAAAGCCGCTGTGGATGACATTTTGAGCAAAAAGTCCCCTAAGCCGATGTTTCACCAACCAAGTGTAGCTTGGTCGTGTAATTTGGGCAGGGTTGCTCTGAGTCCTATAGTGTATGCCCAGCCTTTGATCAAAGGAGTCACTTACGTGTTTTGCGATTTCAAAGGTGAGTGTGATGAATTTGTTCAAACAGTTCTCGCCAAACCTGTCAGTATGTCTTGGTGGTTTTGAACATGTTGATACCCAGGTTTTCTTTTTCCTGCCTTTGCCGTTTGCCCGACTGAGATCTATCACTATCATCAACCCTCCAAAAGTAATTCCGACATTTTTTAAACAAGGTTTGACACACAATTTCCCGCAGAGAGTGAGCAGCTCATGTCAAATTCAAGGTGTGCTTCGAATCTGACATCTCCGCTCACTTTCTGGGTGCCGGCACTGAGGGAGGATACAACCAGGAGTCCTTTGGGCAGCGGGTCCGTCCAACAAACGGTCTACAGAGACTTGACGAAGAGTTTCTCCAACCTAAAAATGCGCCCCACTTTTCGATTGGGTTGGAACAACCGCATGGGTCGACAAAAGATACATGAACTATGGCTAGATATGGCTAGTGAACACCGGTATTTTCGGGATGGCAGGCGCGATGACCCAGATGACCCAGACCCATACCATCCCAGGGTCTCAGCCCAGGCAATTTCGACTAATTACCCGAGTCTTCTTAACGACTATGCTATGAGGGAGGGCTTATTGGAGTCAACTGTGACAGCTGAAGATGTTTCTACACAATGTTTTCGGAACCCATTATAGCAGTGATGCTGAAATTCGTACTATTTGGTGCTTGATGTTTTAAGGTGTGCCAAATTGTAACGTCACATGGTCACATGGGATGTAGCAGCCAGTTATTGCTTTGTCTTCGCTCAAAAACGTCAGGGTTCCAATGTAGTTCAGATTGTTGTTTGACGTCTTGAGTTTGTGTATGATATGTTTACCATGGTGTTGAAAGCATCATGCCGACATAATCACTGCAGTCCGATCTAATCAAAATAGTTAAACCATGTAAACCCAATCAGTTTTGGAAGATATTGATATGTTTGTTTGATACAAGATCAATGTGGGTTTCATTCCATTCGGCCATTCCCAGCCCATCAAAAACCAACCTTTGAGGATGACATCATCAGGCCGGCAGGAAGCTGATGGGCTGTTGGGCATTTCAAATTGGCCCATTCATATCCTTCCCAACCGGCCCTTCCATTTTATATGGATTTTATATGATGCCTTGAATTTTTTATTTGCATATTGCGGCATATTTGGATTTTGAATGCTTTTGATACTAAGGTGATTGTTTGAGCTTGCTTTGAAGAAGGTTGACATGTTGGTTGGCCCGTTGTGCTTGTGTCAATGTGTTCCTCCTTCCGTCAAAACCTCACTGCCGATGATGACCCCATAATGACGTGTTTGATCATGTTTGCGTCTTTTCGGACATTCTCGGATCGCACCCACCTTAACTCCCAGAATAGTAGTCACTCTCCCAGACTTGGTTGAATGGAAAATTTGCAGGAAGCCAAAGATGAAATCTCCAGGTTTGAGGCTAAAACAATGATTCCATCAAGATTTTCCCTTCAGTCCATTGACACCCAGTGTTGTTGTAGCCATGTCAGGTGGTTATGGGCCCGGTGTCTACCTCCTATGCTTCGACGGTGGCGCGGATCGAGCTGGCGAGGACGGCGCCTGCCGCGGCGGCGCTGGCGCCGTGCTGAAGCAGCTCAAGGCGACCTCCAAGGATCGCGATGCCAGGAGGAGACGGACCACGGGGGCTCCAGTGCTATCGGAAAGGCTTGTAATGCCCTGCAACATCCTGTAATTATGAGTTGTTGGACTATCCAAAAATGACAGAAACCTTTATTGAATTGTTGAACCTTTATTTATCAGACTTGTTTAGTGTGGTTTAGTGACATTTTTGAATTTGAGGGATGTGACATTCATTCTCTTTTTCGCTGGTTGAATTCGACGGGAACAGTTTCAGATGTGTTTTGATACTGACAGTGTGACAGTACGTTGGTTCATGATGGTTCATGACTGATGTCCATTTTTCTTCAAGCGTTTTGCAATGTAGTATGACCGGATGACAATGAGTAGGGGAAGGTTTCTTGTTCACGTGTGGCTTCCCCGCCTCACTGTTACTGGGTTGATTAAGAGTGTCTAACACACAGACACATGTTTGGGCCCTGAAATGCTTTGACAGATTGAAGCCCGCAAAAACACTCAAGATTCAGATGTTAATTGAAGTCAACACTAGTCAATGGCTTAGGCATGGGCTCCATTGGTTCCACGCCCCCGTTTACGTTGGGACTTTGCCATCAGAATCCATGCGCTGCATGCTGGTTATTGCCTTCCAGATTATGTTCAAGTCGCTAACATTAGCTTCAAATCGGCATCCATCCGCACAAAATGCAGGAACCGAAAGGCCTGGAGGCTGTACTCTCCCCATTCCAGTGCAGAGCAGATGGAGTACGCGGCCCTTTTGATCGGCGTGCGCGGTGTTTTCGATGCGCTGGGCGACCTGAATCCGCCAGCACAGAAGATTTTCATCGAGGGAGACTGTCGACACTTGGCATTGTGGTGAGAATGGTTGCAATAGTCAGTTCACCAGTCGCTGGAGTTTCTGGCAGGCCACTAGTTGTGTAATTAGATGTTTTGTGTGGCACCGCAATATATCCCACTTGGATTCGTTCACGTGGTACATAAATAAATGATTGTGCAGGGGTTACAGTATATCCCTTCAAGCATTCTTTGAACCAAGTCAGCACAGAAATTCTGCAACCAGGGGCCCTTGACGAATCGTCCTTTTGAGGATTCGTCACCGACCGGCACGGCGGCTCTCAACCAGCGCAGGTGTTGCGACACGAAGCTGGGTTGTGGTTTCATTGTGCAGTGTATTCCTATGTTTCCTTTAAAATTGTAGATATTTGTTACGTTTGATTTGGAAATATTCAGGGAAACTTGGGACTAATATATATGGCAAGGAATTTGATCCCCATCTTTTTTTGGTCTACCATGGTACTGTACGGCAAATCATCCTATATGATCACCGCTTTATTGTAAAACTTGTTAGTCTCTGGAAGATGCTGTTTGTCGTTCCTGAGTGGCAACTCCATAGTGACAGTGCTGAGTATCGCATTGCATCGCTTTGCTGTAATTTCTAGCAAGAATTCTCAGTGGGTTGTCTTCACAAACAACCCTGCACCATTCCCCACCGACATTCTGAACATTCCACAGCTCTTCATCGCTCAGGATACATAACTGTCACAGACATGCACTGTTTCTTTTAGTTTCTCCCAAAAACCGTGTCAGGGATACTACCCTGCCCATGTTCCAACATCGAACACATAGTCCCGGCCACGCAGCGGTCGGGCTTGGAACACTAGGAACATGCCGACGTGCATGACAAGCTGCAGCGCTTGGCAGACTTGGTAAACAAGGCAGTGGGGATGTCCTGTTTGGATGGTCACCTTGGTCCCCAGTTAATCCTAGTGAGAATGTCACAAATTGGGTAAAGGACGGTAAAGGGAGTTAGTTGGAGGACTTTATAATATATATATATCTTAAAAATCTTTATACTTCTGACCACTAAGCGTATTAACCAATTACGGTACATATATACACCGACAAACCGCCTATATTTCTCTACATTGTTTTTCAAGGCAATTTCCAGTGCCATTTTACATCATTTTACATCATGTTACCATTGCCAAAGGGTAGCCAGCTGTGGTCTCAACAACAGGTGCTTATGACGCGGTGTTGGCATGTACTTCTACGCACATTTACTAAGTACATGGCTGTATTGTGCATGGTTGGAAGGCTGGAAGGCTTTTGGAACATTCTTGCCAGGGGTGTATAGTCCGGAAGACACACTTCTGAAGGAATGACCAGACCGAATATCATCATTTTTCTTAACGTCCACACCCGGCTCCCTGGTAGAGAAAAGGGGAACAATTTGTTAGGACTGGAAATAAATCGATCTGACACATGATGAATATTGCAGCAGAAGTGTCAGCAGTATGTAGCGTGCCGTAAATTGTCCAATAAATTCACGGCCACCCAGCAAATGTTTTTTTTCCCATTGTATTCTTCATCTTCATCATCATTATCATCATTATCATCATCATCATCATCATCATGACCATGAACCGTCAACCATCAACAATTCCCAATCATAAAACAGCACTTGTCAAACATGAATCATCAACATAGTGTTTATCTTCATCATCATTATATAGTTTCCTTATCATCGCCGGTCATGCCTTGAGATTTCCTGGCATCCAACGACAGCCAAAAGCCCCAGGCTTTGGAGCAACTCCGTTCGAAGGTCGACGTCCCGGAGATCCAGTGGCGACGCCGGGGTCGTAACAAGACGGCGGATCGCTTGTCACACGAAGCGAGGCAGCAGAAGTCGACGGACCCTGCAGTCAGATTTGCTTCAGCGGAACGGCGGTTGATTCTTGCCTGGTATACCAAGGAGTGCAGAAGTTTCTTGTGGTCCAATGCCTGTTTGTGATAGCACCACTATGTTCAAATGTTTGATTTCCTTTTCTGTTCAAGACCCTAAGAAAGACAGCCAGAAAATCATGTGAAATGATGTGAAGGGATAGGGTGGATATCCATCAAGCAGAGGGTCATCTCATTGGTACCTCAAGCCGAAACGCTCTGCAAAGGCTGAACGGCTATGAGACAGAGATGGCGCAGACAGTGTGGAACATTGTGGAAGCGCATCCGCTCATCAATGTGTCAGCAGATTTTGTGGTGAAGCATCCGCAACAAGATCGCTGTCGCTTGACTCAAGCGTGGATTTCTTATGTCTCATGTTGCCTACTTAGCATGCCCTAGCAAACTTGGGGCATATACAAGTTTGACATATTTTTGACATATTGCGAAAATGTTTCGCCCACAAACGGTGATTTGCAGGGTCATTGGCTTCACCAGTTGCAGTGTTTTGTTTTACATGCTGCAGGGTGCAAGTTGCTATGTGCATTCCCGGATGTTCTTGGGCAATTTTAAAGTATATTTTGGCTTTTTGTCTCATCAGCTCTTGAATTCCTCAGGCTCTGGGTTTATGGGCCTGAAGTTGGCGCCTCAATCTGCTGATGGCTCCTTCAGTCTTGTGGTCAGTGCCTTAGTGACAGGGAAATTTTCTACGTGGCCCAGTTGGAATGATTTTGTAATGTTTCACCCAAAGGATCCCAAAGGCATGGATTCATCAAGGGGCATCATTATTCCTGAATGTTTGGATCTGCTTTGTTGCTTTGTTTTTCTCACAGTCCCAGCGTGTTTTGTCTTGTTACGCTTACTCATGTGAGACCCAAGATGAGCACCGAAAAAAAAAAAAAACTGGTCAAGCTGTGTTTGAGTCTACCACAGTGATTTTTGTTGGTTCCATTCTTATTTCTGAGATCAAGTGGCCGGGCATGTGTGTGTGGGTGTAATCAATATTTAGGCATGCTGCATGGATCCAACATTCTCGGCATCCTGGGCTCCTTATCAAAACATGATGCTCTGTCCAACAGAGATATCTTAGATGATAGTATCTATAAAAAAAGATGGATGAGCCAATTAAACACAAACCGCTATTACTTAGTGAATTTTGATTTTGAAGCTGAGCAGCTGTCCAAAGCAGTTGGGCTTCAGCTACCATCCTTCCCTGCCCAGGTGCGAATGGAAGGAACTTGGAACACAGAAGATTCGTTTTTGCTGGGTTTGATGGCACCTGATTCCCACTGCCTCAATGAGAGTCACGGCTTCGATGCGTGTGATGTGGGTTATTGGCTCTTGGGCTTTGTTTTTCAGCGTGTTCCTTTCACATGTTTTTGGTGCCGGGCATCTGAGAGGCTCGCGACTGTTGTCATGTTTTGCATTCTATTATGAAAATAACATTGTGGGGGTGGTGGGGTGGGGTGAGGGGGTGGTGGGGTGGGGTCGGGTGGGGTGGGGTGGGGTGGGATATTAACGTCATTTGCACTGCCACATATATGTGATGCAATATATCTGTACGCTCTCCTGCATTTCTTTCACATCCACACATACGTCATGCTACGCTTCTGCAAATTCTTTTGCACTTGCACACATACGTCATGCTACGCTGTAGGTGCTCTTGCACTTCTACACATACGTCAAGCTACGCTGCTGTAGATTCTCTTGCACTCCCACACATACGTCACGCTACGCTGCAGGTACTCTTGCGCTTCCACACATGTGTCATGCTACGCTGCTGTAGGTTCTCTTGCGCTTCCATGCATACGTCATGCTACGCTGTAGGTGCTCTTGCACTTCCACACATGTGTCATGCTACACTGCTGTAGATTCTCTTGCACTTCCACGCATACGTCATGCTACGCTGTAGGTCTCCTGCACTTCTACACATGCGTCAGGCTACGCTGCTGGATGTTGTCACCGTGTGTTGATGATAATAATGAAAATAATGATAATAAATAATGATCAGAATAATGATAATAATGACAATACTGATAATAATGATCATGATGATGATGATGATGATGATGCTGATGATGATGATGATGATGATGTTGATATTGCTGACGATGCTAAAGTTTCTGAGCCTTTTCAATTCCCCCCTAGAAAATGTTTGAAAAGTGACGACAGTCGCGAGCCTCTCAGATGCCCGGCATCATGTTTTTGCTTGTCGGGGCTCTAACAAATTGCAGGAATGCACCCATAAAAAAAAAATAGCAGGATCTGGCCCTTGTGCCGGTTCTCTTGCCTGAGGTTCAGCCCAAAGTCCGGTAGAGTCTTTGGACCCCGGCAAACAAACTTCATTCTGCCATCCCTACGAAATGATGAGACAAGACGGCGTTTGCAAGAGCCGTACAACCTGCACGACCCCGATGAGGGGTTTCGACCTGTAGGATTCAGAACTGGAGCATGTTGGGGCATCACCTACCAGCAGGGCAACCTTGCTATTTACCATTCAGTCGACGATCTTCCTCTGGAGTTGCTGGAAGTTGTGCATCTTGGCTGTATGGGTTCAGATCGTTTTGTGAAAACACTAGCCGATGGCATTTGGTCCGGTCCATAGGGCTGGAACATGCAATCACCTTGCCGGACAAAATATGGCTAAGCAGCGGCCAAGCGGCTGGTAAGTCCCATGTTTGGTAATTAAACACCATGTGTTGAACAAATGGTGGAGTATGCCTCACTGGTCGTTTGAGCTGGTTGTGCAGGATCTCGATACAGGGGTGGAGCATGCTGATAGCCCCTGGACAAGTCTCAACCCACAAGCTTTCACCAACTCAAACCTTTCTTAACCATTTGCCTTAACCACCATTTCGCCACTCATTTAGTCTCCTGTCTTTGCCGAGGACCTGGCCAACTGATGGTTTTCTTCCGCAGGAGCGATACTCAGCAGTTCTTCTCTTCAAGCCGCGCATGGGCTCCAGAATATTGTTCTGCCCATCCCCGCCCAAGGCAGCGAGATGTGCACCAGAATTATCATCCTATGGCAAGAGCAGGGGCAAGGGGAGCAGCCCTGGAACACCGCGTGACCCGGCGAACAATTGGCATGCTTGGGTTGTTCATTCTGGCTAGTGCTCATGCCTATGTACTAGCCGGTTATTTTGTTCGATTGTCTAGAACGGTTTGCTTCGCAAATTGCCCAGATGATGCGATGTGTTTTTTAGGGAACCAACCCATGGTCTAGTATGGTCTAGTTGGTGGTGCGCAAAGCAACTTGCATTACTTTGCCATGTGGCTTGCTACCACTAAATGCAACTGTCGTGTAGCAGAGTGAGTCAGATTTGTACCTATATCCACCTTCAGCTATCTTCAGCTAAGACTCAGAAGGTGTTTGAGATAGTTGTTTCAACCAGCCAGCGGTTGATCTATCTCGGCTTGGTCGCCTAACCTCCTAGTTGGTCTCGTTTTTTTGCCATGGGTTACGCATCAGTCATACCTACATCTTCCCCAGTGTGCATAATTTCTACCTTTTGAGGGTGTTCTGCCTTTTGTGGTTAAAGGGCGACTTTACCCGACCACGGGCGACTTTTGCGATTTCAAGTAATTAATTAGGACCACCTTGGGCCACCTTTTTGATGGTGGCAGAAATCTCTCCATGTATCTCGATGTTTTTTAGGCTAAATATGCCAATCCAAAGATAAGGCAATCTTTTCACCAAATTCCCTCAGATCTATGGGTGAAACTGGGTTTACTTGTTTGAAAAACTTCGCAAAACTGCAAAGCAACCGCTTGACAACAAAACAGGGCAGTAGCACAGCCCACACTTTCTTGCCTGGAATGTATATCCGTAGTTTCCCATATCTTTGATTTTGGACTGTGGCCAATGCAGGGCATTAGGCCCAGGCATGGTCATTTCGATCTCTCCCGCAAGAATGGGAAAACTAGTTGGAATGCCTTTGAATTGGGTTTTGCTGTCTGGAAGTTTGTAACCGTCAAAAGAAAAAACGGAGCGGACGACTTTTCCCGACCCAGCGGCGACTTTTCGCGACGCAAAGGCGACTTTACGCGACCAACGTTTTTTATGCATTATTTCCAATTGGGGCCGGAACATGTTCCAGTTGAAGCCATCCAATGGACAAATTCAAACATGTTTATGCCAGAGCAAACTCTTGCAATTGCAACAAGCCGGGGTGTGACAGCTGAGGATAGGCACTAGGCACATGAAATAGTTTGGTCAAAACAAAAAATCTACTGGGATAGCTTGGCTAAACCAAGAAATGCGATGGGATAGTTTGCACAAGCAAAGAAACTTGTTGGGATAATTATAGGTTAAACTTAGACTACTTAAACCAAGAAATGTGGCGGGATAGTTCGGGCAAACCAAGATATATATGAAAATGTATTGAGGTAATTTGGGTAAATCATGGTAAATCAAATCGTGTCTAGTGGAGTAATTTGGTTAGGGCAGTTTCGGTTTCATGATTTTCCGACAGGCGATTCTGAAGACAAAAGGCGGCTCTGAAAAAATCGAGCAGAAATTTCGGTCTTTTTAGTCAAAGAGCCAAAAAAAACGCATACCTGGAAGATCCAGGTATATTAACATATATTATTTTGTTTTCTAAAATATAACGTAGCCGCTGATTGCAATATGATTGAAGTCGTTTTTTTTCCGATTGACATATCGTTACTGAGTTACTACCTTGTTTATGTGGAAAATTTGGCATTGTTGGATTTGCGACCATCCCTATAACCATCCCTACTGTAAATGGTGCAAAAGACGGACCTTCTCACAATTCTAACCAACGGGGCCGCACGCTCATGGAACCAGGTTACACTGGCCGGTCCAACCCCAGCCTTCGTCTTCTGGGGAGTTTGGGCAACACTAGTTTGAGCAGCCAGGGCATGGTGGATCGGCATGCCCAAGTGAAGGCCTTTTTGTTGAATCTCGCGCAAGAGTTTGCAAAAGAAATCAAACTGCCACTGGAGAACGCAACAATTCTACAAGCGAAATTGCTCCTGCACGCGGCTGTTGTGGGCAAAAAGCCTCTGAAACTCTGCCAGGTGGTTGGCGAGATGCCGTGGATCAATAAATACATGATGAAGCGCGGTCGCTTCACAAGTGAAGCCATGGATGCGATTTTTTCAGCAATTGGACAACAGTTACCTCCAAGCATCGGTTCGCAGACAGGGACACACTGTGATAAAATAAAGATGAGCAGTGGCGTTCGAAGAATCCAAGGACAGGCTGCAAAGATTGCTACAGTACATGATATGCATGACATGTGTCACTTCACTTCCCACTATATATACAAAGTATATATATAATATAAATAAATGAATAATAAATAGTTCATAACTATTCATATACGTTTTGCCTGTTTTTGGCCTTGCTTAGGGTGCCAATTGCATGTTTGGAAACCTTGAAGGATCTTCGGTTTTTCGCCACCCACAACCTGCAAGAACCTTTGAATACATCGCATTTGAGCCTGGAAAGAGTACCGTGGCTGTCAGACTTGGAGGGAAGTGGGCAAAACAAGACAGGGTTTTGATTGGCTTTGTGGATCAAGAGACAGATTTGGACAATACCAGAGAACTTCACCCGGCGGATCTGGGCTACTTTTTTTCCCCCCGTAGCCGTTCCATTGTCGGCTGCGATGGGACGAACTTTACCTGGCACTACGGGACACTGGTACAAGGATGGGCTCAACAGCTACAGGAACAAGGTTGTGATTATGCAATGGAAAAGTTGACCAACCGCACGGATTTTGACTACGAGCACGGAGGCAGCTTTTTGGATGTGTTTGACGGATCGTTGGCGATGTGCGTGAAGCTCACCAAGGACTTGGAATTTGACGTCTTTGTGCGTTGCCAGCATGATGGCTATCATTGGATCAAAGTTGGCCGTGTTTCGTGGAGATCAGGGCCAAACTTGCCACAGGGAAAGGTCTGGTGCCCAGTGATCATTTTCATGCCAAGGAAACGCATGGGGCAACCACGCTGTGCTGTCACTGTCACTGCGAGAGATCGGCGCTCACCGCGAAATGGGCCCCCGAGGACTCTAGGCCGGCCAACACTGAAATTGACGGATCGCTTTGCTGACACTCCGCGCCTTCAGGTGTTGGACCCAACGTCGGACCGGTTCTGCGATATGCCAGCATTTGATTCAGGAGGTGGAATGCTTGTATGGGAAAAACTTCCCCCAGAACTTTGCAGGCTCCTGGGCATAGAGTGGAAGCAGTTTCAGGTTCAAAGCATCGGCAAGGTTGTGCTGGTTGAGCACAAGACTGACTTCCAGGGAGCCCTCGAGACCCACCAGCTCTGGAATAGACATGTAACTGTCTCCGCCATCAAGTTGGAAGACGAGCTGAGTAAACGGACCAAGCGCCTGCAGCATCCTTGCGCAGCCTGTAACCACCAGGTCATGGCTAATGGCCCAATTGACCATTTAACGTCCAAGGCGCATTGGATTGAGTTGTGGAAAAAGATAGCGGGCAAGACGCCGCAGAACATGCCTTCGCCGGAAATGGGGGCCCAGATGGATCTCAAGCTGCCGTGGGTCCAAAGTTGGGAGATCCCAGGAGGCGTTTTGATTTTCAACCATCTGACAGCAGCATTGAAACTGGAACTCAGCGTCTTGGTGATGGAATTTCAGGAGCATGTGTTTCGGGTTGTTTTTGTGGGGCCGTTTAGTTTGCTGTAGATGGCTTGAAGGAAAACACAGGATCTTCCGGCAGCTGTCCGGAGACGATGGAATGTATTCTTCAGATGGGAACTTGACACCAGTGTAGTTAAGAAGATGTTCAAGAATATGAGTTCATATTTCTTGCATTGTATTTATTGACACCCAGCGACAGTTCATAGGCAACGCGCCATCTGCTGCCAAGTGCTTCGACTGAATTTGCAGCGGCTACAGAAGCGTCCCCGTGGGCACAATTAGGGTCAAGATTTCGGACCCACTGAAAACCAAAGTTTTTCTGCTTCTCACAATTCGTTTCGTTTTTTTGACATGTTTTTGATCTTTCTGAGCCTGAAATGGTGGAATTGAAGCTTTCGCCCATACTGAGCATGGGAGCTATGGGGCCAACATACAACTTTGTTGGTTTTCATGCCTTAGTCTTCACTTAATTATCTTGGTCTTGGGGGCCGCTGCTATGCCAACCCCTTACAAGGTCAGTATTGTGCCAGCTGGATGCGGCATGTGCACTAGCGTCCCCAAATCTTGATGCAAGCCCATACAATCAAATATTTAACTGCGTTGCAAACGGAAACTTCGATCAAGCATGATAAACTCAGGCGGCCGCCTCAAGGGAGTAGCTCTGGGTTCAGGGGCTCCAGCTTGGTATAAGGGTTTTCTGTCCCCAGCATCGGTTGGGCCATACCTGACGATCAATTTTCCTTATTTTTCCACTAACTACCTATCACCATTCCATTCATCTCATTGTATCATACGTGGTCGGTTTTTTTGGGGGGATGATGATCCGAATTGACAAATTCTTTTTCTTGGACGGATTGACTGCACCAACCTGATACTGCATGTTTAAATTGTGTTAGGTTTTTTCCATAGCGAAAGCGCTCTGATGTTCTCTTGGGGGCAGCTTCTTCGTGGAAAGTCGATCCCAATTCCCGCCCCACCCCTCACCGAGGTTAGCGCCACTTTTGGTTCAGAGACGAAGCTCCCCGAAGCATGGTGATAGGGGTTGGGCAGGGGATAGTGGACCACCTAGTAGACCACCTGGGGGAGACATTCAGAACGGAATGTATGCAAATCCCAGACTAGTTGTGTCACCTCTAAACATGAATCCTTCTTTTCGGGAAGCCCTTTCATGATTTTAAGGCTAATGGTTCTATGTCACAGGGTTTGTTGCATGGTTTTGTGAGTTGGACAACTTCATCATGAGCAAAAGGTTTCACGCAGATAGCATTGGAAATACGCTGAACATGCATGAACTTCATCGTCTCTATGTGTGTTTACACTCTTCGAAGCCAATAACAAATCATATGTACCAGTAGTATGCATATTCATTTATATGCATATATCAATATCTGTATACCCACATGCATATTATACTTGCACAAAATCCTTGCGTTTCTCCCCAGATATACATGCAGCGTGTCAAATTCCAAGTTTGCATATCTCAATTTGATTCTATTTGATCCAGGCATGGGCCTTTAGCAGCCGCCCCGCCCCATGGCGAGGAAAGGCACCATGGCAACGAAATGAAGGGAACTCCCGTGCCTACGTGACAGAGCCGGAGACGCCCAAGGAAATCTTGGATAGCTTGCCTGAAGGCTACCCTGACACCATAGATGATTGGTCAAAAATCCAGAAGAAAGTGTGGCCAAATGCTATTCCGGTACCAAGGGGTTGGATCCGGGTCTGGTCCAAACGCCGTGACTGTGAGTACTACTTGCGCTTGGAAGACAATTTCGCAACCTTTGAGTACGGAGAGGTCACATGAATAGTGCCAAGTGGTGTCTTCGATCTGAATGCTCATCTTAGTCTTGTCCTGTGCAGATGAAGCCTTTGCTTTAGGTCCTTGGGAGCCAAAAAGTGAGCAGTGTGGCAACCATCGTGACAAAGATATTTATATTATATAAATTATATACATCTTTTTGGCAGAAAGATGGGTGGATATATAGACTGATAAACAGATGGATAGATGGATGAATGAACAGGTCGGTCTAGAGGCAGAGCAAATAGACGGAGAAATAGACGGATGGATAGGCAGATAGATATGTTGATAGGCAGATAGACAGATAGATTGCACCAAAGAGGTAAACAGAGAGAAACACACAGAGAGAGAGAGAGCGAGAGAGAGAGAGAGAGAGAGCGAGAGAGAGAGAGAGAGACAGAGAGCGAGAGAGAGAGAGAGAGAGATATATATATATATATATTGCAATATCATTTGTCATATTTCTTGTTGGGACAGAGAAAGAGACAGAGACAGAGACAGGCAGGTAGACAGCCAGATAGACAGCCAGATAGACAGATATAAACATACAGCTAGAAATACAGATGGATAGAAGCCCAGATTGGATAACGATAAAAACAAAGATCGACATTGGCAGGGATAGATAGGGACGGGACGGATAGAGATAGAGAGTGATAGATAAGAATAGATAGGGATAGATAAGGATAGCTGGAGATAGAAGAAAAACAAACAGAGACAGATAGGGATACGTAGAGACAGGTAGATGTTACAAAATTATGAATATTCATGTCCCTCTGCATTGCGATATATGTTCATGCAAACATGGATAGACACATGGCATGAACGCCCAGCATTTCGAATCTTCCTATCTCTTTTATTGTTGGCCCCGGCTGCGCTGAAGCCCACGGAGCCCGGATATGTATGCACACCCGTAGGTTTCCTTTATTTGGCTCAATGCAAAGTTGCTTTTGTATGGCAGAGCTCCCGCAAGGAAGACCCGCAAATCCCATAAAGTATAGGCAGAGCGTGAATGCAATGTCTTAGCTTGGAACCACTTACAGAAAGTAAGCCAAAAAAATCCGCATCGCAACAGCATATCCTGAACCAACTTGATCGCATGGAGTCGCTGACGAGCCCGTAATGAAGTGCAGGCCAGGAATGGGATGATCCCCAGAACCCACAGCAAATATTTTTTCTGTCACCAGACTGTTTTGTTTGCAGCATGGTGGTTTGTAAAGATATACGCGAAGCTTCTCTGTCGAACCTTGTGGTTGGAGAATTATCTCGACGGGCTTAGGGTGGCTGGCTCAGACATGTGTTTGCTGGAGGGCGCTTTGAATCACAAGAAAATCAACGTTAGTTCTTCGGGCACGAGGTTGGGTCCCAAAGGTCAGAAAATTGTATTTATTTTGATGTTATTTCACCGAGCCACGTCGAGTTCATTATCAACATACACTGTTTTGGTATTTAGGCAAGAATTTGCTGTTCTGTTCTTGATTGGCAACCTTCGGGATCTTTCCGGCACATATTCTATGGAGACCAGTGTTTCAAAACCACCTGCGCAGTTTGTGAACAGGAACTGTTCGGGTGCTTGCATCAGCCAATTTTGAAGGTGCAGACGGCCTTTCATTACTAGTAATACCTTCAGGTTCGAAAGTGCAGGTATGATCTGTTCAGGCCATTTGGGACGGCATCATGTTTGGCCCGATCCATCCTTCAGTTCCCCTAGCCACTTGCTTGATTTTCAGCCATTCGATCGTGCGCTCGTTGATAGCCAAGCATGATGATGGAGGACACCACCACAGAACAGCTGCTGACAAACTGTACCGACTTGGAGGATGGGAACCTGGTGAAAGGTGCTAGCAATGTGGATGGTGTGACATTGGAAGCCTGGCTTCTTGATGCTCCCCCCCAAGTAGATACAACCAGGGAAATTTCAATCAGAGAGCTACTTTCTCCTTTTCCAGCTATAGCAAATTGTGGCGCTACAGTAGCGATCCGATGGCCATACTTGCTGGCAAAGTCACCCAGCGAAGCCGATTTAATAGCACCCGATAGCCCCTAGCCATTCGTTCCTTTCCCACAACACCATCTCGGTTTGTCCAAACGCGGAAATATCGCAAACCGGCTTTTCAACAGGAACAAAATGGGTTGATTGACGTAACTTCGTTGAAATTGTTTGCATTTGTGTTAATGCGACAAACCATGTAGCTTATCGATTCAAGAGCCTTTTCTACACAGCGACACTCTAAAGGCCCTTTAACAGTTAACAACACCGTTTATATGAGGAGATTGTTGCGTTCCATATATTCTGACTTCCAGTCCAGTAATGTTTATTTTCATGTGAGATGGATTCCAGCTACTGAAGATCAACAAGATCTTTGCAGTACTGAGCCAATTTTCAGACAAACCTGCAATTCTCAGCTCAGGAAGAGGTGGCGGAGCACAACCAGTTGCAGGATGCTTGGATCATCCTCAACGGCGAGGTGCTGGACGTCACGCGGTGGATCCCATTGCACCCAGGAGGGCCGAAACGGGATGGATTAGAGACCCCGCCATTGGGGTAAACCCAGCACAATTGCAATATATACATATATGTATATATATTATTATATATATATATTATTATATATATATTAATATCAATAGATTAATATATATATATATATAAAAATATATGGCGATGTAGAGAGAGAGAGAGAGAGACAAAGAGAGAGACAAAGAGAGAGAGAGAGAGAGAGAGAAAGAGAGAGAGAGAGAGAAGGGAGAGAGAGAGAGAGAGCGAGGGAGAGAGAGAGAGAGATCTATATATTGCAATATCATTTGTCATATTTCTTGTTGTCTTGGAATACATTTGAAACTTTAGAACCTCATTTTTTTTTGGCGGCATGTTTCCTATTGTTACCAAAGCAATAAAGTCGGGACATATTGGAGACCTGGAAATCATGTATATAGACATATGTCAACTTTTCCCAAATGATCTTCCATGTAGTGGAGGGTTCGTGCAAAATGGCTGGGAACCGGATAATTATTGAGCATGCCATTCCTTTGGCAATGTTCCAGGTGATCGTAACCCGCAAAGGTTTGGCTGTAAGCGGGATAAACAATGATTATTATTGATTGTTGGTTTGCAATGTATTGGTATATATTATATTGATGTGTGGTTTTAACTGCTATTGAAAAGGGAAAAATGGAACTACGCATCACCGGCGGTCCATCAGGCGGAGAGCAGACCATTGCCCGGGTGCTAGGGAAGGACGCATCCATGGAGTGGAATATGATCCACGCGCCTGGAACCGTCACTTGGATGAATTGGGGCCTGGGGCGTGGCCGGCTGACGGCTTGACGTAAGAAACGAAGGGATCTGTCAAGATTACGGTCTGCCCCAGAACAAAGAGAGTTGGCCTGGGACCCAAATTAAATGCCCGTTACTGATGTTTTGTTCTCCCAAAATGGGCGCTTCAATCTTCACAAACGACGGAGCACTGCATGTCCATGCATGTCCAATGTTGTAACATTCTATCTAAACTTAGGTTGCCACATCTGCATCATTCCCGCCACCGGCCTCAGTTTCCCATCATTTTTGCCTTGTTCTTTCCGTGCGCTTCCATATGTTCTATCTATCTCTTTTTCCGGTTAGTTTCCTATATCCTGATGACATCCTGCAGCGAAACCTTGTTCAATTTTTGCCCCGCTGGTCAGATCCAAAGAAACGCGCGGTTTCTCAAGAACATGGGCAGGGTCATTGAGCGAAATGTGGAAGAAGCGCCCGCCAGAGGTGTCGGACATGGGCAGAGTAGTCATACCCGAGCAAATTATAGTTATTAATTATTCGGAATGCCTGAACAATGGGCCCATCAAAGTAGAATAGAACTATATAGACGAAAACAAAAGATATAACAGGTATCATACTGATGGACTACATTGTTGTCTTTGGGTGGCTTTCGGATTTCTTTGCATTTCAGAGATTGCGCATCGGTGAAGTGAGTAAAAAGAAGATGGCATTGTCCCTATAGCTGGCGACGGTACAGTAGTCAATCACTGGTACAGTACCGTACTGTGCAACCATGAAACCAATATCTTTGTCAATAATATTTTCGTTGATTCTGACCACGAAGGAAGGTGTGCTCCAAGAAAGTTTCACCGACCACCCCAATGATAAATGGTAATGTGCGCCATTTGCTGGTCCCGGCTCTGTTGTATTCCTTTGGGTAGGGTGTTCAACCCACATGGGTTGAGAGAGAAGCAGTCATATTAATTTCCTTGTCTTGTCGAATCAACCTCCTGACCATGATGGTGAATACAAGTCTTTACCCAAAATTACCCTTAAATGACTATCCTGGCAGTGGGAGCGGCTTCCAAGTACGGCGTTATAAAGTCAACACTGATCACCCTTACATTGGGGCCCAGCTTCCTTGGAAAGGTCTTTTCGGCGCTATCCTGGGGATGGGCTGCTGCAAGCGCCGCCGGCCTTCAGCAGCAGTGTAGCGTAGCTTTGGGTGTCGGGTTCAGCCATGGTTTGCATGACTGTGCTCATGAAACTGCATAAGGTTTTGAAATCGCTGCTTCAGTCACTTTTTCAAGGTGTAAGAAGCGCCTTAAGATTCTGTTTGTTTGCTTTAATTCCTGGCCCACCCCGCCCCTGAAGTTGGATTTCTTGAGCCCGGAAGTTTCAATGCGTGCGCACAGCACATGCCTTGCGAGTGCTGCTTAGGAGTCTTCCCTGACTTTCCAGTACCAATGTGGTTGGCACGCAAGAAAACAACCGTGTAAAAAGATGTCAGTTCCATTCAGTTCCCCTAAGACAAGGACGCCACCTCACTTGCAGGAAACTTCCTTGGAAGAGTTTCTCTTTCGTGTGCCCATACCAACCAGGTGGTTACCTGAATTTTTCATGAGGCTCTTTAAAACATATGTCGGGTTTGCTTTCTGGCTGGGCCATCCAGTTGGTGGGCAAATAATTTTGCGAAAACTCTTGTACAAACTTGCGGACCAAGTTGCTGGAATCATCATCGAAGTTAGGATTGAAATGGTTGGTGAGTGGCTCAGCATCAACATAAAATACAGATGGTCGAGGTTCATCTTGTGTAGACACAACAGCTTGGCGTTTGCTGGTTAGAGCCCCGTTGGGTTTGACTGTAGCATTGTTCTTGTACGAAGGGTTTTTTTCCAGATTACTAGCTGAGAATCGATCCTACCTTTGGGGATCTTTCCAGCGGTCCGTCATACATTTTCTTCGGTCATATTTCGGATGTTGGCCGGACCCGTGATTGTACAGCAACGGCGACGACTGCTGGAGGAGTCCCGTCCACGATGCGTGTGGGAAAATTGACCCCATGCCTGGTCAAGTCAGGTATCCCTAGCGCACATTCGAACACCTTTCGGTAAACGAACAGGGACTGCAGTGACTGCATAGCATTGAACCTTACGTTTTGATCTTTAGTTGTGTTTGTTGAGATAGGGTTCACCACATATCTTGCCGGAAAATAAAATTTTAGCATGGGATCATCATACCATCAAAGAGAAACCCTTTTAGAGTGTGGTACCAATGGTGGTCTTTCATTGCTATAGTTAGTCTTGATTGCTAGAGGGTAAACCCAACCAATTTGGGTTGAAAGTTTTTCCCCACTGGTGGCTTCAAGTCTTTCGGATCCATGCCTTTATCATCCTTTATCCAGTGCTCATTATTGTTTTGGGAACCAAAGCCGCAGTGGAAATCCATTTTTTCTGGTAAACATTGCTGTTTGTTGGCCACGTCACTTTTTGTTTTTCAAGTCCGGGTTTCCATTGGTTTAATCCCCGCGTTTGTTGTTGCACCCGCTGCCCCAATCCAGCCAGGTCTTTTGAACCACGAGCATCGTCAATGCGGCGCTGTTTGTAGCAGGTGGTCTTTGAGGCATGGCAACGCCCCCGTGCTGCAGTAATGGCTGGTGAATTGAAGGGGCCAACTCGACTTAGTTCATGGGCAAGTGGTGGAATTCGACCCTTGGGTAGTCCTATGATGTTTGCCCTAGCTTGATATTTTTCATCACTTCATTTTGTTTTTTGTTTTGGGAGGCTGTTTCAAGAGTTTACGGCATCCTTTCTTCCTTTCTGTAGGTTGGATGCCATGCGCCATAAGTCATTCAGCGATTTTTTTGATTCCGGTGGCATTGTGGCAAGCAAACTAAATGTGTAAGAAGGTCGCTTGCCCAAAACAATCATATTTTTTGATGAACCGGCATTCTGAATTGGAGGCAGGTGACTGGCTTCTCCGGAGGGTATCATGACATCCATGCTTAGTAGTTTTTTGCAGTCCTTTCTGTGGCTTGAAAATTCAAAGTTTGGCTGGTGAGAAGACTTTGCATGTTAACAAATTTTCTTAGAATGGTTAGAATGTCCATTCAACACCTGGCAGCTACTGTATTTATCATGCCTTACCCTTTTGTTTTAAATTTCCTTCCTCGTGCTGAAAGGGCAGCTTTGGACAGGCAGGTCATGTGCTTGTTCCTTATACAGCTACATGCCTCGACTTACATGACATGCATGATCTTGTCATTCACCCCAACCATCGGACCCGGACATAGTTCCACTCATAGATTGATTAGTGGCACATCGGGAGCAGATCCCAAGTGGAGCCCGGACCTCAGATGGCCCATGAAGGTGCGGGCCACAAGCCCTTCCCATCCTGCAAGGCACCTTCAAAAGCCAAATTACAGAGGGAGCAACCAGAAGGTGGTGCAAGACCACCGTGCCAAAGGGCATGTTTGTTTTCCTGTATGAATTGTTTTCCAATGTTAGTTCATGAATTTATAAGAAGTGCTGCCCCAAACAGGAGCCAAACAGGTAGATATTCAACCAGAATGACAACTCACAAAAAGCTAGGCTGGCTTTTCCAGCTTGAAATTGCCTTTTCCAAGGCCCAAGTCGCGCCATTCTCCATGGCGTCCATGTTATCGGGGGCCATGGCCGCAGTGGGGCAGGCCGGATTTCTGCGGGGCTGCTATCTTGTGTTTTTTTGAAACTGGTTTTTGCACATTGGATGAAGCCATGTGCAAATCACTTGGGGTCAGCAAGAAAGTCCAGTCGAGTCTTTCATTTCCCCGTTCCCTTTAACATCTTGAAAGCAAAATCTGAAGCAATAGAAATACAATATTCGTAGGAAAAATGCAACATATTCGGGCCTCATACTTGACTATGGGTTTCTTGTGGTGCGGGATGGTTCCATCCAACAAAGTAAGTGCTCTCAGGATTTCATTGGCTTCCAAAAATCCGGACATGACCAGTGCAGAATTGTCGTATTATCAAACATTGTTTTGGCATGTTTTTTCACATGCAGGATCGCAAGGGTATTTGCAGGAAAACTGTGCGTTCATTGAACATACAGGGTATAATTCTTCTCTCCTGTGCTAATTTTCATTGGTTTCCTGTTTTTTTCCCTTAAACCAATTTCGTTTTGGGTTTTCACCGCCTTCCTCACCTTGAGCCCAGGCGCGCACCGACGCCACCGCAGCCCTGGAGCGTGGAGTGGAGAGAGCTAAGGCTGCCGAGAGGGGTCTTGCTTCAGCAAAGGACCAACCACGGACGGTGTGTTTAATCCATGCCTTTGCTATCTTCAGCTTACTTTAAACGGCAGAAATGTGGTTTGAATTGTTTCAGAACCACAGATGATGGAACATGTTTGGCTTGTCAGCAAAAGTGATCGAACCCTGTTTTTTTGTTCGGCAGCAAACGGGTAGGTTCATATATCAGCCAGCAATAGCGGGGACAACCATCAAAAAAAACATTGGGACTGGATGCGATCAGATATTTGAAATTTTGTATGGGCGGCAGCTTCAATTACATAATCGCTAATAGTGATTGTGGACTTGAAGCTGGGGCCCACCACCTGTTTTCGGATGCTTACAGTCAAATGGTTCAAGGCAGCTTTTGGAAACTGCATGACATAAAGAAACGCAACCCACCAAAATTGGATAGCATTTATGTATATATATAATTTCACATTCTGTTTGCTTCTGGATTGTTCACGTGGCCACTTGGGCTTTTGAATGTGTTTGAAACACACCAATTCAGGGTAGCCTTGATATGTCCTGATGACGCCATGTTCCGACTTTCTGGTGTGACAACCATGTCTTCGCTCGCTAAGGAGAAGCAACGCTTGATTGATGGACAAACGCAAGATGTTTCAATATGTTGCGCCTCAACATGTGGCTCTCCAGTTTTGGATACGGCCATTTGATCCCAGAATGACATGCCCCGCAATAGTTTGGCAAGTTGGGACAGCCACAGATGGAGTTGCAAGGCAGCTGCGACTGACGCTGTGGAACATGCGCGAGGCCAATGTTTCTGGGTTTTTGGGGTGGTACCTCAGGAATGCTTCTGGGAGAATTCCCTTGGGATGCACGCATCCAATTAGGTCATCCCGATTGCAGCAAAACACTGTGACAGAATCGAAGTTGGTGATAAACAATTGCATGGCTTTAGGAAAACCAATTTTGAGACTACCCGAAGTAGAGTGACTTCACACCCGTTGTGACTTCCACAGTGGCATTCTCCAGGTTCAGTGGTTAGCTTGTCCACTACCGCGCCGACGCCTTGCGCCGTTGCTCGGCATTTTGGTACATCGGACCGGCTGCTGGTGGGGGAACCTCCCTTTTCATGCTTCACGGAAAGTATTTTTTTTTAAAAAATGTTCATTTTACACAACTTAATGGAGTTTCAGGAAAATAAGTGAGGCTACCAATGGTTGGCACTTATTGCTTGCTATGTCAAATTTTGATGCCACCCTATATGCTTTCCATGTTTTGCGGCGGCGCCCCCATCCAAGTATAGACGATGTGCAGTTCAAATCTGTTCAACGGGTTTTCCTTTCCCCCGCTCTGAAGTCAAAAGGGTTTCCCAAAACCAGAGCGATTGACAGGAACGGAATGTTCTAGGATGTTATAGGGTTGGCATGATCTTCGCTAAGTGTCCCTGTTTTGCTGGAGGGAAGCCTGCTAGCAGACGGATTGCCATACGTCCTGAGAAAGAAGGGGATGTAGTTCATTGACAGCGCCGCTGTGTTTTCAACACGTTTCACTACCAACAACACACTCAACAACGAAATTGTCTACTTGCAACTCCCAAGGTAAAATTGTTTGATTGCAAATGCTGATGGGATATGATTTTGATTTGCCACAAGATCTTCAAGTGGCCGCGGATAAAGATCAAGCATTCGCGGCTTGTTTCTTTGATGGTTGTGCTATATTTATTTCGAACACCTGACCTAGTGGGACTTATGCAAGTAATAGAAATTCACACCTGCGTTGTGATGCATTTTGCAGTTGTATGTTTATATGGTTGCACCCGTCAAGCCCCAAAAACATGGTAAGCACCAAAAAGAACATGAAAGGAGGGTTTGCATGAAACCTTTTACACTACAAAGGTCATGGTTCCCTGTTGGTTTTCCATTGTTTTCTCTTAAACTGACCCAATGAGTACGATCGCATCAGTTGGGTCATCCCAGCATCAGCAGTTTCATCAAACGTTGGCAGGTCTGTGGCCGCCCAACCCGCAGTGGAGATGGTGGCGCTTGTGGCGACGTAGGCTGAGTAAGTAATGACGGGGCCATGGAGTCCAACTGGGTGTGGTTGAAAATTTGGCCGACCACAAACATTTCATAGACATAGACATAGGACATGTATGACTAGAACCGTGGTATTGCAATGTGCTGTTTTTTCACAGTAATGAAAAAGATACACATGTTGTTTTTTTGGGATGTTCAGATACTTGTAATGACCTCACCGCTAGCCCCGGGTTGGATTTATTTCAAGCTTCGTTTATGACATGTGCACGTAGGAATTTACACGGATTCGTTCCCTTCTGTATTACTTTTGGATGATTTGTTTCAAACATGTTCTTATAAATATATCATTTTCGCGGGGTATCCACTCAGCGTTGGCTGACAGACCGCCAAATGATGTTTATGTCTACGTTTGGTTTTTGTTCGAATATTTGGTTAGCCTTTCTAAGTCAATGACAACCTTGCAGCACGTAGAAGCACAGATTTCCAAATTTTACATAGTCCAAAAAAATAAATCAACTTGGGTCTTTGGTGACCACTTCTGTAGTTCCCAGCTTTTCCATACTTGAGAACCTGCTTCGCACACTTGCAGGTGACATGGCCGGGAAAGAGCCGAAAGAAGGGCCAAGGAGGTGTTACAGTTGCCTCACGGCAGCTCGGAACGCGGAATGTGCGCCGGTGTTGGAACCAAAAAGAGTTGGGGGATGTTTCTAAATGGATTCAAAAAACAACCATGCAGAATCAAGCAAGATGGGTCTATGGGCAGATGCTGCAGAATCAGCAGCTATATTGCGCCGACTACATAGATATTGCACATATAGAACTAAGACTCTCTGGGGACTAAGAAAGTAACATCAAAATATGTAATCATCAGGCAGTAGATCCGTAGGGCACCATGGGTATTAAACTCAAAAATGGCGGAATATGGCGGAATCACATGACTGACAGTGGATGCTTCACAGCACATCAGAGAGAATCCAACTTGCGGTACAGCCAATTTTGTAAATGGCAGGGCCATGCCATGTCTGGCAGCTTGGGACAAGGTTGATTTGCGAGGAATCTTGGATGGCTCAGTTGTGAAGGGTTTAAGCTTGGATTTTTGGGTGCTGAAAGCCAAAGTATATCAAAATAAATCAAAGTAATGGATTCCACCCTTCAAGACTTTCGGACTGAAGCGCTAAAACTGTAGGATGTAGCTTCGTGATCATAGTATACATATTTGATTGTGAAGTGTTGGTATGTTGGGTGCCCCTTTGGCTTCATGAGGCTGCGGAAAATGAGCAGGCGCATTCAGATTGGTGGGCAGAAGGGAAATGCTCTTGTGGTGACTAGAGGATGGAAAAGGTTCCGTCAATCATTACCGTATATTAATTTCTTGGTGATGATTGCACAGCTATAAAATCAATGGTTTTTCTCAGGGCATCTGGCCCAAAGCCTCAGTTTTGCCTGACTTGGGGGCTACGGCATCATCGGCGGGGAACTGTGACATGAAGCTTTATATGAATGACCTGGATCCTTATAGTTTGCTGGGTTGCTAATGTCCTGGTTATTGACGGGCCCATGTGGCCCATGTATCAAGGTCTTATCATCCGATGAGCCACAGTAGACTAAATCCCACATCCGCACAGGTAGATTGAACATGAATGCCTCCAAGATGTTTTTGCAAATGGACCATTCCCTGTCCCATGTACAAGATGCAATTGGACGAGTGAATGGGCTCACCACCAAGAACTTTCAACAGAAGGGGTACGGTGACCTTATCGCCTGCAACTGCTGCAGCCGGCAGGTGGAGGCCACCCGCAAGCAACAGCATGAAACCTTGGACAGTTTTTTTGCAGGTTGGGAGGGCAAGGGATGGCGAAGATTTGTTGAGTTTCTTAAGGTTACCCAGTGTTTCCGGGAGACCCCGGCATGTTTCCAGGCCATACAGCCCCACATCATATCACATGACATGTCATGAGTATGCATGTTTGTATGTTTGAACATGTGTTCTTTAAACTATTCTTTGCATTGTCCGACATTGTCCATTGAGTTATTGACACATGCATTCATGTCTCCTGCGTATGCTGTGAATGCTTACTCACAGAAGAGAGCCCCGGTATCAGGTGAGCCGCCGCCTGTCCACGTGGATCCGGAAGAGACCTCGTGGGGATGCTTGGCAGTCCACAAAAGGACCGTGCAAAACGTGGAAGAATTGTATCTACAGGACATGTGTGTAGATAAGTGTCCTCACCATAAATAATGGCTCTCAAAGGGAATTATCCGAATCACCTGTTTTTCTTTGCAATGCCCGTTTCTGTCTATCTGCCTATCCACTAGCTATCTGTCATTATCTATGCTTTTATTGGTCTATTTATTTGTTTGCCTGTTTATGTATATAACAAATTCACGAACGCACGTACCTACACAGTAACTGACCAATGACTCGCTAGCGAGCGGATTAAGAATTTCCAGCTATTTGGCTAAATATTTGACTACTTGACTGCAAATTGGAATTGTGACTTGGGAAACTCAAAAAATGAAGCTGGACACTTTACACCAGCAGTGGTTGCTCAAAGAGGGAACCTGCACAACCTGCCTTGGTTGACTTTGGTTGAGTTGTTTAATTTGCCCAGATCCCCTCTCAACAAATGACACATTCCATGTTGTCCTGGAAAAGTAAATGAAAGGATCTTGCATTGTTTGTTTGATTTTTGTCGTCCGTAAACAGCACAATTCTTGGGGTTCACATGCCTTTGCGTGTTCATAGAGTACTTCAAAAACTTGGCTAAGTTATGGGTGCTTTTTATATTCTCTGTTCTTCAAAAACCCAAAGATAATATTTCTGATTAGATCCACATTATATCCCAGTTATGGGTGGCAACTCGTACTTCTAAACCCAGGTGTCACATGAATATTCCCTAAAAACCCAATAATTCCCATTAGATTTCCAAATTAAATTGTTAAGTTCCATTGCAGAATGAAACGCTCCAGAGTTTCTTGGCCCAGGTTGGAGAAGGCGCATCGCCTGGGTTCTTTGGCCTTGGGCGGTGCTGTGGATTTGATGGGCCCGGAGACCCGGTGCCCACGGTGCCCACCCGGTGGGGAGCGAAGGTCCATCACCTGGGGCACCCCTCAGTAGTTTAGGCAGTAACATGTTTCAAGAAACAGTGTTGCATCATGTTTACTGACTAAAATATCCAAGATTCCTTATATTCCATCATATTCCAAGAACATCATGTTTAATTAATATTTTAGTACTGCAATGTGAATGGCAGACACGAGCCAGTTTTGCGTGCACTCATGTGTGTTTCCACCAATGTAGAGTTGAGATTGTATGCAAACACCGTGAAACTTCAGATTTTCGGCACTGTCAGTGTTAATTTGTTTAAGCCCTTGGAGTTTTTCAAGTTCATTGTTCAGTGGTATCCACTTTTTGGGGTATATTTTTGGTCCAGCTGTGTTCGCCAACCTTTTTCCCACCCGAGCGATTCGGCGCGGCCAGGCTGGATCCCGGGGGTCGGCTCCATCACCAAGGGCACCATTCAGGTTCTGCACAAGGCACAAGCGCTGGTGGCGGTGGGTTCACTGAGTTACTGGTGATAAAATGATGAATCTCAAACCGACGTGCACCCCATGGTCAAACAACCGATATCATTCATTGGTAGGGTCTGCTTTCTTGGTTTTATCTTCGGTAGGGCAGAAAGTGAAGTGAGATGGTTTGAAGTCTTTGGGCTGGGTGTTGCCGATTCTTGGTTGGGTCCAGAACACCAAGATTGAAACTGGCAGTTGTTGCAGATGATGTTGGGGGAAGCTTTGCTCAGCGGAACCAAAGCGCACAGATGTGCACAGCATTTGCAAGACAACTGTTGGCATTTGAATTCTCAAATGGCAAAGCCTGAGCAAAAAGCCGCATCCATTTAGTTTGCTATACAAGGAATATATCGCCAATCAATACTAATCAGCTAAAACTTAGCCGTTTTTTCAGGACATGTAATTGTGGCTTATGCCATGATTTGCTCATTATCGATTGTGTTGGATGGTAAACCCTGTTTTATCTCCATGCTTGATGCTTAATCCTCTAGTACCCAGGGTTCAATCACCAACCTTCATCATTTTTTTATGTCTGAGTCCAGTAGAATCCCATTGACACCACAATTTCACTACAATGTGCACCTGTTTTCCGATTGTTCAATTCCAATTTGTTGCTTGCTAAATGCATCAAAAAATCCCTACGTTTTGCAGGTGGTCAAGTTTGGCCCCTTGGCGCTGTACAGTGCTGAGCTCGTGCCAGGGCCCAGCACTGAACTGCTACTTGGGGGCTGCAGTTCCGGTGTTCCAGTGTCAAACCATAGAGATTGGAGTTAGATTCCAGCTAACTATTTCCAACTAATGATGGTTGCCATGCTTGTACGCATCGATTAATAACTTCAATTTTGGCAAAAAATAATGTCACGAATAATCAGTATTAAACCAATTGTTTGGTAGTATCAATCTGATTTTTTTCGGGTGAAAAACATCCCAGGTGAAGCTTGTACCTGTAAAATTTGGGGACCAGGTAAATCTTTTGGTGTTGAATTTGCACTTACTTGGGTTGAGTTGTAAGCCCTCAAGCTTGTGAAGTAATTCTGCAAATGCCGTCCAAGTCAATGTATCACGGTTTATGGAGTTGCGAAGCGGCACCCAGTCTCTAAGGACAATGATCTTCAGTCATAAGCCAACCTAGGGGTATAACTGCCATGGCCCATTGTATTATTCTCATTTTTCCCATGTTTGATGATTAATGTACCTGTATCCATGGTTGAACAACGTTTTGCCACCCAGCTGTAAGTTGGTTTAAGAACCTCATTAATTACAGTTTTTCTCCGCAAAAAAAAACACAAGTTTATAAGCAAGGTATGAATTAATTTAGCTATCGATTGGGGGGTTCGCCTTGTTTAATGCTTCACCATTTTTGATGGTTCAGCTCTTGAAAAAGGTGGAAACCTTGCAGCTGCTGGTGGTCATGGCCAACCGTACAGGGGCTGCGAAGGTGGCTGAGGAGCTAATGTGATCCGATGCCACAGCCATGTTGGGGAATGTCATGGGATTTCACCAGCAAAAAATTGAATATTGAATGTTTAATCCAGAAACATGGGGAGTTAATCAACAAAAAAGGTATGTTTAACTAAGAGAAATTGTGGGCTCACCGAAAAAAAAAGGTGGTATAGCGGGAATATAATCCGAATGACTTGGGGGACATTAATCATCAAACAAAAATGCCCCATTGTTTTGTACATAGTAGGCACTTGTATACTAATTAGTTGACGGGGACTCGCTGGGACTGTCTTGGGCAAGTTGCTTCATTTTGATCTATTTTGGAGATGGGATCTGACTCCAAGTCTATGAGGCTGGAGCCTGCTGTGCGCATTTTGTATCGGCTTCAAGGCGTGTAGTTATCAGAATTGTTAGATAGGACACAAAGGGCCAAAGTGGCATGGCAAAGCCCTGTCCATCATTTCCGTGATCCCGGTGGCTTGAACATGCTTGACCTGTTTTCCAGAACCTTCTCAAGAGTCACAGTTGCGGAAAGCTCTGGCAGTTTTTTGAAGATATATGTTGATCGAAATGAGCGAGATAGTGAACCAGATAGTTGTCACCAGATCGACCGCGTCAAGCGTCTAAGTTTGAGTTCAACCAGCATAGAAATTGGATCAGTCCACAGGAACATTTAGCCATGGCGACGCATGCGTTAATTGACGCGAGCATCGTTCCTCGCCAAGGTTCGAATCAGGTGGGTGAATCGCTTGCCATCCAGAGGTATGAGAAAACAGTTTTCCAAAGGAAATTGCATGGGCTCATTCAATTGTCAGGGAGAGCAAGCAAAAAGCCGCTGGCCTTGAAGAGGCGGTTCAAGTTCAATATTCAAATAAAAGGCCCATTTTGAAAAACACAGATCGCGTGATTGATATCAACAACCATCGTCCGTTTTCGGGCCTTAGCTGCCCAAGGGTGCCTGAGCCCAGCATTGCCGGGCCGTCCAGCTGAGGATTCCTTTTGGGCTGCCGCTGGAGTGCCTTGTCCGGCCGCTCTGGTAGCAATGGCTTTCCTGGCGCATTTGGAGTTTATATGCCTGGGAAAGGATGGGAAAGGATCAATCTGTAGCTTGTAGCCTATTAAAAGCATGTTCTAAAGTTTCTAAAGGGGGTAGGTCTAGCCTAGCCTTGCAGCATGTTACAGTTTTAACCAGCTGTTTTTCCGGAAAATACCCTGGTGAATGCTGTCACTGGTTGGTGAAAAGATGTAAATTTGCAACTTACAACCCAGAAACTATTGTAAAAGGATTGCCAGAAGTCAGCATGTGTATTGAAAGTTAGTTGTGGCTTGAAGACGATGATTCCACCACAGTTTTTGGGTTCAGCAGCGCAAGGTTTTGCAAGCTCATCCAACTGCCCCAACTGTTAAAACCACTCCAGCTGTTGTGGGTAAGATGTGGTTGTTGTGGTTGTTGTGGTTGTTGCTGTTGTTGTGGTTGTTGTGGTTGTTGTGGTTGTTGTTGTTGTTGTGGTGGTTTTGGTTGCGGTTGGTTGTTGTTGTTGTTGTTGTTGTTGTTGTTGTTGTTGTTGTGGTTGTGGTTGTGGTTGTGTGTTGTTGGTTGTTGGTTGTTGGTTGTTGGTTGTTGCTTGTTGGTTGTTGGCTGTTGGTTGTTGGTTGTTGTTGGTTGGTTGGTTGGTTGGTTGGTTGGTTGGTTGGTTGGTTGGTTGTTGTTGTTGTTGTTGTTGTGGTTGTTGGCTGTTGGTTGTTGGTTGTTGGTTGTTGGTTGTTGGTTGGTGGTTGTTGGTTGTTGGTTGTTGGTTGTTGGTTGTTGGTTGTTGGTTGTTGGTGTTGGCTGTTGGCTGTTGGCTGTTGGCTGTTGGCTGTTGGCTGTTGGCTGTTGGTTGTTGGTTGTTGTTTGTTGGTTGTGGTTGTTGTTGTTGTTGTTGTTGTCGTTATTTCTGTTGTTGGGTTTCTTGGGGCGCAACCAGCCCCAGCTGTGAACTCTCGCGGTGATGTCGGGATGTATGTCGGGGTGGAAAGATGCCTGCCGTCTTAGATCTTGTCATAATTCGTATCAAATGAGTTGGAAACCCTTCGTGCCTATATAGCATATGCCTATTATGATGAACCGGGATCATGTTGCACCCACTGGCTAACCTATCTTATATTATTTTACATTCAAATCCCAGGTTTTTTCCACGGTACCTGGAGCCCAAAGCGTAGAATGCGTAGAACCGAGGCACCCAATGCCCGCAAGAAGAAAAGTGCCTTGCCCAAGCTACCGGGTCAAGGCTATTCCCAAGGCCAGTGCTGGGACGGAGCATGATACTAGTGGAACTGGAGGCCCTTTACGGCTTCCAAGCTTGGGGCTCCAACTCTGCTAATATGATTTGATGGTGATTTTAGCAACTGGGATTGCCTCAGGTGTTCAACCCTTTCTCATAAGGCCCCTGTACTAATTACAAATGTGTTGACAAGAATCTTTGGGAAGTGGGTAAGGAGTGATGCAGTATTTGATGCCATTTTTTAACTTTGTTGTAATATATGCCATAGACCACAATAGACCCTTTGGTAAGCTAAGTTGGTTGGCATCATGTAAAAAACACATGTTTTGTTGATCAAGTATACCAAAATTGCTGTTTGCTAAAAGCCCAGCCACGGTAACCTCCCATCCTAGGGGTTGAAGCAACCAACCCGAACCTATCTCAAAAAAAAATGCCCTTCAGGATGCAGCCATCCGATTTTGAGTCGTTTCAACCTTATTTGTATGTTTTGTGATTGGTGAAAAGCAAATGAAGGAATGTTGTATCTACCAGTTGTCATACCCATTGTAGTTTTCAGAGTCACTTATTTACATCCCTATCATGACCTCGAACTCCCGCATTTTAAGCCAGCAGGAGGCACATTGTTAGTTGCATATACAAAGACATGATACAATCTGTACATGTCCAGTATACAAATATATCCCTTGCATTTCTATCTGTTAACTATTTACATATATGCATGGCACTTAGATTTACATGAATTTATACAGATTTACATATCATATGTAGTTATATATTTTTATATATGCATTTAATTATTTATTATGTTTATATTCATGCATGTACGTCCTGCATATACCATGTAAACCTTCTATGCTCTTCATTTATTCAGGAGCCAAGGCATCGGTGAAGCCCAAACTCAACGAGGCCATCGGACAGGAGCGGCTTGGCCTTGCAGAAATACCATGGGTTTGATGGGGGTCTAAAGGTGTGTAGCCATGGTTTAAGTGGGATAGGGGGAAAAAAGGTACCAAGTGGATGCAATGGTAGCCATACACAACTTGTTTCTTTTGTGTTTTGCTTGGCATTTACCGCATGGCCAAGCTCAGCCGCTCAGCTTTTGCAGGGGATCAACAAACCACCAAGACAACTACCAAAGCAACAGCACGTATAACTTGGGCTCACTGTTTTTCATTGGTGTCACCACAGCCATATTCCATGGGATTGGGGTTAGCACTGCGATATCGAGGCTTACCTGGCTTGTAGCTGGGCCAACAGCCCCCAAGTTGATGCAAGATGGTACATGAAAGGGAAAACTGGAAGCAGGTTTTCATACATACGGGAACATCTTTTAAAAATACAGCACCCCAATTCCAAAGTATGTTTATCATTTCTGCCGGTCAACAATGCCATTTTGAGAGACCCGATTTGTATTGAAAGGCATGCAAGATTGAATTAGAACATTCCCAATGCCCAGCCGGAAAATCATCCTTGCAGATCTTTCATCGACCTTCTTTGGGGCCATTGGCATCCACAAGAATATATTTCAACAACTTTCCAAAGGGGCATCACATGCAGACGTGCTGGCATTGTGAACCCCGAAGGTTCCTAGCAGGGGCCTACAGGAGAGGCTCCTGATTTGTTTTGGACTATGCAGACAACCGGGGTTGTTTCATTAGCCTTTCAAATTGTGGTAAAACCACGATGTTTCCCCAAGTATGACCGCGTTGTAATGCATTTGAACTTCATGCATCGCCCAACTGATTTCACAATATTTTGATTGCAAGTTTCTGGGGGCTCAAATGAATTTAATTCCGAAAGTACCTTCACACATTTCAAAAGGTGCATGCCTGCATGCCTATTTATGTAGGTAGACCAGGTAGATAATGGCACATTGATACGCTTCATGCCATTCTTGAGCTGGCAGCAGCTGTAAGGTTCAAGAAGGTCGTGGTGGAGATCAGTGGCCGGGATGGTTACAACTCAGCGGCCTTGAATGGTGTTTGGCACTTCTGGAAGGCTTGCGGCATGGCTACGTGTGATCGACATGGGTATATATACACGACTTCGCAGACACCTCACCATACATATGGTTAGGTTTGTTGTTTTGCTTAGTTGGAAGTTTCGGTACTGTGCATAGTTGCATATTTGTCGTCTTTGTTCTCGGAATTATCTGTAATCTCAACCAATGTTTGTCGAGAACCTTTGTCAGCAAACAGAGAACCCATCCATGACAAGTTTTGCAAGTTGCTCATGTTGCCCTTCATGTTGTATGCCCGGGTGGGTGGAATGTGGGGGTCAAACCTGTGATTTGATTGGGTTGTATTAGTATTCCAAGCCGTGCCTAGCATGCCACTGCTGTTGCAGGCCCTGATCTGTTCTGCAACAACAGTGTATGCATGCTAGTTGGTGAAGGACCATGTGTTTTGGTTAGGTTTTTTGGGGACTTAAACCCCTTCGTTTAGTTTGGATCCTATGCCTTAACGGTCACCACCCCAGGTGAAGAATGGCCGGTTAGCCTTCGACCGAGAAATCCAGTTAAGGGAGGCTCCGGTGGCCGATGGCCCGATGGCAAGTTGATCCGCCTGGTAAACTATATGACTTTGGGTGATATAGCATGATATAACGTGATATAACTTCTATTTATATAGATATAACTATCGCATTCAGATCTATATACAGTAGTTACTGTAGTTAATGGATGTGAACGTGGTTGGTAAATTTCAGCACGAAGCGAACTTATACTGTAACTTGGGAGCCTCACCTTGTGGTGACGAGTTCTTTTTTTGGGTGCCTGGGACGGGCTGCCCATCAGATGAAATTACTTCCCCTGCAGGGTTGACATTCTGCAAGCACATGAAGAGATCACACGGCCCTTCCGTGCCATCTTGTGTGATCCACTCAAATGTTTATTTTTGAGCTCTTGGCAGCCATTCTCTCGATGTTTTGAACGCTTGCTGGATCAAATGGCTTGTTGTCACAGTGTTCATTAGGGAAGTTCTTCAGCCCAAGCCTCGTATCAGGAAGCTGACGAGGATTCCGAAACGGGTTGATCTGCTGGGTTGCTGAGTCATGTGCTCTAAGGTTGTCAATGAGGTAACATGATTCGAGATATTAGGGGCCCATACATTCTAAGACATGCTTTTTGTAGAAGGAACGGGGTTGAACCAATCAAAAGCTGGTGATGCAAGCAGCAAAGACATGACCAGCAGAGACATATTGAACGTGGAGCAGCAACATTTTACCAATGATGAATCCAAAGTCCTAGGGATGGACCCACCGGATGTTTTGAAGGATGAAGGTATGTGAGGTTTTTGATTTTTCCATCCCAAGAGGCTGGTAGCAACTGGCAGCTTTTGAGGACATGATTCAAGACGTGTCAACATCCGCAATGCTTGAATGGTCTCCATGAAATGCCTTGGACCAACTAAGATGGCAAATAGAGACGCTAAAGGCTTTCTAAGCCCTTTCAATGCCAAGATGTGCCAAGTAAACATTCTGTGTAGCCTACAGGACTCACTGGCATCTATGGCATCTATGGCATCTATGGCATCTAGATACCAGAGGCCCTAAATCAATAGAGGGTGCTCAAGCAACATTCGTTTCGTCACTTACTGTAATTAGGGCGATTTGGATTCATTTCATGTCAACTTATTTTGCGTTTGCTGGGCCCATGCAAGGTGACCTAAAACTTCATCTCAAATTATCTTAACTTCATCCGCATGGACATATCCAATCATATCCAGCACTGAACAAATCTAGGGAAAGACCATGACTCACACAATTCACAGTCCGTGACATGGCCATGACACCCACCATGTTGGTCATGGCTCTCCGCCGCACGCCGCGTGGCGCGCTGGCGCGCTACTTCTCGAGGGAGCGCGAGGTGAAGGTGGCCTGCGACGCGTTGGCGGACGCCCAGTTGGATTGGTGATGGGTTGGAGGGGATCAATCATGGAAAATGATGAAGACGGTTGGCTAATATGAACTAAGGAGGAAACTGGTGGGTTAATGATGCTAATCAATCTCAATGGGGTATACCATCATTACTTTTCTTAAACTGGAAAACATAAGCCACTTCCAACGACTTGCCAGCAATGGGTGGGATTGAAAACCATCCAAATTTGGAGGTTGATTATTGGGTGCACCACAACATTTGAGGTACCAGGAAGAGTGTACCAGAATGGCTTTTGTCCATATCCCCCATCTGGAAAGCAACATGACCAAAGTTTTAGCACTCCTGGATCAAGAAAGTTGAGAAGCGTGACAGCATGGGGATCTAATGCTATACGATTGATCAGCATGAATGTTCGATGAAGCTTTGAAAGTTGGGCCAAGCAATTTGCAAATAATTTGATCTTGAACAAGTAGTATATACATCATCGCATCCAACAATGAGTTTCAATGATGCGTTGCTTTGTTGCACACCCAGCAACACTGGGAGCATTTCCAAATTTAACGGACTCAAACGGCTACAATGTTCATGTCCAAGACAGTAAACCCAGCATGATTCACCGAACGCTACAGAATATGATGGGGGTTCTGCAAGCATTGGTGAGCTACATTGGAGTTCCCTGGCTACGGAGCTTCAAAAGCAGTTGGAATCCGTTTGCAGTTTCCCAAATATCAACCCACCGCAATCCCCATTTTACATCCACTACTTGCTTCAAACCTGTTTTCCCCATTAATCTCCCATGGTTTCGTTTTATAAGCTTCCACACCAAATTTTCCCCAACACCATCATTCCCAATCATCGATCGTCCAAGGAGAGCATCCAAACGGGAGATTCAGCTTGGTTCGAGCGCGTCATCCAACAGCTCCGCGGCGTGCTGCTGGAGCGGCAGAACGATGCCGCCGTTGCCGCTGTCGAAGCCTCTGCGCGGCCACCAGCGTTGAAAGCGGCACTGGTGGTTTCACCGAAAGCTGCGCCGGTGTCCACGTTTCCCACGGCAAGACCGGAGGCCCGGGTGATACTATTGGGTGGGTTCAGCGACGTTGTGCGATCCAAAAAGTTGGTCCATATGACTTGTCCAGTTCGGGATTGCATGGTTTTTGAAGGGAGACAGGTTGCTTGGAGTTGCAAAACCAGCCTCCACATGCCCCTATACTGAACATGTTTTTTGATTTTGTGGAAAGTTAACAGCGTTTTTTTTGTTTGCAGTGGGGTGCATGCCATTGTGTTTTGGCGGCATGCACTTCCACAACATGCAGAGGTTCTCATGTGATCTTATTAATGTCATTCTTTGGGAAGCAGTTGGCACACATGGCAAGGTTAAACGCGTTACATTTCACATATGTTGCAGTTTCTTATGTCACATCATTTTTGCATCTACATATCCACTAGAAAAACGCATGTATATATACATGTGAAGAAATATAAGTTTGTCCTGTAACTTATCATGTATATTTTGAATTATGTTGACTGTTGCAACGTTTTCCTTCACGCATCTACCCCCCAGGTGTCGCAGAAGCCGCCGGACTCGGATCTTGACGAGGCGCCCCCATGGCTCCAAGCCCTGCGGCTGCTGGAGGAAGCCGCACGGCCGCCAGGAACCGCCAAGGCGGCCAAGACGGTGGAGAACCAACGAGCAGAAGGAGATGCCGATGGAGGGGGGTTGGCGGAAACAAGTGGTGATAATTTGACATTAATTTGACATAATTTGACAATGGATACAGTTTGGTAAATAGCTATCGTTTTTAATGTTTTTATATAGATGCTGGCTTTGAATTTGGTAGAGGCGGTATAGGTATGGTTTTAAGATGTCTTAAGCCATCAATTGCATGGAAGTGACCTCACTTAAGGGATTTACTGGCCCTGTTCAGATACAGTTGCTGAATGACATTGTTTTCAAATTTTCAGGGATTCAACAACATTTTCTTCTTGAGGGTGTCACTTCGTGGAACATGTTTGCTGGTTGCATTGGGTTCCGCGAGTGCTTACTGCAGTATCAATTGCAATTTCATGATTCTGATCTTGGGATGTTGAGTGGCTTCACCATTTGTAAACCAATTGTTTGAAGTACATGAAGTACATGCACCCTACCGCATGAGAACCCCATCATGGCCACAGCAGGATATTTTCCGGCAACTGCACCAGCTCCAGAAGATCTCCAAGACCAGCAGCTGCAAGCCTATCTGAAGAGTTTCTCCCCAGATCCTCCGCAAGCTCTGGAGCCTGGTTGGGCCAAGGCCATTCGCTTGTTGGAAGCTGCCCCGGTGAGCCGAAGATCGTCAGAACCAGTGCAACCCAGAGCGACAGAAGCGGTCAAGGCCTGGGTTTCATTGTGTTTTTCAGTTGAAGTTGTGATATTGTTTGAATTTCCAAAAATCGAAATCCTGAGATGTTTGTGTTGGGTAGTATTTTTGTAGTATTTCCCATGGATGTTCTAAATTGCAATGATTGGTTGGCCATGGCCATTGTTTCCCCTCTTGGAAGATTTGGCTGTCGCTCCCTTGTGCTGGATCTGATTATGGCACCCCCGAGTTGCAATCTGTGTCCACTCTTTTTCGACACTATGCTTTAATGTCTCTGATGGTTCTGAGTCACGAAAACATCTTTCCCAAATTTGGCCTTCTTCTCGTCAATTTCCCAATGGAACAGGCCCGAATCTTCCACGTTCTGCGGCGCCAGGCCCCACCGGAGATGGCCCCGGACCGACAACGCAACGTGCGGATGCAGAGCTACCAGGCGCTGCTGCAGCAGAGCGCCACAGCAAAGCCTGGCGCTGCGCTGCCGGACTGGCGGCCGAAGCGGGAAACCGAGAAGGTGGAAACGGTGAAGGCCATGGGGAAAACTTGGTGAAACAAGTTTTTTTAATGATTGGAACGGAATGTTTTTTTGGGATGTTTCTGATAGTAATGTTGGGGTATAATAGGATATAATTACTTTCCAGCTATTAACATCCCAACATATCCCAACATTGAATGTATAAACGTTTGGGGTAACCCACAGTGTTTGGGAACTACATCCTTTCTGTTGTGGGTTGAAATCCAACCCTTGGCAAACCGCAGGAGGTCAAGGCAGCGGTGAAACCACCGCCGGTGCCGAAAAGTAAGGCGCCAGCTGAAGACGTGGGACGCTGGGGCAGCAAATGTTCGAGGAGGTTTCACCACTGTGGATGGAAGAATTCCTGCACCACCTGGGATGGTAGAAAGCCTATCAATAATGGTAAAACCACCTATCTGGTGCAGGATTTCGCAGCCATCCACCATATGTTTGAACAGTTCAATTAAATGGTTAAAGCCATGGACATGCTTCCATCATTTCCATCTCGCCCTGGGCTTGGGCGGGAGACCTGAAGGCGATGGAGGGAGAATGGATATGTAAAATCATTAGGATGTTTAGTGCATGGTTCTTACTGCTTCAACATTTTTCAAAAAATATGTTTTGACCATGTAAGGTTGGAATTGAACCAGCGGATATTGTTTTTTTTTACGCCGTGTCGAGCACGTATAAGTTGTCCTCTCATTGAGTTGGTTGGGTATCCAGATGATTTTCGTTGACTCCCCACCCTGATTTTGGGACATCAAGATCGACCCACTTGGTCAGATTAGTAGAGCCAAGGCATCGGCCGCGGTCACCTGGTCCCGTCTCAGCCCGGCCCGCTGCACGACGACGACGAGTTTGATGTGGTGGACGGGGAGCTGCGGAAGGAGGACCTGGTGTGGTCGGAGCACGAGTTCAACGACGGGGACCGGGAAAATCGCCGAGTGTTGCGGAAGTCTCTTGGAGTTTCAATGGGTTTCATGGGCTTAACCAGCCAAAAACTTGGGATTTAATGGGATTGTTATACACACTGACGGTTTTCGGCAGGCAAAACCATTCGTTTTTGAAAACCCTTCCCCCCAACCACTGCAGCTTACCAGATTGTTCACCATTTTTGAGGTGGTGCAGACACACTGATTTTTCATCATTTTTCACCATGTTTGATGGGCAACATCCTAATGCTGCACCATATTCAAGTGATAGAATCGCCTAGCATTTGCGAGGTTCACCAAGGAGTTCAAAAAGATGGCAGAAGACATCCCCGAAGGCATCCGAAATCCAAAGCTCCTCACTGCTGCTTTGGATCTAGCCTTGGCTTGCGTGAAGTGTTACGAGTGCCCTGGCGGTGGACGTTTTAGGCGTTGTTTTGGCCGAGGGAATGGTGAAAACTTGGGTTTCAACCAGCCATTTGGATGGGTGTGATGTGATTTATTCATGTAAAAAAGGTTAAGATGATTTAACTTATTATGTGAATAAAGGAAGACTGTGTGTGTGTGTAAATGTGGTCACCCTCGGATGGCACGAATGCCAGCTTTAATAATTCGGTTTTTATCACATGTTTCTTGCTTGGGCGTTACACCTATTCGAGATCATGCTGGAGAGATAGAGAGAGGGAGAGATCGAATCAATTCTTGGCGTACCTCAAACCATCCAAAATTTGCGAAGCTTGCCAATGTTGGATGTTTCTTGGGTCGTTATAGCAATTCTCATGGGATAGCCCTATGGTCATCTTTAGTTTACCCATGTTGTAGATGATTTCCCCATAGCCATTGGATATCCAACAGGCCTGGGGGTGTTGACAATGCATGTCCCGATCTTGTGCCATTCTTGAAGATCCGAAGCATCACCCTCAGATTTCGCAGATTGTTGAATGCAATCCCCACGGTTGGAGTTATAATAAGTTATAAACCAGACATTCCACAAGTAACATTCAGATTCCGTGTCATACAGCACTTTTGAAGTTTTCTTTGTTTCTGCGGAATGGCTGCAAGAGAAGCTGCTGAATCCCAACCATTGCTGGTCATTGAGTCATAGCCATGGTGGAGCGCGTTCGGTATCAAGAAAGAACGTTGATAATCATTTGCAAATCCAAATCGGCCACGGCCTTTCTATCCACAAGATAAACACATTCAGAAAATTGGTCAAACTTATGCGAACAAGAAAAAGAAATAAACCACCTCCTATTTGCATGGATATGTCATGGATAAACTTCTTACACCTGTTGAATTACATGTCATGGTTGCCTTTAGAACATCATGTTTTAGCGACAGGTCACCAAGAACTGGGAGCTTCGAAAACCCTCAACCACCCAGCTTCAGATTTATGAGTTGAGACGGTTCAGCCAGATCAATAGTTCTGATTCACAAGTCTTCGGATAAAAGAAGTTTCTCACACACATATGTATGAATTAAACTGTTTTTTCTTCTTGGGTGCTCTACTTGATAAATGCATGCAACTTTTCTTACATGTTGCCCTATATTATTTATTATTATTGAATCTTCTTGAATTACTATTGGGTGTTATTAGTATATATTTTATTATATACATTTTCGTTTTTGTCGTGCTGTAAACTTTTTCCCATCGGGAACATGTGTTCATCATCGCTTCGATCTGCCCAGGTTGGATAAGGCGGATGCCATCTACCGCCGTGTGCTGGGCGAATGCCGACGCCGCGGGATGCCGTGGGACGTAAAGTGTTTGCAGGTCCCGGTTCTTGGGAGGTGGGGTGATGGAACTGAGAACATATACCCAGACATTAGTCATATAAACATACGTAGACATTATAATTAATTAATAAGATCTCAACCATTGTAGTTAATATATGTTGATTGGAACATCTGTTACTAATTTTATTTATTTCAGTAATATCCGGACATTAGCCATTATAGTCAATTGTTCCCAGAAAAGATTGTCAATATGAATCCTCTGAGCCAGTTTTTAATGACCAAGGTCTTCTGGGTCAGAACGAATGGCATGTTATTAATGGCATCACGGTTCTTATTCAATGAGTAGTGATGGTTGGTAACACGGTAAAGAGTCCTAATTATTCTAGATATTGGACAATGGGTTTAACATGGTTTCAACAATTTTTCATCTGGCATTTGCAGCTCCTCCCAACACGATTTTCGTTGACGTGGCTGATCCGTATGGAAAAAAATGCGCGCAACGGTGAATAAGTTTTTTGAATAAGCAGCAATGGCTACTGAGTGTTAACCACATTCACATTCAAACATTGATGGTGCTTAAGCGGTAAAATAGGAGGATACCTATGGACGCATATTCGGGATGGGTATGTCGTGCGACTTGGATGTAAGCAGGAAAACATGAGGTATGGGGATCATCCCACCAAGTGATGAATGCGTAAAATTTGCGGAATGTGGCAATTTGAGTCCAGTAATGGCTAAAAGCAAAAAACATGTTAAGATTGACGCCCAATCTGATCGATTCGTTTGGCATTGCACATGGGGCCAGGTTCACTGATGTTAGCCAACATGACTAGTATAATTGGAGTGAACTTCCAAACCCTAAATATCATGCAGTTGGGAACCGAGAACTGTACTAATACCTTTGTTGAAACTCCAAGTTCTTGTTGGTTCCTGTACTTGCTTGACATTTACTTGATATAGAGCTCTCTAAAAGCCTAAACATCATGCTGGCAGTTTTTCGCACCTTCTCTTTGCTACTTCCATGTGGTTGTTTTTGCTGGTGTCCATTAGTCCTGTTGTGAGCTTGCATTTTCTTGCTCATACTTGTTGCCAAATATGTGATGCTGCTTATATTCCCATATTTTTTGTTCAAATCATTGCAACTTATTGTCGTTGAAATTCCAACAAAAGAATGGACAACCAAGGTGCTCAATGCTTTCGACATCATTTCTCCAATCCCAAATCCGTGCTCCTTCAACATGGTTCACCTTGAATCTCCTCAACTTTCCATCTCCACCTCTCAAATCCGATATGTGTTCCACTTTTCCACTTAAATCCCCATGTTCCAGCATTTTCCCCTAAATTTCCCCACGGTTTCCCCATGTTTTCCCCACTTTTCCCGGTGAACGCCCTGATTTCGCCGCCAGGACCTGGCCACGCTGCGCTGCAAGCAGCACCGCCAGGCGGACGCCGCGGAGCTGCTGGAGGAGTTGGCACAGAAGGCGCCGCCGCATCCGGCGACCTTCATCAACCTGGGCACGGTGACTGGGCACGGCTGAAAAAAATAGGGGTTTAAAGAAAGTGGTTTATCATGGTTTATCCATGATGATCCAGTAGAAGTGGTTTATCCATGTTTATCCAATATGAGTGGTTTATCCATGTTTATCCAATATGAGTGGTTTATCCATGCTTATTATACTTGGTGGATATAGGATGTAATGGGACTAGAGGATTTTAGATAGGGCTTAATGTTTCTCCAATATTGTTTTTTTGGCATTGTCATTGCATTGTTATAAACCATTGTTGTTTGATGTTATTTGCCATTGATGTATCTAGTACTTGTATTTATCATAACATATGCATATACTCATATACATATATTATTAAAGAGTTAGGTAAAGACCACTAACATCGTACCATTTTAAAGATATATTGACACGGTGTTATTATCTAATTGTTTATATACAGTTTATAGTTCTTTTTTCCATATTGAATATTATTTATCTAAAGTTGAAGTAAATATGATGATCTAACCTTAGTGAGTATCATCCCCAACTGGATGGGTAGTTGAACCCCTTTTTTTCTGATTATTGTTTTTTACTATTATTCTTTGTTAGCATATTTAAATATACGTATGTGTGTTTCTATTGCTAATAATAGTTGTCATTATGTGGGCGCACTCCCTTTTTTTTTAAGGGAAAAGGGGATAGTATGATTCTATGATTATCATCTATAGTACTACTAATGTATATGGGCTGCATATTCTTCAAGTGTTATCAATAGTACCTGGGCACGGTGCCGCGGATGTAGGGATCAACAGTAAACAAATTAAGTTAAATACTCATCATTCAAGAGTTGATTGTTGTAATAATTTCGTGGTCGATAAATTATCAGGAACTCTTATTACCTATGATTGGTAAGTATTGTCTATGTGCTTTTATGAAAACCAGTTTTTGTTTACTATCAACTGTTGCTATCATCAGTGTTATGATATTCATAGCTGATGTATTGTGATAATAATTGTGATCAATAGTACCTGGGCACGGTACCTTGAATCCCCATGGGGACGCTGGTTGCTGGTTATCCAAATATCCTACTTTGGGGCGTGACCTCCAATCATATTTGGGTGAACTTTGTCCTGAAATTCTAGATTATAGCAACCCCAAATAGATAGAAAAGCTGGAAACTTGGAAAAAACATAGGTAAATATGTTCTATACCATTCTGGAAACGCATTTTCCATCTTTCCCGTTTGTTACTATAATGAAAAACATGTCGGACTCCCCAAAAATGGAAAACTATTTTAGTTGACTTTCCATGTCAAGTTGTTGTTTTCTCCAAGGCTGTGCATTTGACATGGTGTCACGTCTGTCACCTTCCATTTCAGGTACAATTTTTCAGGTACCTTCCGGTTATATTATCTATAAACAATATTTAACATATAGATACATATAGTATAGATAGATGGTTCATTCCGTTCGATTATTTACGGATGTTTTTACCCATTAAAGATGCATTTTTTTAACATTAGCAAACTATATTAACGTACCAAAGGATCGTTGTGCGGAAACCAAGGTCTACAACCAGCTGCGGCAATACGAAAAAGCTGAATCCTGGTTCCACCAAGCTGTAAATCTCAAGGGTGGCACACCGGAACGAGAGCCTTGGTGGTGGTTTCCTGTAATCTCGTTACACTCCGGAAATCAAAAAAAACAATGGGAAAACGAAAAACTACTAAAGCGAGGTTTATAGCTGGGAAACATATTCACATTTTCCCTTGTTATCTTAGTGGCTGGAGGTATTGCATTTTAAACGTTACGGGACATTGCATTGCACAGCAGATGGCAGAAACACGGCGCTAAGGCCTGCATCCTGTAAATGGCTCACAAATTCCAAAAAGATGCAGTACCATTGGACCATCCCCAGGTTTTTCTACAACTTTGCCCTGTTTTTTTAACTTTTTGTTGGGGGGTCAGGGGATTGCCGGATTGCCCCAGCTTTCACGAAGGAAGACGTGTGGAACCTGGCGATTTGCAAGAAAAACATGGGTCGCTACGACGAAGCCTTGCCCATGCTGCAGCAAGCGTTGGCGGAATTTCAGCTGCACGAACCGCACCATCCAGACACTTGGAGCACAAGCGTTGCATGGTGACCTGCAAGCTATGTACAAAGGGGGAGAAATGGGGAGGGATAGATAGGAAAACCAATGTGATGCTACCTGGGGGGCATGTTTTCATGAGTTTTCATATGTGCTCATGTGACTTGAGAACTGTTTATGTTTGATTTTGCTGTGGGTTTCACATGACCTCAACCCCCAGGGCCCCACCGGAGTCACGTGGGTTTGTCCAACATGTCCGGGGGCGGTACCCGGCGGTACCCCAAAATGCAAATCTCCATGGGGAAGATGATAGATGATGATAATCCATCTGTATTGGAGGTAAGAATGACAGACCTTTTACTTGAGAACAAAGCCAGAGCGTCCTTCAATTTCCATAATTTCTATAGACATGTTTGTCGCACTGATGGTAAAGAGAGCGATTTTTTTGGAGTTTGGAATGTCCTACTTTCCGACATCCCTTTGACCGCGACGAGCGCTTCGCTGGAGGTTACCATTGCCAAACTGCATAGCTCCCTGGGTGGCTGCTTGCACGACATGGGTCGCTTCTCAGAAGCTGCTGAACAGTATGGAGAAGCTGGGATGATTTAAGGAGGAGGAAAACAGATTGAACACCGGGGAAATTGCCGCGAGAAGCATCTGCATGATATACATATATACATTGAATTACATTGATATAAATGATATAAATATAAGCCGCTATGATACGCTTTGTTATTCGGGACTGGGGCAACAGAAACAACTTCGTTTATTTGATTTTATTTGTAGAGAATTCAGGTGTATTGATGTTGACAGGAAGGTCCTGGCGTGGTGGGCTCGCCGCCGTTGTATTGTTTCTCTCAAAATGAGAGACAGCCCAAGAGCGCATTTTTTTGGATGTACCCTCTGGATTACATAGCTATATGGTATGGATGGCCCATTCGATGATTCATAATCATATACAGTATATCTTTTAAAACTACTGTATTTAAAATTTGTGTTTTTCCATAGCTATGTTAAGTTACCAGATGGCATTTTTGAATGTATGGTTTTTTCTTCGGCACACCTATGTCTTGCAATGCTGACAGCCCTCAACGAGGAAGCCTATGACCTCTACTCGTCCACCGTTGGACGGCGGTCGCCCTTATTCTGTGGTGCCGCGGAGGGGAAGGCCAAAGCTTTGCAGAAGGAGTTTGGACCAGAAAGTGGTGAGGGCATCCCCCGGGATAAAGCGAAGAGATCATGAGATAAACCCAGAAAATTGTAACACATAGAAAACCAGAACATGGTTATAAAATTGTTGATTACTTCCTGTTGCGGATTTAAGCAACCATAGATATATAATGCGATTTACAGAATGGACAGAGCTGATGTAACGGGATGCAATGAGGTTTATATATAATCTGGCACGCCCAACAATAAGCCTCCCATTTGGGGACAGTTTTTACAACCCATAAACATGTTGATTTTGGGGGTGGTTTATGGCATTGGGTTTGCCACATTTGTGGGGATTTAACCAACAACAATGATAAAATCAACATAAATGATGATATAGCTGATCTATGATGTCTAAGTTGGTAAACAGAAGCCTTCCCAGAGTATCCCAATGACTCATTGGGTTAATTCTGAATCATCACCAAGAATCGCTCGTGCATATAATGAGTCATTAGATTTTCATGGGTTCAAGCTTACTAATTTTCCCGCAGGGTATTGCCACAGTCAGTTTGCGAAGTTGATAGGCACAAATAGGTTGATTGTGGTTTATGGTAGATACAGTATATGTAGATATATCGAGCTAATTCCTAGAGTTTACAAACCAACTTAGGTAAGGATCCAGTACTAAATAGTTCCAGTATGATTTCAGGTTTCAAAACAACTTCGCCCTTGAAATGGCATTAAAAAAGGACATGACTGGACCCACTGAAGAAACACCAGGAACCACATTTGATTTTTATTGATTCATACTGTGGATATATATATATATATATATTTGGACCTCTTGAAGCGCCACTTACCTGACAGTTTCTGAAGATCAACCGCCCATCACTATAAAATGTTCCTCCTGGGATTGGGCTCGGCAGAGTGACCCCAGGAGGGCAAACTGCAAGAGGCCTTCGAGGCATTGGAGGAGGCATTTGGCGTTCATGCGAGATGCGATTCGGTCCATCCTACGCCATTGTTTCCCGGATCAGCTGAAGTTTTCTGATTGTTACCATCTTGTAAAACTAACAGTTTGCTATAGAAAATCACAGTTTTTTATAGGTAAATTGTTGTTTAAATCAACTATAAATGGCCATTGTCCATTCCCAAACTCTTCAATTCTCCTCGGATCATCATGACCCAAGGTTCGAATGCTTGGAGATGGCTCTCAGGCTCCATGATGAGTGTCCGACTTTGGACCTGTCCAGTCTGAAGCCTATCATTGAGGATGGCTTGAAAAACTTGGAAAGTCGCGGGCAACACGAAGATGGCAATGCTACTGGCTGGTGTTCAGCTCGTGTTTTGTTGATTTTTTTGTTTGGGGTGTTTTCATCTGAAAATAGTGACTGCCACTTCATCCACTTACATTTGTGGAATGCATAATGCACATCCAAGCAATTAGATAATTAGGGGAGCATAGAGAGGGCAAAGCTATTGCCTTGACGCGTTTGTTCACCCTGTTTGCCTTTGTCCATCCCCCACAAGCTTTCAAATATATGTTTCATTGTTCATTTGCCATTTCGGAAGGGTTTTAATATGTATAGTCCTGCGTTTTCATGCATCCGAATTGTTTATTGAATCTAATTGATTATTCACTTTCCGTTTCTTCAAACATGGAGAAGGCATTTTAGCTTCAATCAACGTTTGCATCATCCCTGTGACAGGGGGTCCCTGTGCTTTATTTTATTCATTTTCCATTCCCAAAAAGATTGGAAACCAAATGAACTGATTATTCTCTTGAAGATCTTGAAGGAGTTTCGGATACTATACTTCCAGTTTTCTTTGCTTTCCACCTTCCATCCGCCTCCCAAAAAAAATCCGAAAACTCCTTCCAATTTCATTTTTTTCCATGCTAAGTCTAGGTGAATCCTCCCAGTTTTGGCCTTCAAAAAGGCTGGTTTGGTCATGAGCCGCGCCGGGAAAGTCCTCCTGCGCTGCGACGGCGACGACGTCTTTGCCACGGCTCTGCTGCGGAACGGGCAGCGCTTGATTCGGGAGGCGCATGAGGCGAAGGAGGCGGACTTGGCGCATGAGATTTTGGAGGTGCTGTCCATGTGGGGATGGGTTGATTGATGTTGATATTCCATGATGTTCCCACATCTATATTAGTAGTAGTATGGGAAATCTATATTGATCCAAAAATCATTTTTTTCATGGAACAATGGAATATCTAATATTTTTATATGGGCAAATCATGGGGAAGATGAAGGTGAAAATAAGGAGATTTTTTTGTGGGATTAGGCGATGGGAATATCGGATATCATGTGGGAAAACCAATGCACTAAACTGCAAACCTACCTTTTTTTGGGATAATATTTTGACCACCCATCTATGGTTTATTCCTTGGGTTTCCCACATTAGGGGAATTTCTCCTTCAACGATCTTTTTTGTGGGGATGGGAGATATAGGGTCAGCTAGGATTATGGAAATTGGAGGGTGAATGGGGTTACGGTATATATGAGTTGAACATGGCGGCTCAACCATCACAGTGTTTCAAGTTCATAGGTCATGAACCATATCATGGAAAACAACCGCCAGTCATAGGTATATAGAAAAGATTGACGCCTGAAAATCACGGAAGAAACATCACCTGTAATATCCTGGAGCATTCACAATTGGAGGTGAAACGGGGTTAAATGTTAAATAGGCAGTTAGAGAAAAACATGTAAAATAGCTATAATCAAATAACTGGGGATGGCTGAGTACCCATGGGACAGTCGGGGATATCTATGGATATCGAACATGTCTCAGACATGGGAATCTAACCATGGAGGTATCTGGAGAAAATTGACGACGAACTCACCTCTTGACACCACTGTAATGAGGGGTTTGGATTGGGGTACACATGAGGCTATCTATATATCCCAAATATAGCCTTATTTTTAGATTAGTGAATTCGTTCATTATACTTTATCCAGAAACATTGTAATTCATGGGGTATCATGGTGGAATCAACCAGAATTTCTTCAAACAAAGGTATATCATAGATTGGTTGGAAATTTTGATGGGACAGTTTTTGGACTGGGTTATCTTTGAGCAATAATTAGTATCCCGGCAATAGTTTTTTAACATGTACTAATACTTTTGAGATTTTGTTGGTGTATACTTCAATGAGGTCAACCTTGCAAGGGTAGTTTGATACTTCATTTTTCTCAACAGGGTTATCTTCCACTAAAATAACATAGATATATGGGACATGACCCATTTATAGATGATTTACCTAGGTGGTTTCCATAGCTATGTTTGTTTGCCAGAGGGTATATACTTGCATACACTAGCCAGTTGTTTTTGAAGGGTATCTAAGATTGGCCATGAGGGGTACGGATCATGGAAATGGATGGGTCTGAGTTCTTCCAACATGACCCGTTAAAATCCGTTGTTGTTAAAGAAACATATAATGGGAACACATTATGGGACTGAAACCATCGAACATGGGTGGATTTGGGGAGAAAAGGATATGTTTGGGGTGGAGGTTCATGTTTGGTTTGGTACTTTGATGTTTCATTATTAGCCAGGCATGGATTTAAATGATATATGCATTGGCCATGTTTTGGGTGGCAAATATGGGGTTCTATAGCCATCCGAAAGTAGGATTTGACCCAGTGGAGCTGGGAGATTTCGGTGTTGTTTGCCCAGGGAAGTCATGTTTTTTTAACATCAGATTAAATTGGATGCATATTCCCGGGGTCCCTAGATTTTTCATTTCATTGGTTTGTTCATTTTAATGGCAACTTCTAACATTTTCGGGGAATGCAGAAACGTCTCTTCCCATAATGAGGTGATACATTATGTATATGCGGTTCCATTTCCGATTGCCTCAAGGTGAAAAGGTCTCTACTTATCGTTCCCTAGTTGGTGTTTGATGATGCTTGATGTCTCATTAGGTGAAAAAGTCTCTACTTGTTGTTCCCTGATTGGTGTTTCATTATGTTTCATGTTTCATTCCATGATGTCAGAACCTTTTTGAACTGTCTTTACAAAAGGCATGAACACATGTTGCCGCCATTTTTCTCATATGATCTTGTCGATCTATGTCGATCGGTTTGATCCGGTCATATGTGGAGCCCATATGCCATATGCTCCATGGTGCTGGAATATTTACCAACATTTGCCCGAACAAAATCACCCGTTTTGTAGGATTTTGTCGGCAAATATACCAGCACCATGGAGCATATGTCGAGGAGATCCCTACCTACTGGTGTTTCATGTCAGGTGGATTTACTCCTGCAGTCAGCTTCGACCTCCAACGACTCCAGCGCCAGCCTTTCGTCTCCTGCGGTAAGCGCCATGTTATGATCTGCCAGTCGTTGGCTCGACGGGAAAAAAAAAGGCCGTGCCCAAAAGGAGCTGTTGAATCCCAAGGTACCGCAGTTTGAAACTGTTTGAAACTTAGCTACTTGGAAAATACATGAAAATACGGACTTCGTCAATCCTGACCAAACGAAAGTGTTTATCCTTACTGCATGTCGCTGACACATGAGTTGTCCCCCAAAAGGCTAGCCCGTGCAATGGCAGATGCCTAGCAATGTGTCTGGATCTTGTTGTTTGATCTTGTTCTTGAGTAAAATCGCCCTTCAATGCCTGTTCGAAAGCAGATTTTTAGGTTTCTTCCCGGAAGAGATCAGGTCCCGGTGTCTTCAGTTTCCACCAATCCATATGTTTTTGGGGCCTGTTGCCGTCGCAGGACAGCGATGCTTCACCCAAGAGAGATCTGGAAGAGGATGTCAAGATCTTGCGACTCTTCCTGCTGCTGGGAACAATGGCTGTCGAGGTCTATCGAAAGGGTGTTGTATAAAGCAATCTCCATGTGCAGTTTTGTTGTATAAAACAAATGTATATGTTGGTTTATGATATAGGCCATGCAACATCGCAGGCTATACTGCGCAGGATATTTGTAGTTTTTTCCTGCTTGTTTATCGGTACTAGATGTGGATTCATATGGTATACAGTACGGTATACATACTCCACACGAGGTACCTGAAATATCCATTAAGGGAAGGAAGAGCTGGTGGGGGATGATTTCCTTTCTGTGGTAGCCTTGGCATGATAACAACGTCCAGCGTGGTTGCTGGAAGAGTTTATCAAAGAGTTCAGTATAATTATATGTTCAGCACAATTCATCCACCCTTGTGCATTTTTGCACACATACATCATATATCCTGTTGAACCTTAGTCTTTAAGGTTTGCTCCAGCTGTTGCAAAAAAACACATGTCACCTTTACCCCTGCTAGCTAAGGTTCTATGCTCCTTGGATTGCATGCAATACGCAATCGGCCCCCGGACAGATCCTGCACGGCCCTGCACAGTTCAAAATATATTTCCATGTTGACAATGCTCACTTCCAAATATCAATGGAACACAATGGACTTCAATTCTATTTCTTAAAGCAGGCCCCGACTTTTTTTTTACATTTGGTATTAATGTGGCAATGGGAACTCCCTTATCAATGGAGGTCTTAAGGGGAAAATCATCTATAAATGGGGAACATTTTCCAGCAAACCACGTTTGATTACCGAAACGTAAGTGGTTTGCTGAAAGATCCATGATCAGCTAGCGAAGGGCGAAGAACTAGCCATGAATTGATGTGTTTTTCTTCAGGCCCTGTCTCCCGGCATCACTGGACCAAAAAACGAAGAACTGATAGAATATGTTTATAATGTGACATGTGGGCAACCGAATAAGAAAACTACCATTTGGGGATGATTTATACAATCCATTTATGGATTTATGGATATTTATGGTGAGTTTTGGGATTGCTTATTATTGGGTTTACCACATTGCTCAAATCAAGGCCGTATTTCTGCAGATAGAATATTCAGTACCAGACATCCGTTGTAGCAAGCAGGTGAACTAGTCAAACAAATATGCATTTTAGCAAGCGAATGGCACCAAGTCTCGCAAATAAACTCCCATGGTTTTAATTGTTATCGTACTAACTGCTGGGGTTTTGACGCACGATGTGCCAAAGCATATATGTTTGCATTAAATCCTGCAGATACAGTTTGATTTTGTTTTTTCCCACATTAAAGCAAAGAACATTTGTTTCCTGACATTTTTTTGCATTTGCAAATCTGCTTCCAGATGGACATACCGACCATTTGAACATCAGAATCAGGTGCAAAACAAGGTAGGTCCGGCTGAAGAAAAAACATGCAAAATAAACAGTTATCCAAATAGATGCGTATCCAGTATCCACCTTCATTTCCTTTTCACTGTTCTTTCTTCTCCTATGATTTTCCTTACATGCTCCTTAAATAAACTTTCAACTATGCCCCTTAGGTGCTTCCATTTGATAGTTCTACACTATAAATCATCAGCAGCTTCGAATCACCGCATCAATGCGGGATTTGTCTGAAAATACCCCTGTGATCCCCTATGGAGATTCCCCTGTTGCTTGTAATTATAGCATTTTGCCATATATGATGCGTTTTTTCCAGCCTGTTGAGGGACAAAAAAGCGGCGTAAGCGAAGTCTTAAGGGTCACTTGACCGATGATAATTGCAAACTGGACATCCAAGCTAAGATAGACCTCTTCCTATTTATTCAATTTTATTCACATATGTGTTTTTCTCTTGTTCACATGTAATATGTTTCTCTTAATTCAATTTTATTCGTATAATATTATATGCACACACAATCGTTACATATATTTAAAAAAACAAGTGTATGAGTTTGGATGTTCAACCTGAGCAGTCAACATCAATGAATGATCACTTTGAGACATGCTGAGGTGCCTCAAACGGATGCCTGGATCATCAGTTCCCGGCTAAGTGGGTTCCATTGAGTCCGCCTGAAAGTGAATAGCATCAACAAACCACCAAGTGACTAAGAACAACCCAATGGCCCAGGATTCCTCAGGTTGTTGGTGTGGTGATTTTCTCATGTGACAGCCATCATTACCCCATTCCAACTATCAATGCGCTATACTGCGGCGAATCTGGTTGGACTTGAGAAAATAACCAACAAACCACCAGTAAGACAAACAATTGTTGGGGACAATCTCCGAAAGAGAATTTCTTGGGTGCATTTTGGCCATTGGTTGTTTTTGGAACCAACTGCCCAACAAATCCCTTGCCCGTGCGCCACGTGGCCCGGGACCATTCTGAGGTGATGCGCCCGACCTTGCGGGCAACGTCATTGCAGACTGCGGCCCTTTAAATGAAGGCTGGCAACGAGTGAGGCTGCAGTCCGGGAGGCAAAACCGCGGTTGACAAGCAAAGATTGGATGTTTTTTGAAGGGTTTTACCATGTTTTACCATGGTTTACCTATCAATTAGTCAAGCATCAGGCTTTGGTGAAATCGCACCAACTAATTAAACTATAATCTTATCATGCTTTTATAAAACATCAAACATCGAACCACCTAATTAATGGCGAACATAGAATTCACGCCACCGGGATTCGGATCCGTTGGGAGTTCAAAAATCATGATGGATCCGTTGGTGATCCAAGTGAATCCAGCAAGCCTTAAGCCAAATTCCAATGGATTATTCCAATAGAATCCAAGAGAAAAACATGGCATCCCAATTGTACTATAAATGGGTAGTATAAACCATCAATCCATATGGGTGGTTTATGGCTATGAATTATTGGAATTCCACTTAATTCAACAACAATGCCAATCCAAGAGAATCGGATGACTTGTTGATACTTGTTGTTGAGTTCCTCACTGGAGAATGGAAGTAGGCATGTTTCGGACATGCATGTGATATATAGAGCACATCAAGTGAGAAACCTTGGAACCCCGGGCAACACACACTGATAAAGGGGAAAGACTATGAAAGACTCGATTCCTTCTACATTCACTGCGAATCTCTTAGAACCCCAAGGTCACCGTTTCGAGGGATATTTTCCACCCGGAGCCGTAGCCTATGCTCAAAGTGGGGACAACCTCCGCACCTCTGCGGGCCCAGGGAAAGATTTGGAACAAATCTGGCGAGTTTGGGACGGTGACGGCTGGAAAGAGGATGGGAAATCAGCCACCGGCTGGTGCAGCAGGTTGTTATTGGGGTGGTTCTGTGGAATGTTTCTCGATGTTTCTAGAACTGATTGGTGGTTTGGAACATTTTTTATTTTTCGATATATTGGGAATAATCATCCCAACTGACTTTCATATTTTTCAGAGGAGTAGGTATACCACCAACCAGCATCGATCCAACAGCAGTAAGAAAAAAATCCACGATCCACCTAGGGGTTTGACCTCATGAAGCTCTAAGATTCATGGCTTCGAGCTGTCTAAGAATGCCTCTCATGCACTGCTTTGCCTGCTTCATGATAATGGTGATTTGGGGACGGGTCAACACATATTATTACATATTATTGCTATATTTTGGAGCACGCAAACCCATTTAGGGTAAAGCCAAGTTTGTATTAATAACCCGCCCCTAGAAGGTAAAAGTCACCCCCAATTAACAAACAAGGGCTTGTCATACATAGAAAACAACAAAACTTCCTCCCAATGAGGTGAGATGGTGAGATTGGGCATGGGACATCCTGTTTAAAGCATTAGTTTTTTAACCATTAAACCTAAATTAAAACAATTTACATAAAAACAAGCGTATCCGGACTGCCACTAAATTAGGATTTCTGAGTTTAGGGTGTTGTTGAACAGGGGGTCCCACATGTTTATCAATAGGAAGAGGCCAACCCAAAGTAGTATTGATCTCCTCGACGCACTCGGAAGTGCTTGGCAACAATGATGTCATGGTGGTTTCCATGGGAAAACTTTAAACATCTTATGACTAAAGCGACTAAACCGACTAATGTTAAGAGCGTCCATGATTTTTCAACCCATGGAGGCTGGAGATTTTTCAGATCAGCGTGGGGACGACAAATTTTAAGAACTATAGGCTTTGATATCTTATCTGCCATAGTTGGGATCAAATGGTTCAAAGCCCAACTAGTTCTTAAATAAAGTTGGGATAGAACTAGTATCATAAGTATTTCATAAGTTGGGATCGGCATAAACCCTGATGGCCCTGAATCCCATATGACCCCATAACTGCCAACGAGGACCACAACATCTCGGCCGAGATCATTGGAGCCTCCGAGCTCACGTGCTTGACGGCGGGTGGGAAACGCAGCTATAGGGGCGCGCTGGGAACCAGGCGGATAAGCGTTAGGATTGTGCTATGTTGTCCAGTAAACTAACACGATCCTCCGGTAATTTAACGCAGCTATAGGGATTATTTGCAATTTTAAACTTTAAACTAAACAAGTTTTTGTCGATAAAACATATAACACAATGAGGATTTGTGATAGCTATGTTAAACTACAAGAGGGTAAACTAACATATATATGAAAATCCATTAGTTTTCCAGATTGGAAATTATATACAGCAGGTATTCTTTTATTCCCGAGTGCTATGTCAGTTTAGTGTAGGGTGTAGATAGAGACAGGGTAAACTCGGGTGTATAGAAAGATCTAAAGATACGCGGATAGATGCAAGCATAGATACAAATACAAAAGAATTGCAGAGGGAGAGACAAACACACACACATATCCTTTGGTAATTTGACATGGTTACGGAAAATCATCACTTTGGACAGGTAAATCTAATTTTCCGTAGCGACCGGTTAAACTTTCCCGTTTTCCCGAACGTAGATTGAGAGTGATCCGATCCCGATTCCTATTCCAGGAGCTTAAACATCTTAAACACGAACATATATTCACATGTCACTTGCGAATATGTGCATGGATTATATATGATTATATATGCACTGAGCTCGTGGCGGATCAAAGCCTACAAATGATGGCATGATGGCAAATACTTTTGGGGCACGTGGCAGGTGTCATTTTGGACCCAAATAGGTTGCTCAGCATCTCTCTTTCCCATTATCTTTCTCCAGTAAACGTCAACAGTTTGCTATGGAACATATCCCATTTAGTTCCATGATTCACCTATTAAATTAAGAAAATGATGCTTTTCCACAGCTATCCTAGTTTACCAGAGGGTATCTATACATCTATGGTACCTTGGGTGCGTCTGAAGGGCATCCACGCAGTGGATGGCTATGCAAAATAGAATTTTTAGTCCCCCTCAATGGGAAGATATGGGCCAGGTATCCAATGTTCAAGTCCCAGATGGGCCTGATATGGCACCACATATGGCACCATATATGGCACCATATGGAGGGCCCCAGCCGATTCTTTGGGATACATTCTCCTCAAAGTCAGTGCCAGTGGCGCCCCATGGTTTTTCCCTGGCCATGACATCAACATCGGGGGATGAATTGAATCTTGGGCAGCACGACCAAGTCCGGTCTTTTTCGGCCTCGGATGGGTAAGCAACATTTGATCAACATGTTTTCTTGTGCCATGTAGAAATTGAATTAACGTTTGTTTGGGAAACATCCCTTATATTCATGAACTGTTTGAAAGTTCATCCTGACATTTCTTCATACAACATTCACTACTGTGGGTATAGAGTGTTTTTTTTCCCGATATCAGAGCGAACATCCTGACCATAGGAATCTTTGAATCATCGCTTAAAATATCATCGCCGTCGTCGTCGCCATCATCATCGCCGTCGCCGTCGTCATCATCATTAACTGGTCAATACTGGTTACCCTCTGGTAAACTAACATAACTTTGGAAAATCAGCATTTTTCATGGGAAAAGTCACTATAAATGGTGATTTTCCATGGCTATGTTAGTTTACCAGAGGGTAATTTTATAATTCCCTATGTTTGGATAAGTTCTCACTCGATGTCGCCAGCCAGTAAAAAAACCAGCCTTGACCCATTCAGAATATGCTTCGGAAGCCACTCCTTCAAGCGCGCTAGCATGAAACAAGATGTAGCTAATGATGAGTCAATTTTTACACCCACAAATGGATAGTTATAAGTCTCATTGACTCATAAGATGTTATAAGATTCCATAAGATGTTCTAAGATGGTCATTAACTCATTATCCACAAATGTAGGTGTTGATGTTATAAGCAAACACCAACAATTGCAGTCTCCTGAGTCTTGAGCCTTAATATTGTTCCTGACCGTTCCCACCTTGTCAGCCCAAACCTAAATTCCAGACCTCATGACGACAAAAAAGACGATACTTTTCGCTCACTCATGTTGCCCCGATATCATATCGGGGCATAGCCCCATAGCCTATGGCACTTTTAGTTGAGAAAATGATGAAACATGATGATAGACATTGAAGACCATCATTTTTTTTGGGGGGGACAAGTTCTGATTCGACAAGGCCGCCAGGAGATGATGGGTCAAGCATCTTCAAGCCATGGAAATACGACAGAAACATCGGGAGAGCTTGGACTGTAAAGCCTCGGACCTACCAACCCAAAGGTGAAAACCCCTTTCTGACAGTGTCGTGGGGGAAAGCCCAGGAAACCTGTGCTGGACCTCTTGGACAACAAGTTCGAACGCTTGATTTTCTTGCGCCCCGGCGGTGGGGTGGCCGCCATTCCGGGGGAATGATGCGAACACAGGTCTTAGGGGCAATTACCTGTACGATCCTGTACGTATGGTCAGCATTTGTTGGATTTTTTGGGGGATTAAGCTGTGTGATGTGTGAAACACTGCAGTTGGAAGAACTATAACTAGGAATCGAGCAGAGGCAAAGACATAGCAATGCAAATAGCATCAAATAGCAAACAATTGAATTTCGGCGAAGAAATGATTTGTATCGGGCAACCAGGGTTTACTCACTCATGTTGTTTTCTAATGTTTCCTGTAGAAGTTTCATGAGTGCTCCCGGAAAAGCATTCCAGTGAAGGAAAGATGACATGGAACTGGTCGGAGGTTATCACCATGGTTTTGTCGATGTTGTAAGCATCCTTATATTTGTGAGAACGGTTATAGCATATTATTCTTAAAGATCCTAAACCAGTACAAACCATGAATACCATTTAATACTATGATTGACATTTATTAACTTATATACATAAACCCATCTTTACCATGAAAAAACGTCGGCTGAAACGTGATTTGTTTCACCTGCCCGTCCCGCGGCCCGGCCCACCTCCGGCGCCCAAGGTTCACCGAATGGAGACAAGTAAACCTGCAACAGTTGCCTGTCCTTTTCATGTGCATCCCATATTTCCATGTGTTGTTTGGTCATATTTTGCGGTATTGTGTGTTTGTGTCAGCGTAGGTGTATATTTATATATATATATGTGTGTATACACATACATGCAAACACACCATACCATACCATGCCATACCATACCATACATATACATACCTACCTACCTACATACATACCTACGTACCTACATATATACATACATACATACATACATACAAATATACATACATACATACATACATACATACATTGATTACATGCATGTATGCATTCATACGTACAGTACATATACATATATATATACATATATATATACAAATATATATATATATATATATACATTTATACATATACATAAAAATATATATATACATATATAAATATATATATATGTATACATATATATATATGTATACATATATATATATATACATGCACACACACGCATATATATATATATATATACATACATATATATATACATATATATATATATATACATATATTTATATATGTATACATATATACATATACATATATACATATATATATATATATTTATATACATACATACATACATACATACATACATACATACACACATACATACATACATATATACATACAAACATACATACATACATACATACATACAGACATACATACATACATACATAATACATACATATATACATATTTACATACATATATACATATATTGATATATACATATATATATATACAATTTACATATAACATATATAACAAACGACTTCTTCTGCTTCCATGTGAAATAGTATTCGGGTAGAAATACTTCAGGTCCTGACCAAGGAAATAGATACACAACAATGTGGGTCCGCTTAAAAAAGAGAGGGAAATCAACATTGAGCACTTTCTGTGGTTAACATTTGTTTATCGGTATAACACATATTTACTACTGTTTGCGATGATTATGCTTATCGACTAGCTATTTCTGTGTATAATGCGCACACATACCCACACACACAGACAATCATATATATATATATACACATATGTGATCCACATAAAGTATTCCTATATCGTATCCATACAATGTACGTATATTATGAGTTTATTTTGTCGTGCACATAGCCAAGCTGCACCCAGGCACGACCAAGTCGTCCAGATGCTTGCGAACCAAGCGCATGTACTGAACCGGAGGCTAGTGGGACATGTTTTTTGCGTTCTGAAAAGCAGATGGGGAAACATTGGAAAGCCACCAAAGCACCTGTGGTTTAACATGGTTTATAATTGTATTTTCCTTGAGTATTACAGTTTTATGCAGTTTTCGGGTGTAATTGTCCTGGTTCTGCATTGGAACTGTTGGAGGATGGAGTCCCGTTGAGTGATGGTATGCTTGTGTGAAGCGACTGGTCAAGGAGTCATTCTTTATTGGACATAACGGGGTATCTATTTACGCCATGGTCGATAACATGTAGAATGCAATGTAAAACGCATTTTTCTCAAATTTTATCATACGGGTAGTTTGTTCTTGGATGAATTACACCCCTCCACTCAAAAGAAACAAATTACTATCACCATGAAAAGAACATAGAAGATGTAACTATAGAGTTTTCAGCCCACGTGCCACGAATCCTTTCTTTCTGAAGCAGCCAGTTGCGAAGAATGGGGACTCGATGAATATCGTTGAATCCCATCAGGTTGTGGGATGGGCCAAGTCATGAATAGAACCAGTACGAAACCAGGGTTTCGTTTACGGGGTATTCAATCTTGGGGGAAAGGAATGATAACATATGTCTGTAACATGTTTTTACATATATATTTTTCTATACATTATATTATATATATTCTATATTTATATATATATATCATTTTATTTTGATCTAAATATGCATCACACATGAATTATCCAGCACTTCACAGTGGCCGTATGCAGCCGCATATTTTTTTCCCATCCGGGAATGGAAATCCCAAAGGGTACCCTTAGCTGATGGAAAATGGCAAGGTTTTTATTGGAATGCCATGTGCGAATTAGTAATTTTCCATGGCTAAATCAACCATTTGTGGCTATTTTTGGTTGATCGTTCCCCAAAATGCTGGTAAAATTGAGTGTTTGTTGGTCACGGAAGTCAAACTCATCCCAGTACTTTATTTTTGGTTGATAAATCAGTGTTTGTAAAGTATATGCGTCATAGATTAGATTGTAATAGATTTATTTGATTAGATAGACATTTCCCAAAATATAAGTCATATGAGCCCATGATATTCCAACGGTTTTGCGATTCCGTGCCGAGGGATGAAGCCCAAGATCCTATGTACAATCAACACAGTTCGGGCTCGCGCACGAGCTTTCTACCGGAGACGCCGAAGGCGCCGTGGCATCCAAAGTTGCAGCTGTTATAGTCCCTGGAAAGAAACAGTGCTCTCTGTATCTCTCTGATATTTTTTTACAGCCACGGAAAATGACCAAATTAGTCATGGCTGTAGATGATTGATCTATTGTTTCCATGGTCATGGCTTCCATGGCTATGTTAGACTATCAGAGGGTAATGAAACTGAATAAAGGGTTGACTCTGCAATCATACTGGATGGTAGTAATATAGTACGCATCTACCAGAATTGGCTGAAAGGAACAATCATTGGAAAAGCAAACATGTTTGAAGGGAACGACAAAAGCCTCTGACTTTCGATTGTTCCCTCTGGCTTTTCACAAGTAATCAAACATGACCATGGAAATCCCCATTTTTGGCTTTGAATGTCCAGAAAACTACAGTTGTTTTCTCGGTGATGCCACACCCAGGCTTTAGGTTCTAAAAGAGGCCTCTAGGATGTGCCCCGTTGAACAGGGTATCATCCTATCATTATAGATACCCTCTGGTAATGACTAACATAGCTATTGAAAATGGCAATTTATAGTTGATTTACCCATTAATAGCATGGTGGATCTTTCCATAGCTATGGGACAGTTTACCAGAGGGTATCAGGATTCCATCCGATCCCCCAAAAAATGATGATAATTCACGGTGTCACGGCTTTCGACCCAGCTTTTGACATGATTGACCAAGTTCGAATCATCCGGCAGCTTCCACGACTATTCCACTCACAATAAAGTATCCCAAGATACAAACTATCAATCCGAGTCAGATTTCATCATACAGATTCCCATTTACAGGCGATTTTCCCACTGTTTATTCAGGAATAAGGGTTCAGAACGGACATATTTCATCGATTTTCATGGTATTTCTGGTGACGTTTCCCATCGTTTCCCCGTCTAGGACGAGTTCGATGCAGCGATCCTCTCCGGGCGCTTTGACGGCCGTGAGAATCGCAGCTCGCTCCTCTCTTTGAACGTGCCAGAGCAGGAGAAACCGGAGCGCCTCGGCAGAAACACATGGATTTAAGCATCAAACATTGACAAATTTCATGGGGAAAAATTGGAAAAGAATAATTTTAATGGTATTTAATGGACTTATAACCATCAACATGGTTAACAACTGTGATTTAGCCATGAACAATAGGTGTTTGTTTCACAGGATGTATCAAGCACTTGATGGGATTTAATGGGATGTATAGACCAACTTGCTGTGGCTATCCGGTAGTACGCACCACCGGGCCGTGTTTGGTGCTCAGATGGAAGGAAATCATGCCAATCAAAGCGGTGATATATGAGTCACATGATTGCTGAATGGGGAGGATGCCAAGAATTGGCGGATTCAAGGAACAAAAATACAGGGAATATCAACATGTTTACGATTTAGATGGGGATATGATGGGAGATTGAAGTGACACATGCGATATGCATTGATATGCATGCTTGCCGGTTTCAAAGATAGGCAAACATACTGGGGATCTCCGGGCTGAAACCGTACCAGGGGGTTCACCAACTACCAGCCACACACAGGGACTCCAGCACAAGACATGGCAACAGGAAATGGCAGGAAGCTTTGGCGCTAAGATTCCTAATTATGTCCTTTGGCATTAGGAAATATTAGGAAATGTCAAGAAGGTTTGGTGCTCTTAGCTGTTTAAGTTTAACAGTTTAACCGTTTAATCTTACAAAGAAGTGGGATATCAAAGGCAAACCCTTTGGACCCCTTTGGCAATTTATCGGCAAGTCCCCATGCGGGCAGTGCCCAAAATACGAATTGGTAAGTAATGTTGTAGGATTGTAGGGGTGCTACTGCCGTGTTATACAGGGATTTACTATCACGACCCATTTTTGGAACCCCTTTATGGGCCCTAAACACCTGCCAGTATAATGGGTTGAACGCCACAAAAGCTTGCACATTTGTGTGGATGATTTACCGGTTGAAAATGGTTGTTTTCTAGTTCCATGTTTGTTTATATATACCAGTAGGTACGTGCCCTGGACATCACTTAGAAGGGAGGCATTGAAAAAACAATTTCATAAATGAACGGATAAAACATACTGTGGACGGATGAAATCCTGCACCGATGGTTGAAACCCAATAGATACTGGGATAAACCACCTATCAACTGGTGCAGGAGTTCTTCCATCCGCAGTATCATGCAGTTTGTGTACTGTATGTGTGCACGCACACAAGCATGCATGCAAATATGCGGCAAATACGATAACTTGAGATATATTCATGGAATGTCTTCTGTTTGGCATTCATCTTCTTTCTCCCCATGGATTAAATACAAGTCCGAATAAAGTCAACACCCAAGAACCTCTATGCCATGAACGACTTCTGAGAGGGCAGATCACTTGGTACCAAACCTTTCCCCTTTCACCCCACGAGGTTGCAACTTCGGTGATGCAGCAATTTGTCCAGTAATTTGTATTAATTTCTTGCGTTGACTTGTAAATGTATGTAAATGTTGTTTCATTTCGGGCATCCCCCTAGCACAAACAAAGTCAACACACCTTGAATTTGATCCCCCGTTTTTTTCTCTGGATTCCACGTGCAGGCCAGCCCTTGAAAAGACTACCAAAAAGCCCTGGTCGACCCCAATCCAAAATGCCATAATTAAAGAAAGACAAAACAAACAGAAACAAAACAACAAATCCACGGCGATGAAGATGGAAACAGATTTTAATATATTTTAATCACCCCCAATATGATCCTCCCTGGAAACCATGGTTGAGTAGGGACGACGAGCACTCGCTTGTGCACTTGTTTTTTTCTCTCGCTTGTATTAAGGGGTCAGGCTGGAAGCTGTGGATCGCCTGTGACGCCTGTGGCGTCGCCTGCTTTACGTGGTATGACTGTATGACATTGTATGACCATATACCATTTGATGATCATGGTACCGAGGCTGGGGGGGTGGTGCACCCCCGCCCCTAGCTGTCCTAGCTTGGATGCGAGGACCCCCAAATGGAGAACTCTCTTAGAACATTGTAAGAGATATCCCGATATCCCTATCCATTGACACATGGTCCTCACTTTTGCGGCACCCAGGACAATTTCTTTGGCAATCCCTCAGATCGGTCCGACCGACCGGAGCAATAGCAATTCTTCTGCGAGAGATCAGCGGACGGAGGCGCAAATAAGGCCGGGTTGTACTGGGAGCCACAGATGAGGCAATGAAACTTCGATTTCAACGGGTGATCCCACTGGAATTCGAGTGGGATCCAGATGGGATCTTGATGAGATTTTCATGGGACTTTAAGGTGATTTTACTGGGATTTTGATGGGATTTTGATATTAAGCATCCCCTAAATGTTGCAAATATGTTTTCAAATCACCCACTAAATCAGGGGAGGGATTAATGGAACAGTTTGCGAGCTGGAGAGTCACACATGTTTTATGGATATATGCATCATCTACACATGGGCCATGGGTCCATGGGCATGCCTAATATATATATATATATATATATGTGTGTGTGTGTGTGTTTTGATTTTTCCTCCTACGACCATACATGACTACAAGTAATGGGAAACACCTCTTCGTGTTCTAAACACGCACACACAATCATATACATATTTACATATACATACATACATATACTTATACTATATTCATATATATATATATATATACATATATATACATATACATACAGTATAGACATATATATATATATACACATGTATATAGATAGATAATGGATAGATAGATAGATAGATAGATAGATAGATATACATACCATAAATTGTTTAATGTATATGTAAGTATATATATATATTATCCATAATTAGGGTAAAAGGCTTGAAATCAAAGGAGTCCAGATTTGAATGGTGGCTGGGTTTCAAATAGGAACCCAATGGTGACGGGCAAAATGGACACTGACTTTGGCGGATTCAAACCTCTAATTCTGTGTGGAAAAAGCGGATTTAACCATCACACATGGTGAAAAGTGGAAATTCAAATGGAAAGACGGGGGGTTACAGTTTATATACCCTCTGGCAAATTTAACATAGCTATGAAACATTGATTCTTTCCCAAATTCCATAGCTATATGTTAAATTTCCAGTGTCTGAATCCATTTTCATCTAGAATCTGATGACAGGGGTCCGGACACACACACACACAGTACCCTGGTATTGCATAAACCTTGCTCGAAATGGTGGTTGAGCGGTGTGTACGCCTGACTCACCTCCATATACTAATACGATTGTGGCCAAAAGTCCACTTATCATCGTCGTCGCTGTGTTCACACTATGATTGTGCAAGCCGAGCTCTATACGTTTGAGAAACATGGGTCAACGGGGTATCTAGCTACCAAAACATACCAAGCCGCAGCATTGATGTCAGTGGAATGGTCGAATGGCAAGATTTGGATGTTTGGGATTGGTTCATTCACAATTGTAGAGTCAGTTAAGGACAACTGTGGGGTAAGTTGGTTTTACTCGAGAAAAATCCGGTAATTTGAACTTACCCCCTATGTTCGGAAATCTTTACAAAATGGTTACAGTACCCTTTGGACTTGTTCAGCAAAAAGGTAGGGTAAAAACATGTAAAAACCAAGGCATTTCAAGGAAATGGCGTCTCTGGAGACATTCCAGCCTAAGCAGCTTCGCCCTTGTAAGCCTTCCTTCAAATCCATTATGGACAGGGTCAGATGACGTCATGAATTGGTCATTTAAGACCCGAGTATGGGATATAACCGGTACAAGGTGGTGTCCCGTAAATATCCTGTTAGCTAAGTTGGTTTAGTTTAATAGTTTAAGTAATGTTTGCGTTGAGGATACTATACCAAACTGTAACTATATTTGGATGAGTTTACATACCCAACACACATCTCACTGGAAAGCCAGTTTTTTTTTTGCCACCAAAAAAATGGCTCAGCCACTTTTGTTTGCGCAAACGTTGAAGGCATCGACACACATCAGAATCCCATCATCGAGAGAAGCACACGGGAACAATGAAAGGCGGTGTGTCTCCCGGTAGCAATGGGTGCTTCGCAAGTCGATGTCGAGAAGCACAATGCGGTTCCTTGCGGTTACAGGCGATTTTGATTGATGTTATTGGTTTGTTGAGGTCTCATGGTAAGCCACGAAGAAAGTTCAACCAATAGGAGCGGAGATGGGAACCAGCCAGAATGATCACCCGCAAGACGAGGGGTTTGAACTGAGCAGAAACTGCTAATAGTTCATGGCGGAGAAGAAACGACCCACAAGAAACATGCAAGTGTCAGATCCAATCCGAAAAAATACACTTGCTTGTAAGACATGGTTCGTTGTTCGATCTCAGGGGTGTGATGTGGAATTGACTGGAGTTTACCACAACTATCAGCGTTCTCTGCAATCTGGCTGCGACCCAGGACATCAAATCATAGAGATCTCAAGAAAGAACTGCGGATGGTGAAGGTTGGTGTTTTCATTGTTTATTCAAACCCCAATGGCCCAATGGGATGATGAAAATTCATTTTTCATCATTGTTTTCATATCATCATTTGGATTTGGGATGATCATGATGATTGCAATGCTTGATCTATCACAGATGGGACTTGACACAGAGAAGTTGGTTAAAGTGGTGCCCCTGTGGTGAAGACGTTTATTCGGTTCCCCCCCGATCGTGTTGTTGATGATTAGAAACGGGTACTGTACACCAACATTTGTGTTGGTTAAATCCTTACGGTATTTCGACCGGTTGAATGAGTACAGTAAGTCAGTAAGTATATGTCGCCATGTTTAAGTTGCTTGAATCACCTTAAATCCCATCAGCCAATGACTCCGCCCCAAGTGATGTGATCCCGGCGCTTCCAAGGAAGAGTTGGAGTGTTCATGATGTGAACCTGAACGGTGGTTTGAGGCACCAACCGATAAAGCTCGTGGAAAAACCTACCCCCAGGGCCTACTTTCGGCTAAATTGGGTGGTGACCAATTGGAATAGTAACCAGTAAAACTTTACAGTAAAAGACCATATTTGGTGAGTAACGTTCCCAATTAATGATCCGGGTTCATTAATCCGGGGTTTACAAAGTCTTTTTTGAATAATTACAATGATTTGTTTGTGTCTCTTTAGTGGTTGGGCAACAAGTCAAGCATCAACACTTGTTTGTCAAATCGCAATCTTTGTTGCTGGTTTCTCACCAGATTATGTTGCCAATTACTCATTAATTGTTTCTTTGTCATGTCAGAACAAAACTAATGGTGTTTCATGTTTGCAAGTTGCAAGTCGTAATTGATATCTATCTATCAATTAATCTATCCACCCAATTGAATTTTACATACGTATATATATATATATATGTATATACCATTATTTATCATTATCTATCATGTTCTGTCGTTATTTATCATGACCTATCATTATTTATTTTTACTCATCACAATGTGTGGTTTGTTTTCATCATTACATACCTGATAATCTATCATGATGTATCATTGTCGATCTATCCATAATCTCATCTCATCTCATATCATCTCATCTGGCCTTGATCTTTTCTGATTAATCTCATCTACCCAAATCTAATCTAACCTACATCTACTGTATATACATATATATTTATATATCTATCTATTATCACTCTATCTATCTGATCTAATCTGTATAATCTAATCTAATCTAATCCAGTCTAACCTAATCAAATCCAATCAAATCTTCTCTAGTCTAGTCTAATATAATCTGATCGTCTTTCGTCTAATCTACTCTAATCTAATCTAATTTCATCCAACCTATATACCTACCTACCTATCTACCTACCTACCTATCTACCTATTTGATATAGCTATCTATCTATCTATCTATCTATCTATCTATTTATCTATCTATCTATCTATCTATTTATCTATCTATCTATCCATCTATCTATCTATCTATCTATCTATCTATCCATCCATCCATCTATCTATCTATCTTATCTATCTAATCTATCTATCTATCTATCTACCTATCTGATTATCTATCTGTCTATCTGTCTATCTATCTATCAATCTATCAATCTATCTATCTAACTATCTATCTAACTATCTATCTAACTATCTATCTAACTATCTATCCTATCTATCCTATCTATCCTATCTTTCCTATCTATCCTATCTATCCTATCTATCCTATCTATCCTATCTATCCTATCTATCCTATCTATCCTATCGATCCTATCGAGCCTATCGAGCCTATCGATCCTATCGATCCTATCGATCCTATCGATCCGATCGATCCTATCGATCCTATCTTTCCTATCGATCCTATCTTTCCTATCTATCCTGTCGATCCTATCTTTCCTATCTATCCTATTTACCCTATCTATCTAGTCTATCCTATTTATCTAATCGATCTAATCGATCTAATCGATCTAATCGATCTAACCTATCTAACCTATCTAATCTAACTAATCTATCTAATCTAATCTATCTAATCTATCTAATCTATCTAATCTATCTAATCTATCTAATCTATCTAATCTATCTAATCTATCTAATCTATCTAAATCTATCTAATCTATCTAATCTATCTAATCTATCTAATCTATCTAATCTATCTAATCTATCTAATCTATCTAATCTATCTAGTCTTTCTAATCTATCTAATCTATCTAATCTATCTAATCTATCTAATCTATCTAATCTATCTAATCTATCTAATCTATCAAATCTATCTATCTATCTACCTATCTATCTAGCTACCTATCGATCTATCTATCTACCTATTTGATATAGCTATCTGTCTACCTATCTATCTATCTACCTATCTGATTATCTATCTATCTATCTATCGATCTATCTATCTATCTATCTTTCTATCTATCTGATTATCTATCTATATATCTATCGATCTATCTGATTATCTATCTATATATCTATCGATCTATCTATCGATCGATCTATCTATTCATCTATCTATCTATTTATCTATCTATAAAAAAATATATATATATCTCTATCGATCGATCGATCTATCTATCTATCTACCTATCTACCTACCTATCTATCTATCTATTTATCTATCTATCTATTGTTCTATCTATCTATCAATCTATCTATCTATCTATCTATATCTATCTATCTAGCTATCTATCTATCTATCTATCTATATCTTATCGATCTTATCGATCTTATCTATCTTATCTATCTTATCTATCTTATCTATCTTATCTTATCTATCTTATCTATCTTATCTATCTTATCTATCTTATCTATCTTATCTATCTTATCTATCTTATCTATCTTATCTATCTTATCTATCTTATCTTTCTTATCTATCTTATCTATCTTATCTATCTTATCTATATTATCTATCTTATCGATCTTATCCATCTTATCCATCTTATCCATATTATCTATCTTATCTATCTTATCTATCTTATCAAATCTTATCTATCTTATCTATCTTATCTATCTATCTATCGAAGTACATGGTGTTGGATGTTGGAAAACCAATTTTATTCTCAGTAGGATCCCGTTACTGCATATATATATATACATATATATATACATATATATATATACATATATAAATACATATATATATATATATTTGTGTGCTCAGACCTATTTCTATGTATCTATGCAATCTAATCATCTCTAATCGAACCTAACCAAATATATATATATATATATGTGTGTGTGTGTGTGTATTGTGGATGGGTCAAGACCTATTCATGCCATATGGGGGGGATGAACATCCAAGCACTCCCTCAGACGGTAGTTCGATCCATAGGGAGATGTACTTGGTGCATCCAGTGAGGATCCGTGGTTTGCAGCCCTTAACCTGGGGTATGATATCTTATATATATATATATATGTATATATCAATGGGAATTTCAGGATCCTAAAATGGAGGTACGTTAGTACCATATTTTGGCTGTATATCCCCTTACATAGACCTGAAAAATAGGCCAAAAATCTATGGTCGGTACCGATAAATCGCTACCTGAAGTGGCCATTGATATGGCCATTTAGGTGGCCCCCCAGACGCCAAGCTGATCCCCCAAAACATAACTGGGTGACCACCCAAACAATTCATTGTTGATAGGCCCTGATCAATGGCTTTTGGTGGTTAATAAGATTTAATAAACCATTATAATTTATTAACAAACCTGATTGGAATGATTGTTAATAGGGAACTCTATCCCAATGGATTTCAGGTAAGTGAATTATTGTATTATTTACAAAGAGAATCCCAGCATATCCTGTTAAGGGGTAACTTGTATCCCATTCATCCATATTCATCCAAGGGTTTATATCACCATAAATCACCATTATCACCATAAATCACCGAAAAAACACCATGAAAAACCATGAAAAATCCACTAAAATCCGATGAATTCCCTGAGATCCGGTGATTTCCAGGGTCCATTCGATTTCGTTTGTTCTACGCCAGGAGCATGACCGCCGTCGCCGAAGCCGACTCCTGGGCCCAGAACGTCCGCTCGCGGATGTCGCGACACGGCGGACACGGTTGCGTCGTTGCGTCGCGACGCGTCGTCGAAACGGAAACCAGCGGAAGACGACGATTTAACCCACAGAATTCCGGATTTCACCCCAGAAAAACTGGGATTTAACCGGAAAAATGAGGATTTCAGAGCTCCAAAGATGAGGATTTCATGACGGAAATCTGCTGTTTTTTTTGTTTTAAAAAGCTGGAAACCGATGCAATTACATTGTTCTATCTTCTTGGAAACTATATAACTTAACTGTGATAATCGCTGCTAAAATTCAAAAGACGGTCACACCCAATAGGAAAATCATCTTCCAGACATCATTTTTGAGAGTCATTGTGTTAAATTCACTGGGTGTAGGAAAGCTGGGAATCCTATTAATTAATTAATATACTGGTACATTACTGTTCTATGATTGCATAATACTTTTGAAACTATGTTCTTTGGGTGCTGCTAGAGCTGGACATCAAAGTTTCAGGTATGACATGCAATTGTTGGGCATTGACTGGATGATGTTGTTTTTCTTTGATGAGTGTGGGGTGTTGGTTAAAGATTGGGCGATGGCCCAGTTATACATGTGTCATTAAACAGAGTTGCTTTACAATGTTTTACATGTTTTAAAAGACAGCAACCTTTATTTTTGCCTTTGCATCATGGGTTGTAGGTTATTTCTTCACACTATAGTGAATGCACATCTATTTGTTATACCACTTCTAGCACCGAGAAGTCGTGCCATCAATGATGTGGTCGGGGCTATTTTCAGGACATACACGTTGATTATGTGGATATGTGGATCATATCTCCTGCTTCGTCAAGCAATAACACTGCCCATGAACCGTGGGTGTTGCATGGTGGTTGTTGCCAACATTATTCAGCTGCATTGATTCGTGCCAAGAAATGATTCAAGAGAATCTTTACCGAAAAAACACATGAGCAACAATGAACAAAAACATATTTGGAGAATTTGTTTTTTGAGAACCAGGTTTCCCGGTAGATTATGTTGTTTTTAATTTGTGAATGTCATATTGTCACTCACTATCCGAGTTTGAAAGAATCCCCGCCTCGAATCAAGTTCGCCCCGGAATATCTAAGCCCATGTTTGAAATTTAAAATCTCTAGGGAATACCTTTAAAACGGATACACATGAGCCATTAAAATACCCTTGTTCTTCGTTGGAAATAAAATTCCTATATAATATAGCTTATTGGCAGTTCTTATAACATACATACCGTATATATATATATACCATGTTATAGTCTACATACCTAGCATTCATTGATGGGTTTTATTAAGGACTTTATCTTTCCTATGGTTAATATTCGCAGCTACAAACCTCCATTTTTAAGTGATTTTCCATGGCTATGTTAAATAACCAGATGGTTAATCCCATTATATAAATCCCATTAAACCACCATAAAAAGTCTTTAAACCACAATTTTCCTATGTTTTTCCTATGGTTTTCTTATAACGGTTATAGCTGGCTAATTTGGCACCGGATCGGAGTTTCTCCCCCATGGATCGGAGAAACCCCAGGCTTCGGTCGCACCGCTCGGGGGAAGATGTGAAGAAGGTCATGTCGCAACGCGTGAGGGTGCAAGACATGGAGGTCCGCCTGCGTGAAAACCCCAGGAAAACCCTCAAAAACCCATGGTTTTTCCTAGGTGAAACCCTTGAAAAAGATATTAAAAGGATTAAAAAGGCTGGACACGACTGTGAGAATAGAAGTAATTATATCGGTTGTAGAATGTTGTAGATTTAAACAGCCTGTTCTATTGATGTTATGGTTCGGAGGATGAGTAAAGCAGGCTGCCGGTCTGGATACATAGCCATCTAGGCGTTGGCAATTCAATGTCCTGCTTAGGGGATTTGAACCCTCACTTTCGGAATGTAGATGATTTGACAGGCTATAGTATACAGATGTAGGAGATGTAGATGATGTATGTGATGTAGATGAAGTTGATGTGGATGATGTATATGATGCAAAGGAAGTAGGGGATGCAGTGAAAAGTGGCAGCAGTTCTTTGGAAACAAAAAACATTCGCAGGAGCCTTCGGGAATAAACAGCAAGCAATTTTTTTTGGGCTGACTACATCCCCTTGACATCAATGCATGAAATATGTACCTACATTTATATACTCTTAAGTCTTAAGAACATCTAACTCATGGCAATGGCATCGCGTGGCATATTATGGCTCAAAATTGATTGACCCGAGAAATCAACGGCTTACTCATGGCCCAATATTATTGACCCCCAGAAAGTATTATGTACCAGTTGAAAAGGTGATAGCTCTGGTACTCGAACATGGCAATGGGACTTCCCCTATAAACGAGTTTCGAATGAGAAAACCATCGAACTAAATCGCACATTGTTGAAATATCTATGTTTGTTTACTGGGGTAGTTATAAGTTTTTGATAGTTAAACACATGACAAAAATCATTCTTAACATATATATATATATATAAATATATCCCCCCCCCTTTAACCCTGGAATATTTGGGGGGGGTAAGGCAAGAAATTTCTGAGAAATATTTCACCTGACCACGTGAAATATACCCGCCCCCCCACGTATTTTTTTCGGCTTCTAAAAGACGTGGGGGGGGGTTCGTCCGGACGCTGTTCCTTTTTGGACCTTTTTAGTCCTCACGCGGGTAGGGCCCATGCGCAAACACTGACAACTAGGTAAATGGTAACTGCCGGTTTCCAAGAAAGTAAATAAGAGAGTGAACTTGCCAAACAGCCTTCAGAACATGACGTTCAGCCTTGAATTCAACCACGCCCAAAGCCATTATAGACCAGAATTTTTTAGCTGAAATATTTCACTTTAGGGAGGTGAAATATTTCTAGGTGTGTGGGGGGGGGAGGTGAAATATTTCAGTTTTTCTAGGTGTGTGGGGGGGGGAGACCCCCCCCTAAAGTGAAATATTTCAGTTTTTACCCCCCCCCCCCCCCCCCCCTTAAAGGGGGGGGGATATATATATATATATATATAGTTGTTTAGGTTATTTTAAGTTTATTAAGTTCATTGAGTTATAGTTTTTAGGTATTACTATCCTTGGCAAAACCTCCCCTTTTCCCTTGGCGCCGCTGGCTGCCGGCTTGCCGCCTCCGCCTGAGGCGGCTTTTTTGGAGAGCGTGGTAGGCCAGAGGAGGCCTGACTTGTTTTGGCAAAGGCTAAAGGAGTTAGTAACAGTTTGCTGTTAGATATCCCTTGGCATCTTTTGACAATGTTTGACTTTTGACACCAGTTGGTATCAATTGACTCTGATTTGGTCGAACAATCTGCCAAATCTGGGAGCTGACTCTGATTGAGACGATCCGCCATTTGCAGGTCGTTGGTCCTCGCTCCGGTACCAGCGGAACCGGAACCGCCAAGTATCTCAGACCTCAAGGGGGATGATCATGATGATAACATATGATAACCCCAAATCCATGGTGACATTGGTGTCTTTTGCCATGTTTACCCCAAAAAGTGTGTAGACCATGGGCAAGTTGGATGATTTCCACAGTAAACACGCACTTAGGAGACTCAAGAACATGCATGGCAAAAGCAGGCGTTGCAGAGAAACCAAATCCTTTCACGTTGATATTCAATATCTGCTTGGTGGTTTGGAACATGACTTTTATGACTTTCCATATCTTGGGAATGTCATCATCCCAACTGACTTTCACTCCATCATTTTTCAGAGGGGTAGGCGAAAAACCACCAACCAGATATTGATCCAACCCCGGTGAAAATCCTGGATAAATAGATCAGGCTTTCGCCAACACGACCCTCTGATTATTCAACATGTTGCTGTGGAAAATCCCATGTTTATAGATTGCCCATTAAAAATGGTGATTGTTCAGCTTGCAAACGGTTTTTGCTTACCAGAGGTTTTTATGTCCAATGTTGGACACCCTGCACCACATGCATTTGATTGCATTTGCATATGCCAGAATGCATGACCAACGAACACGAAGTGACCCAACCATGGTAGTTTACATCGTGAAATCCACCGTGTCTTGAACATGTATAGAAACTCCCTAATCAATGATCTCCTGTAAGTTTCCCGTTTGAGCAATTAAATGGCAATTTGACGTATCCAATGCGAATGTGACTGTATATGATTTATGGTACTTCGGATGTTGGGAATATTAATATATATGTATGCACATGTGCATATAGAATACTGTTTCCCTGATAACTGACGTCCTGAGGTGTTGCCATGGAAACGCTTCCTTCGCCGCAGCCACTGGGCCAGTCCCACGCTGCAAGTCCTTCGCTTCTGGAACCGGAGACCCGGTGAAGAAACGGGTCGAGATTGGGTACCCGCGCAGTAGCGAGTTTTGAATGGCAAAGAATGGGGCCCCCCAGTTATAAGTTGGTTTATAAACCATTATAACCCGCATTAACTACAGTTATATCTACCATAAACCATGGATAAGCCACTTTATTTAGGCACCTGAACGCTATCTTGAGGGCCCCATCCTGCAAAGATATAATGCAACTAAATTCAATAGATGAGGTCCCAGGAGGAATTTCATTTGAGGTACACTGAACACTTGATCTCGAATACGGTCTCGGTTGGATTTATAATATAGCTGTCCGTAGCAAATTCTGGCTTGGCGCCACACATGAATCGACTCTACCCAAAGATCTTCCAACTTCATCGAATCAAGATGTGCAACTTCTGGCGTAACCCATCAGACTCTCTAATTAATGGTTTTTACATAGGGAACAAACGATGGCACACCGGATGGGTTTACAAGTCTTTAGAAGAATCACACTTGATCGCTGTTGTTTATTTTATTTTTTATCTGGTTGGTGGTTTGGAACATGACTTTTAGTTTCCCCAATAGCTGGGATGATGATCCAATCTGACTTTCATATTTTTCAGAGGGGTAGGCTCAACCACCGACCAGTATTGCTATCAACCATCATTCACCATTATCAATCATCATTAACCATCATTAACCATTATCAATCATCATTAACCATCATTAACCATTATCAATCACCATTAACCATCATTAACCATTTCAATCACCATCTTTAACCATCATTAACCAGATATATTGACCATCATAAACTAGTTATTATTTATCGTGGTCGTCTATGTATGGTAAATAAACCAAACCGTTGACGAAGCGATGTTGTGGGGATGATGCGTACACTTTCTGCACCAAAAAAAGCCGCTGCTAACAGGGTGAAGACACAGCGCATATGAAGTAACACCAAGTAAAACACACAGATATGTATATATATATATAAAGATATGTGCACATACTTTATATGATATATACGAGTGTGTGTGTGTGTGTTCGGGCATGCCTAGAATTTGAAAGAAAGCGAGGGGAACTCAAGTGAACCTTCAGAATGGGTTGTTTTCTTTGCTCCCCAACGAAACCCACTAAATCTACCTAATAATTCGATATTTTGATGGATCCGACAAAGTACCCCAAACAGGTCCAGTACACTACAAGACATGCCAAAAAAGGCTTCATGAGGTTGATTGTTTTGTAATTACACCGGCAAGAGACCCCAAACAGTGTGGGAGGAAGGACGCCAATGGGCCAGATACAAGCAACAGTAGCTATGAACAAGTAACAGAGCAGGTTAGACAGTACCGAAGCTGCAACAGGAGGAATGTGTTTTGGCACAAGGAGAAACGACATGTCTATTCATCAGGACCTCATACCAGAACCTCACACCAGGACATCTAAGAGATCTCACAAGATCTTCAGACAAGAACTTCCTATGAGCATCCCAGAAGAACTTTCAGACAAGCACCAATACAGAACATCTTCAACGAAAAAGCGTATACCCTGATCCAACCCCGGCCTTTAACACCTACCGTATGAACCTCTCAGTGTGGACACTGTTTGGGGAAAAATGTGCTTGATAGGGGTTGTACTATCGCCACATGGCTGTATTCTTATAAGGTGAATTACGATTTATCGAGATTGTTCAAGGTCAACTCAACCTTGAATGTTGGTTGATGAGTGAAGGGGCTCATGTGCACCCAAAGGGATCAAGGGTTAAATCGGTAGCGGTTGCCCAAGCCCCACGCTGCCCATTTATATGTATATGATTATATGATTGTATATGTATGTATGTTTTTTTTATTATCCATAATTATATACATATATTTAATTATTTATTATTATATATATATGTTTATATTATTATATATATATATATATTTGGTATGATTCTATCGACGTCATGTCGTAGCGTCACTAGACATGATGCTGAACAACGAGTGCTCCAGGCCATGTAAAAAGCAGCCCTCTCCACTGTCCAAGGATCCTCCTTCGAATTTCCCATACAAAATGGGTGGCCTTAAGGCCACTAAATGGGTTTTTATGGGTCATTTTGTAGTGAGGCCACCTTGTGAAAAGGTCCAAGGCCCACTTCAACTTTGGATGGCAAGTCACTTTGTAGAAAAAAATGCCGGGGCCCATGGATGAAGATAGAAATTTGGTCGAAAAAGAGACTTTCCAAGGCCAGGCAGTTTGTAGTGAAATTACCGAGTCCCATGGCGGATTCTTCAAGACTGGAACCCCTGCACTTTGTAGTGAATCCATTGTGTTTCTGGAAAAAAATGAAACGGAGAAAAACTATTTATCAAAAAAAAGCCAGACAAGCATAGACAAGTAGGAACCCATGTTGTGTCTCAATAGTATTCAATAGTCAGACGTGTCTCAATAGTCAGCCCGTGGCAACCGGAGCATTTTGGCTTGAAGTCTGGGCCTCAAGATGGCACCTCCAGGGTGTCCTCACTTCTGCGCGATTCGCTTGTGTGACGCGGGCGTTGAAGCACCAGCATGGGATACTGCGCGGGGATGTTGGCGCATCTTGACCCAAGGTTAGGGATGGTTAGGGAATATGACACAATAGAAACCATGAGCAATGAGCAACGAGTATGTTTTGATATTTTTGAAAAATACCGGGGCCACTACTAAATGGGTGGCTCCAACCCCACCCCCTACTAAATGGGTGGCTCCAACCCCACCCCATTTAATTACTGTTACTTGTGAATGTAGTGTGCCACACCGGTATCCCGGTATGATGAAGATCCATGAAGATCCAAGGCAACAGAACAGGCTCAACCTGGCCGGGCCAATGTGCCGAGACACTTGCACCAGTAACAGTGATGATGGCTTTTCTTCACCTTGAGGCCGGTCATGATCTTGTTGCACCGTGTGACTCAGAGCAGCGCCGCCGGAATGAGTGGTACCTCTATTGGGTGTACAAAATGACTATACTCCATGACAACACTACAAAATGGGTTGCCATTGGGTGTACAAAACGATTTTAGCTCATGAAAGCGCTACAAAATGGGTTGCCTAAATCTGCCAGTCCATTCCTCCCAACTCTCTCCAGCACATGGCAAGAAATAAGAAATATATAGACATATACTGATGAATAATATTTAAATTAAATTAAAATATAATAGCATTCCGAAATTAAATGGGGTGGGGTTGGAGCCACCCATTTAGTAGGGGGTGGGGTTGGAGCCACCCATTTAGTAGTGGCCCCGGTATTTCTCAAAAATATCAAAACATAGTCTTTGCTCATGGTTTCTATTGTGTCATATTCCCTAACCATCCCTAACCTTGGGTCAAGATGCGCCAACATCCCCGCGCAGTATCCCATGCTGGTGCTTCAACGCCCCCGTCACACAAGCGAACCGAGCAGAAGTGAGGGCACCCTGGCGGTGCCATCTTGAGGCCAAGATTTCAAGCCAAAATATGCTCCGGTTGCCACGGGCTGACTATTGAGACACGTCTGACTATTGAGCATGTATATCAATGTGCTGCTTTCCAATCCCTGGTTGCCTGCGCAAGCGGGTGAGAGGCATGGCGCAGCGAGACAATCGGTGTAGCTGCAAGAAAAATGAGCGAACATTTTTGTGCCAGACGGTGTCCTCAAGTTGGGTTCTTGGTGCGTTTTGGGTTTACTACCAAATGGGTATCTTGAAATTGATCACGCAAAGCGGTTTTGGATTTTTCAAACTGCTCAGAGCCCCTCGGAGCCTGTTTTTAGTCTACAAATTGGGTCTTAAAAAATGGTTGAAAACAGCCTTGGAAAACCATTTTGATGAACAAAAACAAATTCAACCCTGTTTTAACCAATTTTCAGCACTCATTTTGTAGTGAAAAAAACCTATCCAAGGCCAGGCACTTTGTAGAGAAATTTCCAGGCAGCCCATTTTGTAGATTGAGTCAAGTCATTTTGTAGAGAAAAATACCGGGGCCACTACTAAATGGGTGGCTCCAACCCCACCCCCTTAATTCGAAGGGGGATGTCCAAGGGAGACAGCGAGAATAGAGGTTTATTTGTGCCTCATGCAATGTATACAATAACTGGCTGGTGGTTTGGAACCTTTCTTTTTCCAAAATATATGGGATGTCATCCTTCCCATTGACTACCTTCTCGGAAACAAACGTAGACCCCGAAAACTGGGAAACGAGAAACCGGGGTCTACGTTTATTTGTAAAAAACGTTTTTTGCAAGAGCAAAAAAAAACAACTTCCGCTCACTAAGATAGACCTTGGGACTTAGAGCTGAAGGCAGGGTGAATTTGCCCCAACATAGACCTTGGAAGCAGAGTGATTCGGAGGTCTATGTATTCAGGTAAATTGTACACTTGCAAAACAAGAACACTTTGTTCACTAACATAGACCTTGGACATAGAGGGCAAATGCACCCTGCCTTAAGCTCTACGTAATTTTTGATCTTGCAACTTTCGTTTTTTTTTACAAATAAACGTAGACCTCGGTTTGTAATTGTTCCTCACCGGGGTTTTTGTTTATTTAGCATGATGAGGGGGTGGTATGTTAATTAATTACTGTAGAATATATAATTTTTAATTCAGGTAAATTGTACATTTGCAAAGCACTTACAAAGGCTCTTCTGAGTCATTTTTTGGGCCAACAAAGGGGGTACCCCAGAATGATTTCATTTTTGTGCCCCCTTCCAAGGTTTTCCCCAGGTCCAATATTCGTGCAAGACTTTAAAGATGTTAACGGCCCCTAACATGGACCCTCAAACCCTCAAAACACAGGTTTTGTATTCCTTAACCAAAAAAAGTAGAAACTAACGATGCACAAACAACAAGAAGGCCTCCCATGGTTCACCTAGACCCTGATGGTAGGGGTGGTGTAGCTTTGGAATGCTTTGGCCAAGTTTTGGAGGCGGTTTCCAAACATTCTACACAAGTCCCCAAAGCAGATCATACCCATGTTTGATTAGAGTGGTTCCCTATGGTTTTATGGTTTACCTAGACCC